TCCACCTAATACAGCAGGAGTATCAGTCTCCGCTCGCCGGTCCAATCCCACACTACAGGCAACATGAAAGGTGAGTCCGCGCTCCGTCCTCTGTCTCAAGTAAAGGACCCTCGCCGCGGGACCCTACGAGGCCCTTTGGCCCGGTGCCCATTTTCCGGCACCTCTGGGACCCCACGACTCAGGAAGGGGGGGGGGGGGGTTTACGGTCTGTCTTTGTGGAATTAGATGTTGTAGTGATTTTACATGAGTGGATGAACAGTTCTATAAAATATTTATTTTTATTTTATTTTTATTTAAAAAGTCAAAGTAAACATTTTAGACCTTTGGAAACTAAGTTTTTTTGAAAAGACTAAAACAACAACAAACAGGAAACGAGGGAGAAGATTGTTTAGAACCAACAAAAGACAAAAGTGCACAAGACTCCACAGGAGTCCATGTAAAGACCAGTTTCCCCACAAACACGTCTCACTGCATTTCTCTGAGGTTCTTCTTCATGTCCCTCGCCCGTCTGTCCCTCAGTGGGTCTGTCCCTCACCCGGTCTGTCCCTCAGTGTGTCTGTCCCTCAGTGGGTCTGTCCCTCACCCGTCTGTCCCTCAGTGAGTCTGTCCCTCAGTGAGTCTGTGGGTCTGTCCCTCAGTGGGTCTTCCAGTGGAAATCCGTCCAGACAGACATGAATAAGCAGAACCATCTGGTGGATTAAGCTGCTTCCTGTTGCGTGTTGGAGGAGGTGGAGCGTTGTGTCCTGCAGGTGTGAGGCTCACTTCCTGTTACCTGGGTGGACGCTGTAGCAGGAGACGTTGGACCCTTTCAGCCTCTTGGCGAGCTCGTGGGTGAAGAGCATGTTGCACAGTTTGCTGTTGCAGTACGCCTGGAAGAACTGCCAGCTGTAGCGGCCGGTGCCCAGGTGTCGGTTCACCGCCAGAGCCTGAACGCATCACGACAACAAGGGCGCTGTTAGCACGAGTGACAGGTGGCCCCGTGCACTTATTTCTTTTGTGTTATTTATATAGAATAGATTTTTCACATTCGGATTCTAATGTCCAACTATCCTGACCAATAAAACCTTCTTTTATTAATATACTATTATATTGTCATTGTGTGATCAGCGGCATCAAATGGTCTAAAAGTTGCAGCAATATCGCGACTCACATCGGGGTCGACGCGTCCCCATCGGTACGCCATGGAGGAGACGGTGACCACGCGTCCTCCACCCGCCTCCTTCAGGCGCTCCACCAGCAGGTAGGTCAACAGGAAGTGACCCAGGTGGTTCACCCCGAACTCGATGCCGAAGCCGTCTTCCGTCCGCCCGTCAGCCACCAGACCTGCAGCCAGCCAATCAGAAATCAGCTGCTTTCCCTTTAAGATTAACACGCCTCAAAGGAAAAACAATAAACATGATGATAAAAACAACTCAAATCTGTTCATGTGAGGACGTTTACGACCTTCTACCAAGATTCGTTTGTGACATTTTACATTCTAATGAAAATGTAAATATGAAAAACTAGTTCCAGACATTTGATTTCAAAACTGTTTTACTCTGATAAAAAGTATAATATTTACCTCTGAGATGTGGTAGAAGTAGAAAGTACTAATATTTGTACTCAGGTACTTGGTTAAATGCATTTAGTCAGATTCCACTTGATGAATGAATCTCAGTCTTGTTTGTTTACCGGCGTTGTTGATCAGCAGGTCCAACCTGGACTCAGTTTGCAGGAACCTTTCTGAGAAGCAGCGGACCGACTTCAGGCTGGCGAGGTCCAGCTGCATGAAGAGCACGTTGGCGCTTCCTGTTTCCTGCAGCGAGATCATCAGGCCGCCGTCAGATCCTCACAATGTTCCATTCGCACTAAAATGAGAACGACGAAACAAACGCTTCCACTCCTTTCAGCGTGGACCTCAGCGCCTCGCAGTGAACTACGCCGACCGCGTTGCTCCGCCCGTTCAGACGCGTCTACTCGCCCACTTCCACTCCTTTCAGTCTGAACTTACGCCTCAACTCATTTCATCACTGACGTTTAACCCGAGAGTTCTGTGTTCACCGAACACTTACTTACATTTATACATGTTTACATTTAAGATCCAGTAAACTGTCAAAATAAATAATTCAACTTAAATGTAATAAAACAAGTTGAATTAAGAAAGAAAGAATACCTAATGTATAATAGAATAACTTGAAGGGATCCGTCCCCGCTGACCGGCGTCCACAAGCTGCATGTTGTTACACGTCTTGTCCTCGCGTCCTACCTGCTGGATCTCTGCCATGGCGCGCTCGGCCTTCTCCCGGTTCCTGCAGGCCAGGACCACCCTGGCGCCCCTCTTGGCGAGGTGCAGAGCCGTGGCTTTACCGATGCCGGTGTTTCCTCCTGGAGCCGGAAAACCAACATGAGACGTCTTAGGACACACGAGCTCCTCGCTCACCTCTCCTGCTACAATAATCACGTTTTATCGACGACCAATTCAGCTTCTTTACAGGAGCTCTGTTGTGCTTTCTCCCCCTAGCAGGTCTCCGTAGATGGTGGTTCTGCGTGATGGTGGTTCTACGCGATGGTGGATCTATGTGATGGTGGATCTATGTGATGGTGGATCTACGTGATGGTGGTTCTACGTGATGGTGGATCTACGTGATGGTGGTTCTACGTATAGTTCATCTTCTACATTGTTCATTCTGTCCACATGTCATCGTCGTCTGTCCATCAGGAGACGGATCCTCCTCGTTCTCACTGAGGTTCTCCTGTGTCATGTGAGGGTTTCAGGACAGATGATGTCACATGTGTACAGACTGTAAAGCCCTCCGAGGCAAATTTGGAGTTTTGGGCTCTACAAAATGAATTGAAATAGAATTGTTGAGTTTTATGGCCGTCTGTCCTCCACAGAACGAAACTGCTCCACAGGAACACGGTGCACTGAGAGGGAAAGCGGATCAGAACACATAGAGGACCCAGAGAGGAGAGGGGAGCTACGCTAACCTAGCTAGCACCCAAGGCTAGAAAGAACCAGTCTAAAGTTTATCATTTAATGTGTTTTCTTTTCTACATTGTAGATTCATATTGGAGACGTTCAAACTCTGAAGGAACTGGATGTACAGTATGTCTTGAAAGAGTTCCAGAGGTTCTGAGCACTTGTTGCCTTCACTCTGCCACCCAACGCACCCCTGACCCCCTCAAGTGGGTTCCTCCTCCTTCTTCTTCTTCTTGCAGCCTTTGCACCCTGACGGCCTGATTCACTCAGATGTTGAGATGCGTCGGCCTTTGAACTCTGAGAAGCATTTCTGGCTCTAATCAGACTCTTCTGAGGCTGCGAACTAATGGAACCTCCTGGTCTTCCTGTCCTGGCAGGTCCTCATGAGAGCCACTTTCATCACAGCGTTTGAAGTTGTCTCGACTGCACTTGAAAAGACATTCGAAGTTCTTGAAATGTTGACAGATTGACTGTTTTGTCTTCGGTTTTAAAGTAATGATGGATTTAGTTGAGTTTCCATAATCTGAATTAGAACTCTAGTGGAATAAATTTATTCACTGTAGAACCGTGAACAACACAACACATGGCGCCAAACACATTCAAATGCAAGAAGGCCACAAATTAGCTCTCGGCGACATGCACATGTTAGTGGAGAACCTTCCAGGTGACGACCTCATGGGCCTGAATATATATATATATATATATATATATATATATACACACACACAGACTGAATAGATCCGGTTCGTTAGAATATCCTGAACGTTTAAAGCTTTCTTTGTTCCTCTGATCAGATGCAACGTTCATTTCCATCGGCGCTGCGGCGGCCGTGGCCCCGCCCCCCGCTCACTCACCTGTGATGATGACGGTCTTGCCGGTCATCGCCGCGTTCCCTTCGCACCTGGAGCTCCTGAAGAGGGTCCGCGTGAGGAACAGGTACGCGCCCAGCAGGGCGGCGGACAGCAGCAGCAGGTGGAACATGGTCTCAGCAGAGCGGCGGTGTGAGGAGCACGCCAAGGCCCGCGGACCGCCTCTTATACACCTGGCGGGACTCACCTGCCGGGCCGGTTCTACCTGCCCGGGGTGGGGTGTCTCGGCCCGGTCCGGTTGGACCGGTTCCGCTCTCAGTCCTCATCGTTCAGCTGAAACGTTTGCTGCTGTTTGAACTTCAACCTACTGAACACAACGGGAACGCGACTTCCGGTTGGAACCTTCAAAATAAAACCCAGGTCTATTTTATTTAAATGACGGAAAAGGAGAAAAAATATTCTGGACAAAATAACCAATAAATAAGATTATATTGAAATACTTTAATTTGAGATATTATTCATGATATAATGACGTGATACTTTTTGTAAATTTAGCCAAGAAAAAATCAAAATGATGACTTAAATTACATAGAAAGAGAAATATAATAAATTAAAGATACATCTACATTTTGAGATAATAAGATGGTAAGTCAAAATGAATGAAGGGCAATTAAAATGATGGAAAAACGAATCAGCTTTGACTTAAAAATGCTCATCTTCATTTTGAATGTGATGTGTGAGCTTCAGCTTCACCTGGTGGACAATCACAGTATTAAAACAGAATCAGACGTTCTACTACTTACCTTTACCTCACAGGTACAGTTCTAAACGTTAACATCTGTTGCAATGATTTATTTCTGTCATTACTGATAAATAATAAACACAGTATAAGACCTGTTCCTGTTGTGGTTAACTGAGTTAGCCGGATCACTTTCAGGATGAGATGATGTAGTTCAGGCTTTTCGGTTCCCTGAAGCAGGTTTGTCTAAATCACCACAGCAACACAGGAAACACCTGAAGCTGCTCCTGCTGGATCAGTTCATCAGTCCTCATCGATGGAGGAGCGACATCAGTTAGATGAACGTTTTATAGGGAGAGACTTCTATGACATCACAGAGACGCGTTATGACGTCACCATGACGTCCTGTACGAGCGCCGCAGATGCTGAGGACAACAATCATTTATTTAGAAGATTTCCCCGTCACGTTAAGCCTAGTTTATGCTTCTGCGTTGTCAGAGCGACGCAAGGAAACGCACACGCTAGATTCATGGAGGGAGATCTCCACCAACGAGGGGGACAAAGTCGTGGAGGAAAATACGGGACAAATGTGTCCTTGATGAAAAGCGGCAGTGTGGATGCACGGGGCAATAAAGTCTATGATACATAAATAAAGCCACCAGCGACTTCCACACACAAAGACGTGACTCTCCAGGTCGTCTTCAACAAAACACGTTACTCCACCTGTTGTTCTGGAGGTGAATCGCTCTGCAACACACGCAATCCTCTCCCCCAAAACTACTTTATGGACATAATTATTTCAGGATTTAGCTTCACACACACACACAGAATCTTATTTATTAAGACAAAGACGTTTGAGTGGAATTCATCAAGCAAAGATTTCGTCACTTTCTTCGTGTCGAGATTTGATTACAGATTAAATTGTTGGAAAAATGAATTGCAACTACACACAAAGTGTATTTCTTATGAATGTGTATTCTTTATTTGAATGAAATTGCGCGTAACAGGCTAAACACCTGAAGGCACCGTGTGTAGTTCATGGTCTCAGGTCTTCCAGAAGTTTGGGTTCTGGCTCATCCTCCTCTGGAAGTTCTGGTACCACTTGAGGACGCAGCTGGAAGGGATGAAGGTCTCCGACGGGTTCGGCGTCATCTGCGCCTGCGTCACGGCGAACGACGCGGCGAAGTTGTACAAACTGTCCAGCGTCTTCTGGGCGAACTGCGCGAAGGCGTCCACGGTGGCCGCGGCGGCGCCGGACACCGGGGTCTGCTGGGCCAGGAGGCCCAGCGCCTCCACGGACACGCCCACCTGAGCCACGGAGGAGGGGGAGGAGCCGAAAGGGTGCGCCCCGCCCTCCCCGGCCGCCAGCCCGGAGATCCGGAAGATGGCGCTCGGCTTGTCGTTGGTGATGAAGCCGAGCAGCTGCCACACCGCGCCGCCGCTCGCCGGATCCGGGAAGGAGAAGTACACGGCCCCGCCGGTACCGGGGGGGAACGGCACGGTGCCCAACATGAACACCACCACGTGGTTCACGGTCTCGTAGTCCGCCACGTGGAACACGAACTTGTCTGGCGCGACCTGCGCCGCGTCCGTCTGCACCAACCGGCCGGCGACCAGACAGCCGAACATCGCCCCGCGCCGCTAGCCGCTAGCTTTAGCCGTTAGCTTTATCTTTAGCTTAGCCCGCGGGCTGGCCTCCGTGTGGCGGCGTAAGAAGAACTCCGCGGACGTGATCCTCCGGTGGACCGGGAGAAGCTTCTAGTCCGGTCCGCCACCGGGCTGCTTGAGACCCGCTGCTGCTGCCGACCGGATGTTATTCTTCTTCTTCTTCTTCTTCTTCTTCTCCTCCTTCTTGCTGCTCTGCCGCCTCCTCCTGGTGGAGTGTGGTAAGTACTGGAGTATCTTACTGCAGAACACGTAGTAAATCTAAGTGTACTCGTGTGACCGTGTAGAATAACATGTTCTGTGGTTTCTGTCCGCCCGTCGCTGCTGACACCTTCTGGTTTCTGCTTCGCTGAAGTTGACTTCCTCTCATTCCCTTTGACCCACATGTGGAACCCGGAGGAGTCCCCTGAGTCCTGCATGAGGTCTGCTGTCTGAGGGACTCTTCTGTAAGCTGCCTGGTGATGAACTTCATCACGTCTTGTGTCCTCTATCTGCTATAATGCAAACAATGATACTCGGGCATCATTGGACCACTTTATATCACAGCTCCAGTGACACATCCTGAGAGGATTCACCTGCATGTCGGACACAACGTAACAGATGTGATCGTTGTCTGGAGAAGACATGGAGAACAGCTGGTTTAGCAGATTAGACGTGCTTCTTCTTCTCCAGCGCAGCACGAAGGCAGGACGTGCAGGAGAAGCAGACGGATTTTACAAACATTAGTGGGTCCGTTCCATGTTTCAAAAACACAAAGCTTTAGAATTGAATATTATATTATCTTTTTGTTTTGGGCTCATGGGGGGGCGTCCACCAGCCACCCCGAGCATCAGTAACGTCAGCAGACCTGCCCCTGGTCTCAGGACCCTCTGAACGTTTCGCTTCGCTTCAGGTCCTCTGTGCTTCACATGCCGTCACTATCAGACGCCATTGTTTGCTGACCTCTGACCCGTTGGCTGCTTCTGGGGGCGGGAGGGGGATCCGTGCTCATGTGATTGGTGGAAGATGAGGGCGACATCTGATTGGCTACAGGTCCGTGTTGAAAAAATTGTATTTGTGAATCTATCAGTCAGGTGAGTCTCAGAAACGCCACAAACATGTGGAGCGATCGATCGCAAACAGGCAGCAGCTCCATGAAAACAAAATAATACAAGTTTTGTTTTTTATAACACTTTACAATGACGGACAAGAACCGAACCAGGCAAAAAGAAAGGAACGAGAAGACAAAAGAAACCGTCAGGAGGCTAAAATGAAGACACCAGGACCGCAGAGAGCCTTCACATCTTCCACCGCAAACTAAAGACACACCTCTTCAGACTCTACCTCGACTAAAGACTAACAAATTGTAGCACTTAAATTGTACTTGTAACGTCACTCATCTATAGCAAATTGTAAATTGGCTTATTTGAGGAAATTGCACTTTCTTGTTTCTTGTTCTCCTGAGTTTGTGTCCTATGGTTGAATGCACTTATTGTACGTCGCTTTGGATAAAAGCGTCAGCTAAATGACATGTAATGTAATGTAATGTAAAATGAAAAAGAACTAGGAGTCAGCGTGAAGGTCAGCAGGTCAGGAGGCTTGTGGATGGTGGAAGGTCTCTGAAGACATCAGGACCACAGAGAGCCTTCACCTCTTCACACTCTACCTCCACTAACACACTAACTAACACTTGGACTTATAATTCCGTTTAAAGGCGCAGAACCTTTCTACGTTTTCTGTTAACGTGTTAAGCTCCTCAATGCTAAAAAATAAAAGAAATGCTGTTTAACGAATCATTGTCAGTTCTTCAGCCCAGTAGATCATTTAGATGTTTAATCTTAATCTTTGTGTCAGTGTTCAAGAATATCATCATGGTTATCATGGTCCATTATCATGGTCTTCACAGTGCCGGCGCAGATTGTATTTGAATGAAATGTTCTGCATTCTTCTCACCAAACCTTTTCTCCAGTATTGCGTTGGGTTTGACAGGTGCTAGTCTAGGATTTGCGCGGCCAGACCGTCTCTGGTTGTGTTCAGGGGGCCGTATCCGGCCCGCGCGCCTTAGTTTGGGAACCACTGCTATAAAGGTTCATGTTGAATTAGACCAAAGTCACATTTTATTAAGAAAACAAAGCAAGTCTTTAATATTTGACACAATGATGATGTCGTCTGTCAGAGGTCAGAGGTCATCCCACTGAGCAGTGTCCACTCGGCTCCTCTGGAGAACCCGATTGGACAAACCCTCCACCTCCACCACGCGGGCCAGCAGCTGTGTGACAGCGGCGTCCTGAAGCAGAGAGAGAGAGACAGTCAGCGATGACCTCACCGGGAACGCCATGACGTCATGTGACCCACCAGCTGAGCAAGCTCCTCCCCCAGGGCCGGACCGCGGCGAACTGCGTCTATCTTCTCCTCCAGCGTCTCCATGAAGTCCAGCAGCAGCTGCACCAGCTCCACCAGAGACCTGAACCACAAGCAGACTCCTTAGACCACGGGTCTGACCCGGGATCAGAGGGGACCGGCAGAACCTCACCTGTGCAGGTGGGCCCGGACCGGCAGGTTGGTGCGGCCCAGCGGCCTGGCCAGCCTCCGCCTCAGACCGCTCTGCTCCTTCAGGAGGTGCTGCAGGTGAGCGCAGAACGTCTGCAGCACCTGGAACCTGGGAGCTGCAGGAGAACATTCCAGGTTCCGTTAGTTAGGAGCCGTCCTGCTCAGGAGAAGAGCCCAACGACAGCGACTCACCCAGGAAGAAGCCGTGCGACACGTCGGCGCTGCGCCGCTCCGCCTGCAGCAGCTCCGTCTGCAGCTGCAGCTGACGGAGGAAAAGGACCAGAAACGTTTTTAATATTCAGACACAAAGAAGAAGGAAGAGAAATGATCTCAGGTCCACTTCTCATATGAAACAGGATGTGATGTCACACTGACGAGCACCTGTTCCAGCTGTCGCTGCGTTTTGATTTGCTGCTCAGCCGTGTGCAGCTGTGAGGAGAAGGCGGGGCTTAGCTGGGAGGAGGCGGAGTCTATTTCCTCCTGAGGACAGGTAGAAACGTTTATTTAGTTGTTGTTGTTTTAATCTTCACTGTCCACATACAGTCTTAAGAATAAAACATGTGACCTGAGACAAAACCTCTCTGGCGACACATCTGGATAAGAAGCTAACAGCTGGAGTCACAGAGAGATGAGACGAGTCCCACTGCATCTGGAAGAAAACATGAAGGTAGAAATATGTCGACTAACTACATGCATTAAATACATAGATTCACACACTGATGACATCATTCATACACTGATGACATCATTCATACACTGATGACAGGAGAACCACACACAGTGACACCGGCCCATCAGTCACTAACATCCACACACTGTAGTCGCAGCTACAGGAGCAACGTTGGGTTAAGTGTCTTGCCCAAGGACACATGGACATGCGGGTTAGCAGAGCCTGGGATGGAACCGACAACCCTCTGGAGAACGACCTGCTCCCCACTGACCCACAGTCGCCACAAGATACAAAGAAATGGAGAAAAATCCACGTTGCACATGTGCACATAAATATGTTATGCCAGTAATCATCTACGTTACGTATCAAACACGGACCAATTAAAATCCAGATGTTACTGCACATTTGTGCAGCTGACGTCACCACACCAGCTACGTTGTACGCGTCTTTTTGGGGGGGCGATCGCCCCTGAAACCCAAGTAATAACTGCTGGTGTGTGTGTGTGTGTGTTACACCATAAATGTGGTGTCATTTTAAAACACCGAAGACCAGGTTTCATAGTGTTGAACAAACACGTAAACGCGGTTTGTGTTGTTGGTCTGTGACCGACCAATCAGCGGCCTCCGTCCGCGCGGCTCCGCCAATCAGGATGCAAACACACAGACACGTGGATCCGCCCGCCTGTTCGGATGATTCGCTGGTTCCGTTGACTTTCTCTTTATGGTGAAGCAGCAGGTGAGAACTTCTCTTCATATTACACGTTCGGCTGTAACACCCGCGCGTGTTTCCTTTCTTTTGCCTCCAGCCCGTCGTTTCTTTGAGGACTTTTCTTTACGGTTTTCTTGAAATTGAATAAACTACGAAGACATTTATTCACTGTCATTGATTGTTTATGACTTTCACTGTGAGTCGCGGCGCGTTGAGGTCCGTGTGATCACAAAGTTCATAGTTACCCACCTCTGATCTGACCACTACAGCCCCGAACCCTCTCTCTCTCTCTCTCTCTCTCTCTCTCTCTCTCTCTCTCTCCCTCCCTCTCTCTGACCCCCGTCGGCCCGTCCTCCGGGGGTCAGATATCAGTACGAACCAGAACATTGTGGGCAGTTAGCGGCTTCATTCTTACCGTTAATTCACCGGACTTCTTCCCGCAGACATCACCGGGCTCCAGCTGAGCGCGCAGAGCTTCTTCTTCTTCTTCTGCTTCTCCTCAGTAGGCAGAATTGTCGCGTAGCGCCCCCGCTGGTGTGATTCCGCATCACGGAGTAATGTTTTATTAATACATCATCTGAATGTTTTTTATTGGTGAGTTTTTTCTGACATTTACGTCTTCATTAGAATCTTCTCGCCCAGACTCAGATATTTCATCTATTTAGCTACAACAACTTCCTGACACACGGAAGCGCCGGCTCGGAGTCTCAGGGGCCCCGCCAGGATTGTTCGCTCCCCCACCGCTCTTCTCCTACACAACGACCGCTCCTCAGAGGACCTGAAGTTCTCAGAGGACTCGTCCTCTGGTGGGGGGTCAGAACCACCGGGAGCTGAACTCACAGAGGACAGTGGACTTCAGGAGGAGACCTCCAACACTGCCCCCCCTCACCATACCCAACAGCACTGAGTCTGCTGGGAAGACCTTCAGGTTTCTGGGATCCACGATGTCCCGAGACCTGAAGTGGGCCTCAACACAATAGTTTAATTGAATGACATCACCACATTGAAAATATAATAAACATGTTTTATTTCTCAGCGCACGGTGACATGGTGGTTACAAGGTTAGAAGGTTAGAAGGTCCTGGGATTGCGACTTTGAAGCTGATTGACTGACTGATCTATATTGTATAGTTGTTCAATTTTACCATCACCTGTTTTTACTTTTTTTTAATCTTTTTATATTTTCTGATTCTGATTGTATAGAGTTTTGGCGTCTTTACGCACCGTCATGTCGACTGGTTTCACTTCCTGGTTGTAAAGTCTAAAGACAAACCGGCGTTTGTGGAGATCTCCAATCGGAGGCCACGCCGCGCCAGCCTTGTGGGCTGCGTAGCTTTTGACCCTAGTCTAGAAAAATGTGTCGACGCACAACGAGGTGTGAAAAGACACGCAAGGGACGTTCTTGCTTCTTGCGTGTCTCTGAAAACGCAGAAGCATAAACTAGGCTTCATACGTATAGTATGTAGATATTTATAGCATATAGAAGTGTTGAGGCTGTAGTTCCCGCTACCGGTCGCTTGGTGGCGGTAATGCGCCCACAGGGTGTTTGCTAAATGTAAATAAAACATAAGCGAAGAAGAAAAAGCCATGACGTCGTCCTCTCCGCAGCTCCCATTGGCTCTCACAGCTCCAGCCGTTTGGTCCTCAGCAGGACGGGGCGTCTACTCCAGATTTAATATTATTATTATTATTATTGACACAACAGCTTTGGTCAAACTACAGTTTCTACATTTCGGACCCAAAGGGACATTGGGTGTAAGTAAAGACACTTGTTTCCGGTTTGTAAGGCTGTTGTTGTCGATGGCTAGCAGGCTAACGCAGCTATGCTAACGTTAGCTATGGATTAGTAGCGTTAACATAGTTCATGTGTGTTGGTATCTAGTCACACTATGTATTCGTGTTGAAAACGTTTCAATATTATCTAGATGAATACTAATAATCTGTTGTTATCATAGCTAACGAGCTAATGTTGCTAGCTCCCCAGCCTGTTGCTCTTTGTTGACGACTGTTTCTTCTTCTGCAGTAATTCCTCAGTCTGATCACTTACACGTGGAACATAAAAGAAGAAGAAGGTGGAGGACCGATAAAGCCGTCATATCCGGTCTGAATGTGACCACCGAGGCTCCAGCTGTCCGGCTGTAGGTGGAGAGGGAGGAGCTGCTTCTCCACTGTGTGTCCCGCAGAGAGGGGAGACAGACAGACTAAAAGACGGGGCAGACAGACAGACGGGCAGGTACCTGTCTCCGGGGTCCAGATGGGGAACAGCGCGCTGAAGTCTCACCTGGAGACCTCCCAGAAGACGGGAGTGTTCCAGCTGACGTCGAAGGGCCTGCAGGAGGTGAGAGGCGCCCACACACACCTGTGCCTTCGATGACGTCATTGTTGTTTACGGCTCAACATCGCCGTGGTGACACAGAAACATCGGCTGTGTTCACCCACAACAACAGAAGTCATGTCAGCGGGCGTCTTCCATGAATCTGTGGACGGCTCACCTGGTCCTCGTTCATCAGCTAGTGTGGAGATGAAAACCTGTGAGTCTCCGCCGTCTTTTGGGTTTGACCTCCGTTTGGCTCCACCTCTCGTTTCAGTTCCCAGAGGAGCTGCAGAAACTCGCCGCCAACCTGCGGACCGTCGACCTGTCAGCCAACAAGATCGAGGTTCTTCCCGCCGCCGTGGGGAACTTCCTGCAGCTCAAAAGTCTGACGCTGAACGCCAATCGGCTTGGTGAGTGTGTGGACCAAAGGAACTCCCATGATGCAACGCTGCGTCACCACAACACATCTGATGTTGCTTTTTGTGGTTGCTGGACCCCAAGTGGGAAAAATGACATCACTTTTTCTAAAAGGGAAGAGGAGGACGAAGGGGAAGAGAAAGACGTGGGAGGACAGGCAGGAAAAATATGTCACACATAATAAACAGGGAGACTCAATATTGTCATGAAGATCATAGTTTTCTAAACTGCAGAAGAAGAACTGTGCGACTTCCTGCTTCGGTTCCCTCTGTCCGGTTCTACAAGGTCTTTAACCTCCGAATGTTTCTGTCCTCAGCCGAACTCCCCGCTGAGATCGGGAAGCTGAAGAAGCTGGAGACTCTGAGTCTCAACGGCAACCGGATCCAGCAGCTTCCCCCGACCCTGGGTCAGCTCAGAGCCCTGCGGACCCTCAACCTGTCAGGGAACCAGATCTCAGAGTTCCCCCCCGGTTTGGGGACCCTGAGGCACCTGGACCTGCTGGACCTGTCCCGCAACAAGATCCGGAGCGTCCCGGCCGCCGTGTCCGAGCTGCAGACCATCGAGCTGAACCTCAACCAGAACCAGGTACCACCGGCCAGTTAAAGATGCATTCTGTCCAATGAACACCAGGGGCAGCAGAGAAGAGGTGAGGAGTGAGGGAGACGAAGGGAGATGGTGAGATTGAGGAAGGGGGAGTCTGAAGGATGGACCAACAGGAAGTAGATGAAGTCAGTGTTCTCATGTGTGATGACGGGTTCCCGGCCTGAACAGCGTGCATCTCTACTACAAGGCCATCAGACATGCGGGCGACCTGAAATACTAATAATACGACTACGTACCTTAGTTCTTGCCGTTTTACTGCCAGTTAGTGAGCCCTCCTAACTTTGCTAGCTTTGTACATAAATTAATCAGATTTTATTATGCTTTTATTGTCTTTTTTGATCCTACCCTCAACCCTTCTGAAGAAAACAACTACGACCGTCTCTCTTCTTCCCTTTCTGTCCAAAACTCTTGAACATAATACCTTTAACCAACTCTCCTCTTATCTTCACCGTTACAACCTCCTTGACCCCCACCAGTCAGGCTTCAAGGCCGTTCCACAGAGACTGCTCTCCTTGCTGTCTCAGAGCAACTCCACACTGCTAGAGCTCCTCTCTCTCCTCTGTCCTCGTCCTTCTGGACGTTTCTGCTGCATTTGACACGGTCAACCAGCAGATCCTCGTCTCCTCCCTTCAGGAACTTGGTGTCTCAGGCTCTGCTCTCTCCCTTCTCTCGTCCTACCTCGACGGACGCTCATACCGGGTAACCTGGAGAGGATCTGTGTCAGAACCTTGTCCTCTTACTACTGGAGTTCCTCAGGGTTCCGTCCTGGGTCCCCTCCTCTTCTCGCTCTACACCAACTCTCTCTGCGCTGTCATTCGCTCGCATGGCTTCTCCTACCACAGCGATGCTGATGACACCCAACTAATTCTCTCCTTCCCTCACTCGGACAGAGAGCCTTCACATCTTCACACTCTCCCTCCACTAACACACTAACTACCTGCAGCACTTACATTGGACTTATAATGGTTCTTATCTACAGCAAGTTGTACATTGGATTATTTGATAAAATTGCACTTTCTTGTTTCTTGTTCTTCTGAGTTTGTATCCTTATGTTTGAATAACTTATTGTAAGTCGCTTTGGATAAAAGCGTCAGCTAAATGACATGTGATGTAATGTGATGTAACTAGTCTGGTCTTGCTCTTGATCCAGATCTCGGTGCTGTCGGGGGACGTTTCCCTGTGTCCTCGTCTTAAGGTCCTCCGTCTGGAGGAGAACTGCCTGGAGTTGTCCTCCATCCCTCAGTCCGTCCTGGGGGGCTCTCAGGTGTCCCTGTTCTCTGTGGAGGGGAACTTGTTTGAGGTGAAGGACCTCAGAGACCTGGAGGGATACGAGAAGGTTAGAACCACTTTCTGTCACGCTCCATTCAGGGCCTGTGGGAGATGAGAGAGGAGCAGATACTGGTCTATACTGTTCTGTGATGGTCTCTAGTGGTGCCCAGTGGAATGTAATGGTCTCTGCTGTTCCCTTCTCAGTACATGGAGCGTTTCACGGCCACCAAGAAGAAGTTCACCTGAAGACCTCTGTTTGCGACGCTGCCAGTGTTCCTCCAGCGATGCGTTCAGTCATTAACGTTCACTAACATTATATATAACATTATAATTACTTTTCTTACCGTAATATTTAATGCACATAACTTCTTCTTGTGAATCTGTTTAAATGCATATGTCTCCTGTTATGAAGCAGAAGATGTTTTATTTTATTCGGCAATGCTCAACATGACAAGCAGATCAGTTACAGATTATGAAAACAATAAAGTAATCATTTACTGAATTATCTCATGTGAGATGAATACACGATGGAATTAATCCTGGATATGTCGCTGAAATAGAAGATGTGAGTTTGTATAATAGAATTTCATTGTTTATTTAATTAATAAATGCTATGAAATCAATAAAAACGTTACTTCATACTTGATTAATTGAAATAAAAACGTGTTAATGAATCCAAATAGCTAAACATCTTCTGATGTCTGATTATTTATACGTGTAATAAGTGTGTATCTACACGCTGTACCCAATCTGTGACGTCACACCACCAGGTACTGGTCATGCGCAGTGACGCACGCACGAACATTTTCCCGAGGGAGAAATCAACAAACAACGTCAATGTGGACTGAATGTACCACGCACTTCCGGTGACGTCATTAATGTTTCCTTCACATTGAGCTTTGTGGTTAAAAATGATGATGTGAAATATTAAAAAATACTACTAATGTAAACACCTTAATATGTTTAAATAGGTAGACATATTATTTAAGGCGTTTGTTTTGAATTAAACATGTGGTGTAAATCCAAATCCACCACCAGTATTACAATTAAAATATGATGCAAGAATGAAACAAATGAAATAGAAAGTGCAGAAGTCGGATTTATTTTGAAGGCATCCCTTCCGGTGTGAGACCTCACGCACGCTGCTTGACGTCACCAACTTTCTGCACTTTCCTCCTTTTGCCGAAGAAGAAAGTTTTTTCTCTTCCATGAATTCAGCGTCTCATCCTCCAAACGACCGCCGACTAACCACCTCTTCCCCCGGGGAACGGGGAGGGAGACCAGAACCGAGCCGAGCCGAGCCGAGTCAACCCGGGTCGCGTGTGTAATGAGAGCATGAATCTGTCCGTGTGGGTTTTGCTGTTTCTCGCGCGGAGCCGCGGGGGGATCTGTGGGAGTGGTGAGTGGACCCGGGATCAGTGCGTGTGGTTCTGGTTCGTCTGTCGGGGTCCAAACGAAGCTCAAGGACACTTCGCGTCTGTCGTGAAGTTCACACGGTCTTTTTTGCAAAGATTAGTTTACAGTTTGAAACGTGTCTAAAAACCTAGTATGAATATTCATGAGCGTTCACCAAACAAACCTCAGCTGTTGTCTTCGCCTGCAAAGTGCACTTTTAACCCCTCCGGCCAGAACAAACCTCCATTATCGGTGACTTCCGGTGCTCAGTGGTTCTCCGAATGTTCGCCGAATGGTCCAGCAGACCGTCGCCATCTCGCTTTGCTCTGCGAGAAGTCTGTTAATGTCGAGAAAGCAGCAAACAAGCTTCCGTGTTTCTAAATTCAGGTGTTTTCGAATGTAGTTTGGTGCGAGAACTGCGGCCACCGGGCAAAGTGCGCGTGCGCGTGTTCCTGAGGGAATGTGGGCTTAACACAGCTTTTAATAAACTTACTGAGGATATGAAGACCGCTACATGTGGGCGGTCAAAGGTCACGGGACGTTCACCCCTACCTGAGTTGTGAAAACATAAAAACCCTTTTGACAAATTTCATCACATGAAACGTGCTTTCATTCGTTGATGATGACACTAGTTTTGTAGTAAACAAACTGATCTTTGTAGTAAACAAACTGATCTTTGTAGTCTCTATTGAAGAAAGCCGTCTGTGTCTGTCTGTGTTCTTTGGACTTTGACGTCTTTCTTCTTCTCGTGTCTTGTAGGCGTGGCGTTCACCAAGCACCCGACCAATCAGACGGTGTCTCAGGGCAACGCGGCTCGGCTCGGCTGTGCCGTCCAGGGTCTCACGGAACCGGATATCATGTGGATGAAGGACGGAGAGAAGCTCTACAGCACCGACCAGATGTTCATCACGCTGGGAGAGCAGCACTGGGAGACCTACCACAGGTACACATCAATACATCAATCATAGATCAATCAACCGTGGTATGTGGTGGAGTGTGGTACATAATGAACTGTGGGAGACCATGAAGGACCGTGGCTGACCATGATGGACTGTGGTAGACCATGAAGGACCGTGGCTGACCATGATGGACTGTGGTAGACCATGAAGGACCGTGGCTGACCATGATGGACTGTAGTAGACCATGAAGGACCGTGGCTGACCATGATGGACTGTGGTAGACCATGAAGGACCGTGGCTGACCATGATGGACTGTGGTAGACCATGAAGGACTATGGCTGACCATGAAGGACTGTGGGAGACCATGAAGGACTGTCGTAGACCATGATGGACTGCGGGAGACCATGATGGACTGTGGTAGACCATGAAGGACCATGGCTGACCATGGCGGACTGTGATGAATCTGATGGTGTCCCTGTTTCCGTGGTTCTGGTCTGGTTGAGGTCCTGACGGTGTGTGTGTTCTGGTCCCCAGTGTGAAGTCGGTCCAGCAGCAGGATGCGGGTCAGTACTGGTGCGAGGTGGAGTTCCATGACCTGACCTTCTCCTCTGAGCGAGCTTGGATCACGGTGGAAGGTGAGGACCCTGAAGGCACCTGCTCTACTTCCTGTCCGCCGCCTCCCACCGTTGTGCTGAGATTACCCATGATGCTCCCTGTCTCCTGCAGGTGTCCCTCACTTCCTCCAGGAGCCCCAGGACGTCTCCACGCTCCCCAACGTATCCTTCAACCTCACCTGTGCTGCCGTCGGCCCCCCCGAGCCTGTGGAGGTGCTGTGGTGGCTGGGGGGTGTCCAGGAGGGGGGCCCCCGACCGTCGCCCTCCGTCCTCCACGTTCAAGGTGAAACACGCCCCCCAGGTGCATCATGGGCGATGTAGGATCCAGTGTTCCTCCAGCTAAAGCCGACCTGATGAAGTTCAGTAACTCGATGCACTCGAGCGTCTCCAGGAACATCGTGTTCTTCTTCACAGCGTTCAAACCTCAGCGCTGCGATCTGCACCAACCCGTTAAAACACTCAGTAAACAAGTAAAACAACAAGACGCAACAAGAAAACAATTCATTTCTCTCAGACGAAGCTTCCAGAAGCCGAGCACAGCGACCAGATGAGCCATAGACTCTGACGGGTCGACGGACTTATGAGATCCGCAGGTTTTAGACAAAGTAGTTATTACACTGTTTATAAGGGTTAGGGTTATAATTAATATATATAGTTATGATAATATCACTGTATGGGCTCTCCTCTTCTCTTTGTCTGTCTGTCTTCCTGTCTGTCTGTCTGTCTGTCTCCCTCTCTTCCTGCCTGTCTCCCTCTCTTCCTCTCTGTCTGTCTTCCTGTCTCCCTCTCTTCCTCTCTGTCTGTCTTCCTGTATCCCTCTCTTCCTGTCTGTCTGTCTTCCTGTCTCCCTCTCTTCCTGTCTGTCTGTCTTCCTGTCTCCCTCTCTTCCTGTCTGTCTGTCTGTCTTCCTGTCTGTCTCCCTCTCTTCCTGTCTGTCTGTCTGTCTTCCTGTCTCCCTCTCTTCCTCTCTGTCTGTCTTCCTGTCTCCCTCTCTTCCTGTCTGTCTGTCTTCCTGTCTCCCTCTCTTCCTCTCTGTCTGTCTTCCTGTCTCCCTCTCTTCCTGTCTGTCTTCCTGTCTGTCTGTCTTCCTGTCTCCCTCTCTTCCTGTCTGTCTGTCTCTCCAGGAGTAAACAGCAGTGTGAAGTTTTACTGTGAAGCAAAGAACACCAGAGGGATCTCTGTGTCTCGAACAGGAAGTGTTCACATCAAAGGTGAGTTCACCTGTGTGGATCATAATGACTCATACAGGTGTGTTTTCCGCGCGTAGCATGTAGCATGTAGCATTGAAGCTGATTGTACATTCAAACCATGTTCTATTATATAAACAACGTTTTTGTACACAATGAAGAATGAGACAGCGATCCACCTGTTGCTCCGCTGTGTTTGGATGATAACTCTTTGGGGGCGGGGCCTCCATCTCAGTGTTGCCGGCGGCGCCGGTCAGGCTGCAGGTGAGGATGCTGGACAACAACGTCACATTGTCATGGAAACCGGGATTCTCGGGTTACGCCGAGGTCTCCACCTGTGTTGTCCAGGTAACACACAACACTATAATTATAAACCAATTAACGTCTCCTCCCACGTCTCATCCTCCGTCCTCGTCCTGCTCCTCAACCCCCCCTCAGCTGTCCAGGCGTGCGGTCCAAAGGTGGGACCTCCCTCAGCAGGAGGTGCAGGTTCCTCCTCACCTCCAGGTGCTCTCTGGTCTGAGGAGTCACTCAAACTACAGCGCCAGAGTATCCTGTATCAACGAGGTGGGGGCGTCGCCCTTCAGCTCGTGGCTCCACTTCATCACACCTGAGTCAGGTAAACAAGTCCTTGATCACCAGGTAACCTGGGCTCCGTTCCTCGTACCTGGATAACTGAGTTAGCCGGATCATTTTCAGGATTACTTAAGTCAGGCTTTTCGTTTCCACAAGCCAAGTTTGGCAAAATCACCGATCTCCGAGATCACATGATTCATTATGACATCACTTCCTGTACCAGCGCCATTGATGCTGAAGACCACAGTCTTCCTGGGGCTGACTGTCCCACACACTGTCCCACAGACTGTCCCACGCACGGCCCTTGGTTGTAGGGTGTTGCTGATACAGACCGGTACCAATATGGCACCGGCTCCTACAGGACCGGTATCTGCCGTACCGAAACCCAACCATCGGACACCGCGTGAGACCGGCGCCGCCCCCTCAAAGTATTAAACGGAGGGTGTAGCGGCGTTCTCTCGGTGTTCGGTCGATGCGTTGAGCTGCAGACACGTGACTCCATTCCGTCTCTATTTTACGCAGCAAAGCGTTCACGCCTCATGCTGCCTTCATGACGTCAGACGTGGAGACAAACAAGGAGCGTCAATCACACATCAATGCTTTTCATTATATGTCACATATATCTTTAGTTCCTGCACAGTGAGCATACATCTACAATTAAATAATGAATATTCCAAAGGACCAATACACACGTTTGGCTGTAATTAAACTGTGATGTATATGTAAGATACGTACACACAGTACAGCTGCTTCTCTATTAACCACCATGTGACGGAAACATCCACCATGTCTGCGTTCCACGGCGAGTCGCCCCTCACGGTAGCTAAATGATTTAATACCTTTATTAGTAATGATTTACCCCCCCAGCGCCCTCCTCGGCACCCAGGAACCTCTCCTTCCAGCTGTCCGAGCAGCACCTGGCTCTGGACTGGGCCGGGCTGCAGGAGGAGCAGCTTCGGGGCCGACTGTTGGCCTACAAGGTGCAGTGGACTCTGGGAGGAGAAGCACAGGTGAAGGGTTGGTTGATTGGTCGAATGTGGGTCAGCTGACCAAGCTCCTCCCACTGAATTCCTCCTCCTGTACGTGCGTGTGCTCAGGAGCCGCTGCTGTTCAAGGAGAACCGGGCTCAGCTCTCAGGAGGAGGACGCTTCTTCAACGCCTCCTTCCAGGTGTCGGCCTGCACCGCGGTGGGCTGCGGGCCCTGGAGCGCCCCGCTGCTGGTGCTGCCCCCCGTCGAGGTCCGGGACCAGCGCAGCCACATGTGGGTCGGCCTGCTTCTGGGCCTGCTGGTGGCCACCGTGGTCGGGCTGCTGCTCGCCGCCGCCGCCCGCCGCCGCAACAAGGAGACGCAGTTTGGGTAAAAACACACACACAGGCTGAGGATCCCTCCACCGCGGGAAGTAGTCCCCACCGACGCGTGTGTCGTGTGTTCCTAACAGGTCGGCCTTCAAGCCTCCAGGTCCAGAGAGCTCGGTGTCCTTCACGGCGGCTCGGACCTTCAGCAGGACCAGCGCGGAGCTGCAGGAGTCCACCTGTGAGTGGCGGCCCGGACCAGACCGGACCGGACCGGATCAGACCGGATCAGAGCCGTTTAATCAAAGAGAATATGAACTTTGTTTCAGTTGTGATGTCACTTGCGTTATGAAATAGATAAATGAGTAGACGTGAGACTTTAGCTGCTAGCATGACGCCAGATGGAGAGGTGCACTCTGGGTGATGTAGGCAAATAAAAGTGTGGAATAAGAAAAAAAATCATTAAGATCGTTTATCTTTTTTAAAACAGTCTCTTTGTGTTTGTCTTTTGTCTCGTTGTGTGTCCGTGTGTGTCTGTCTCTGTGTGTCTCCAGTGGACAGTCTGGGTATAAACGAGGACCTGAAGAACAAACTTCAGGACGTTCTGATCTCAGAGAGACTTCTCACACTGGGACACATGCTGGGGAAAGGTGACACAACTACACACTAACACACACCTACGAGTGCACACACAACAAATGGATGTAATGAGGTGTGTGCCTGCGTGTGCGTGCGTGTGTGCAGGTGAGTTTGGCTCGGTGCGTGAGGCCTTCCTGAAGAAGGAGGACTCGTCCGTCCTGAAGGTGGCCGTCAAAGTGCTGAAATGTGAGTCCTTTCTTCTTCGTTGGTGAGATGCAGACAGGAAGTGATTAAACGAAGCAGAAAAGTTTAAATACAGAAACGCTCACGTTTGATACACTTTTTAGTTTAGTTTTTTATTGATTCAGGTTCATTGTAACTCGGAAACACAGAATCAAATGTTTGACTTCATCAGTACCAAATTAAGTGTTGTTTGAAATGTGTGTGTGTGTCCAGCTGACATCACCTCGTCATGTGACATTGAGCAATGTCTGAAGGAGGCGGCCTACATGAAGGATTTCCACCATCCCAACGTCATCCAGCTCATCGGTAACACACACACACACACACACACACACACACACGTGAGCGATGTTTTGACAGGCCCTGCCATCCAATAGGAGTGAGTCTCCAGCGGCGCCCCGGCTGGCGGCTGCCCGTCCCGATGGTGGTTCTCCCCTTCATGGAGCACGGGGACCTGCACACCTTCCTGCTGCTGTCCCGCCTGGGGGACGCTCCCTTTGTGAGACAACCTCTTACTCCTCTGTGTCATGGGCTCAGAGGTCAAAGGCCTCAGGAGGCCTTAAGGAGAATTCAGTTCACCCACAATTCCTCTTCGTCTACATCATTTCACTTAAATAATGTTCAGTTATTTGAACTCTGTGTCCTAATCTCCTCCTGTCCTCGTGTCCCCCACCAGAGCTTGTCTCTGCAGACCCTGCTGTGCTTCATGTTGGACATCGCCAGAGGGATGGACTACCTGAGCAGTCGGAGCATCATCCACCGAGACCTCGCCGCAAGAAACTGCATGTCAGTCCTCCAATCAGCTTGCAGCGCGGACCAGGCCCCGCCCCCTCATTTACATAGCACACATTCACTTTGACTGTTATAGCTCATTTCTCTGTCTCGCAGGCTCAATGAGAACATGGTGGTGTGTGTAGCAGACTTCGGCCTCTCTAAGAAGATCTACAGTGGAGATTATTACAGACAAGGTTCTGTTTCTAAACTTCCTGTGAAGTGGATCGCTCTGGAGAGTCTGGCTGACAACGTGTACACGACGCAGAGCGACGTGGTGAACAAACACATCCACACACACATCCACGCTGTACAGTACAGAACATGTCAATGATCTGTGTGTGTGTGTGTGTGTGTGTGTGTGTGTGTGTGCCTCAGTGGGCGTTCGGGGTCACCATGTGGGAGGTGCTGACTCGAGGTCAGACTCCGTATCCTGGAGTGGAGAACTCCGAGGTGTACGAGTTCCTGATCCGAGGAGAACGACTGAAGAGACCTTCAGACTGCAGAGAGGACATGTGAGTCCTCCTGCAGTCGCCCTGCTGACCACCAGGGGGCATCTAGACCTGTACTATATACCACATGCTACATACTATATGATATATGCTACATGCTACATGCATACCCTTGATTGGATTGACAGGTCTCTAATAGAGCATTATTATTATTATTATTACATATATATATATTATTACAATTATTATTGTAATAATAATTACAACAATAATTATTACAATTATTATTGTAATAATAGAGCACAAAGAAGAATATAATTGTAGGATCAATGATGCCTGATGAAATCGATATGTAGGCCTGACTCTTCTTCTTTGGTGGTGCTTCCTGTCAGCTATGAGGTCATGCACAGCTGCTGGAGTCCCGTCCCTAAATGCCGTCCCAGCTTCCAGCATCTGGTGAGTCAGCTGGAGGCGCTGTGTCTCAGTCTGAGCCCCGCCCACCCGCTCAAGGAGCCCCTGCTCTACGTCAACCTGGAGGGAGGGGAGGGGGGGGGCGAGGACGGAGCGAGGGGGCCAGAGATGGGTGGGGGCGGGGCCCCGAGCTGGAGCGTTCCTTGGCAGCGGCAGCCAGAGACCGAGGAGAAGGACTGGCTGATGGTGGGGTCAGAGGTCGCGCTGGCCATCGGAGGAGACTACAGGTACATCATTGGCCGCTGCGGAGCCCCGGAGGAGGAGCCAATGGACCCGCTACAGGTCAGAGACGATGATGATGTCATTAATGTCTGACCAATCAGCGATGCTCCTCCCACCTGAAGGACCTGAGACGCTCATTTTATGGCACCAAGGAGCAGCAGGCGGGTGGAGACACACAACTGGTACTTCTAAAACACTGCTACTGTGTACTGGTAGTACTCTCTACTAGTACTTATTGTGTACTGTTAGTGCTTTGTAAGTACTCACTGTGTACTAGTAGTATTCACTGTGAACTAGTACTTGTGTCTACTAGTGTCCCGCTCTAAGGGGACAGACTAAACTGACCTAAAGGAAGAACCTGATCCTCGTCTTCATCTGAAGTCAGCTAGCATTAGCCTCATGCTAACCCAGACCGAGGAGACCGATGACTACTTTGCTTTTATAAACCACACATGTCTGGTGAGGTGAAGATGTTTGACTAAAAAAAATAACGTTTATTAAATCTAATTATATTTTCTTGTTGCTTTAGTTCATTGATCAAATATTCTCTGCAGTTTTATAATGTTTATGTGCAATATCAGTTACATTCTGTTTTTATTCATATAGAAATGTTACATTTAATAAACTAGAGAATGATGACGGGCTGTAGAGTCTCGTTTTTGATTACTTGAAGGTTTCAGGGGAACGAAACTAAAACTAAGCGATAAGTCTTATTGATCCAATAAAGGGAGCGTGTGTCTCGTGTTTATATGATCAAACCCGGCATTACCTGGAGACTACTGACACTACTGTGTACTACTGACTACACGTGTCAATAAAGTGTTATTGTGTCACACATGGAGTTTCTCTCTGCTTTGATCCGCGTTGATTAGTGTGTGCAACATGTGAACATGTTAGAGAACACATTCTGCAGGAAACATACTAGAGCACGTGAAGATGCTGCAGAACATACCACATATTAAGACATACTTGAGGATACGTGAACATACTACAGAACATATGTACATTTTAAAATACTCCAGTACACGTGAACTAAAAAACACAGGAAAACACTCCAGTGTACATGAACATACTATAGAAGATGTGCACATACTACAGTACCTGTAAACATATAACGCAGCCAATGGATATACTAAAGAACACGTGAACATACTAGAGAACATGTAAACATATTCCAGTACACGTGAACATATGACATACTCCAGTATGCGTGAACACGTTACAGTCCACGTTCAGATCAAACATCAAAGATGCTGCATTTCTGTCAATAATTCAATGTGCAGCTGATTAGATGCTTTTTATTGTTTCTCTTTATTTAAATCGACACGTTGACTGATGAGAAACAAACAACGTACATGTTTTGCTTTAATCTGTAACTTAAAAGTTCCCATGAATATGATGTATAATCAAATGAAACAGTGTCTGTAGCGCTGTTGAAAGTGTACTGCAACATATTTAGTCACATCAGGGAACTTCTTCTTTTGGAACAATCAAGATCACAACGCGTTTCTGCTGTGACGCATTTCCGGTGGATTACCGGAGATCGATCAAGAGCTCCGTGTGACTGCGAAGCATCAGATAGAGAAACAGGAGAGGAATCGGTGGCTATCGATCTGGAGCTTAAAGTTCCATGACGTCACCCACACGCGACGCTCTGCAGGTCGATTGATCTTAATGTTCAACCTGACGGGGACGTGTTAGCTCGGGAGCTAAGCTAGCAGAGGCTCCGTCTCCACTGGATAACGAACACATTCCATCACGTTCATCGCTCCCGGTGCGCATGCGCCGCTTATAACGCGCCCCATTGTCGCGTGAGCGTGCACGCGCGGCCTACCGTTAACAACGTGACGTAACGTTAGTTATTCCACGCTATCGATCCCATAGACAATGCTGCCATTAAACGTATCTGACGTTGCTACCGTAAGTCTGACCTTTAAGGCGTTAATATACCGCCCGCTACCACGTCACTGTGGACGTGTTATATATTACAGAGCAACATGGCTGAAGCGCTTTGTTCCAAGAGGTGCGTTCAGGGTCTCGGACGGGAAGTGGTCGAGCGATGCATCGACCTGCTGCTGTGTTACCACGGAGCCGGTCGCCGTGACGGGTCGCGGCCCTTCGGAGGGCTCGTGTGTCGGTTCACGGAGCGGAGGGACGCGCGGAATCCGGTTTCAGAAGCCATGAACTGCCTTAAGATCCGTTGGGTGGAGCGGTTCCATTCAGTGAACTATTGCCCCCCCCCAGCGGGGCAACTATCGGCTGGGTGAACTCCCCCTCAGCTATGAATGGACCGTATCGATCACCCAGCTAACCGTTATTCGCTCCCTTTGACCCGCTTCACGTTCGCTAACGGTCCGTTGGGACCGGAGGGCACTAACGTTAATCTGTGAAACTGTCATGGCGTCGGTCCTCGGCTTCCGGGCGGGTTCGACGTCCCACTAACCGACCCGCACCGGCAGCGATTCCGCCACCAGCCGGGCGCCCCGCGTGCTCTTCTCCCCGGGAAACGGACCGTAGATCCTTCGGTGTCGTGCCGCGAGGTCAGCCGGGCCCGCGTTTTGAAACCGCATCTGGCGGCAGTAAGATGGCGTCCGCGTCTGCGCACAAGCGCGGCAAGAACGAGGCGATGACGTAGTGGAGCCAGCACGCCGCATGTCCGCCGCCCCCCCAACCTCCGTTAGAAAAGAGCCGCGATGCCGACGGCGGGTTCACACGACGGAAAACGCACCGTAACGCGCGGATTAACGGTTCCCCGTCGAGGCAGAAGGTCGTCCGTGTGCCGCACGTGGTCGTAAACGGTCTCTACGGGACCGGAGCCGGTGAGGTTTACTGCACCGTGGGTCGGCCATTACTGGGCCTAGCTAGCTGCAGCTGGACACCACAAGTCAACTGCTCTGTTCTGAGCTCTAGTTTTCCCTTAAAGCCGCTAGAAACTCTAAATGAGTTGGGGTGAGTTTGCGTGTTGTTGGGGACATTGCGTCAGATTTAAGTTTAAGCGTGTTATTGGTGGACAATAGTAACATGCTAGCAGCGGGTGGGCCTGCCGCTGTAATGATGGGCATGGGTTTAATGTGTAGAGGACCCTTCACTGAGCAGGTAACTGCAGTTTCTCACCTGATGAAGTAGTGTTCTGCGCGTGTTCGTGGTATCGAAGCTACTTGTCCGCCATTGTTACTGAAAGGCTCATCGACGTGTTTGTCACGCTGTGAAAGAACCAGGAGACGACCCCTGGTCAAAGCTTCATGTGTTAAAGCTGCATTCTCTGTAGTGAACAGCAGGGGGCGACACCTCCGGCCCCCTCAATCTATGATCAAATTACTCAGTAATAATAATACATTTAATTTATATAGCGCTTTTTCAAAATGCTCAGTCACTTTACATAAAACATTGTAAACGTGAGTCTCTTATGGTCTCAGTCTCTAGTTTCACGTCTTCTTCAATAGAACATGATGTTCATTTAGTGAATGATGGTCCATTAGAGTCAGACCACAAAACCGTAGGGCGGGGCTACACACTGATTGACAAGTCTCTACCTAACATCAGATGTCTTTGTCTCAACTTTTAAAAATGTAATTGTTGTATTTGTTTGAATTAAATATTTTGTTTACTTTGCCGTTGCATTAGCACGTCGTTTGCCAGCCAACTACTTTATTTGGGGAAAACTTCGCGTGGAGGAAAATTGAGAGCAAGCTGGCTTGTTCAATGGTAGCCATGTTAACACGGAACCATGTTAATCAGTATTCAGGTAGTTTGGGGACTGATGTTGTCATGCCTCAAATTTAGGAACCACTGGACAAAAGGAAATCTTTCACAATTCCTTGCAGTAGCAATATTTAAATAGTGAAATATATCTTGGCCGTTCACAAGAAATGGCAATCGTGGCAGAGAAACGCAGATCATGCAAGTACTCAGTCGCATAAATCATTCATATTGCAAAATACTTTGAACCTGGTTGTTCATTTCGTCTACATCAACACATGAAGGCATCCAAGATGCTTCTCTGTAGTCCGTCTTAGGAGAAATTGTAGTCACTGCAGACTGACGTCACTAACATGCGTCTCCTGTCGCATCATACCTACGTCGCCTAGTGAAACACCGCGGTTGTCTTTTCCTCTAAATCTTTCCTTGACCCTGTGACGTTTTCCACAGAGGTCAAGGAATAGACGTTAGGAGGACTTGGATCCAGTCTGTTTCATTTGGTGGGCTGCATCCTCATAAGGACCCGGTCATCTGGTCTGCGTGGGCCGGGTCCTTCGACAACCCAAAGTAGAAGGTCTGGCCTACGGGACCTGCTTGTGTTATCAGCTTTTCCTCTGCCGATCCTGTTGCCTACTAACCTATTGTGCTCGACAGTGAAAGCCTTAAACCCCCCAAAAACCTATCAAATAAAGATCGAAAAGGGAATCTTAATGTTATGATATATTTCAGGCTGAGAGAAAAATATTTTTCAAGCCATTTTGAATTAAATCAGCTACGCTCTGAACCTTTAGCCAAAAGTAAGATTTTAATCTTAAATCAGAAAAAATCAATCAATACAGTCAATAAAAACTACAGCAGCAAACAACTTTATTGACTTGTAAGACTTTTTCTTCTTGCATATACAAGCTAATTTAACTGTAACCTAAGATTACGCAATATGTCCAAGCTACAGAAGATGAACGCACCACACACGGCATTCTCCTTCAGTGTGATGCTGCTTCCTCCTGCTCCCTAAAACACAACTAAATCCATAGTTAGTTTACAACAGCATGACGGCGTTAACGCATGATGGGATCGGCTGGATGGGCCCGATGTGTCCTTCAAGTCGTAGCCTGGAGGGTTACGGTTCAGGGCCCGCGTTGAAGGGGCCGACGGAACGGGACACCAGAGTCAACGAATGATGAGCAGCCTCAGGAGGAGGCAGTCGACCAAATGAGACACCGCTACTGTATCCTACTGGTAGAGACCTGTCAATCAGCATGTAGCCCCGCCCTAAAGCGTCCGCTGCTTAATGTCTGTTTGACTCTACATTAACCATAATTCACTAAATGAACATCATGCTGTGTTGAAGACTCCATGTTTACAATGTTTACTGAGGGAATAAATCAAGAGAGAAGTAGTTATTTTCTCATAAACGTCTATGGGACCAGAAGAGTCGCCCCCTGCTGGTCACTGCAGAGAATGCAGCTTTAACAGATGGTTTGACGTCACTTTAAAGAAGGTTGGCTCCTGGTTTACAATTGTAAATCATAGCTGAGAAGGCAGCAGTGTGCAGTTTGTGATTAAATGAAACGACTCCTGGGTCTTCACCATAAAGTAAAGTGGACTAGCTATTCTCATTTTAGTAACTGGCTGCTGCTCCAACATTTGGTGTCCTCAGTGAGTGATTATTTTTTAGTGTTGTAATACCAGACTATGGGACAAACGCAGGATACCAACTACTAGATGACACTTTTATGTAGTGTAGCTGAAGAACTTTGAGGTTATCCATCAAACCTCTTGGTCTTACCTCAGTTTATCTTGTTAATTTAAAAAAGTCACATTCTTGTGTTCTAGGATGCTGCTGTGAGCCGCTGCATCGACCCTCCCGCCCTTTAGATGTTCGGAGCCTGTTCATGGCTTCTAAGAAGAAGCAGAGAGCAATGGTGTTCCATCAGGGCGGTTCGACCATCCCAGCTGCCACCAACCATCCAGCCGCACGCCTCCCCATTCCCAAGCTGGGGAGGGTGAGCGATGGCGGGACAGAGCCAAACCCACATGTTGCAGAAGAAGATGTGGCCGTGACTGATAAACCCAACGGGATCCCCTTACAGGAAGACAATTGGACCTCCGGCGGATTTACCACCGGTAAATGTTCCGCTGGCTCAAACCCTAAGTCGGACAACCTGTCGCCCGTCATCGTCTGCAGAGGCATCAGAGTGACGTTGGACAACAACGGTATGTGGAACGAGTTCTTCAGGTGCAAAACGGAGATGATCCTCACCAAACAGGGGAGCCGGATGTTCCCCTACTGTCGCTTTCGTATCTCCGGCTTGCAGCCTTCCAAGAAGTACTCTCTGTACATGGACATCCAGCCGCTGGACGGCAGTCGGTACAGATGGACCGGTAAGAGCTGGCAGGTGGCTGGTAAGGCCGAGGGCCACGTGACGAGCCGGCCGTTTGCCCACCCCGAGTCACCGTCGACGGGTCAACACTGGATGCAGAGCCCGGTGTCCTTCTACAAGCTGAAGCTCACCAACGGCACCTCGGATCTGGAGGGAAACACGGTCTTGCGCCCGATGCACCGCTACCTTCCACGGATGCACGTGGTCCAGACAGACACAGACGCCAAAGACATGAAGCTGACCGGGCCTGCTGTCGTCACATTCGCGTTCCACCAGACCGCCTTCATGGCGGTCACTACTTACCAGAACTCAAGGTTCTCTCAGCTCAAAGTTGACTACAATCCGTTCGCCAAAGGACTGAAGGAGGACGCTTCCGGCGGCCTGAAACTGAAGTTGATCTCTGGCAAAGATGGAGGCGCGGCGGCTGACGAGCAGCATCCCGTGAAGAAGAGTCTGAAGTCGCTGCTGGCGAACTACAAACCTAGAAGCACAAAAGCTGCGGACGCAAAGCTGTCTGAGTCAAGTGACCCGGAGAGGAATTCCACTTCCAACGACGGTCAATCAGCCGCCAAAGCCTCCGAGGAGAGTTTGTGGTAAGAGTTCAGCTGTAAAGGTTACGATGGTGTGCTATCCTGCAGATTTTTTTGTACCAAATGTCAAGTTTGCAACAAGGTACGAGGTTGCAGACGTTTTAAAAGTCTGCGGCCATGTTTGGGAAAATAAGTATTTTTTTGGTTTGTTTCTTTCCCTCTCAAAACAGTACGTCAGTACGTCCCTCAATATAGGTGGTACATATCTGTGGTACAATTTAAATAAATAAATACATAGTGAACCTTAATACTTTTCCATCTAGCAGAACTTTAACATGGTCCTATACCGTTTACCTTCATACAATTGTCTTGACGTAGTACTTCCTCCCGGGAGCTGATAGCATTCAATTACAGCCACGACCTAACGGGCCTTAGCCTTAATCCTTTTACGACATTTTTACGACAATATGATAAATAATATTGGCTTATCAATATGGTGCAACAAGTAGAGAGTCCTAAAACCAGGAATCAGTTGTTATTCTACACTTCTGGAAGTCAATGTTTTTATGTGTATGCTCGGGTCAGAAGGATCAGGGTCATTAAATTTGATGTTTTCAGGAGGGAACCAGGGCAATATGTACCATCCAAACCACGGGAAACTTTTTATTTCACTGCATCAACTCAATGGCAAAAACTACAGGCGTTCCAGGGGAGGACTGTGGGGAAAAGCCCAGAAGTTACTGTCAGACCAACCCACTCGGCGCATTGTACATAAGTATTCACAGCCTTTGCTCAATACTTTGTTGAAGCACCTTTAGCAGCGATTACAGCCTCAAGTCTTCTTAGGTGTGATTCCACAAGCGTGGCACACCTGTTTCTGGGCAGTTTCTCCCATTCTTCATTGCAGAACCTCTCAAGTTCCATCAGGTTGGATGGGGAGCGTCGGTGCCCAGCCATTTTCAGATCTCTCCAGAGATGTTCAATGGGGTTCAAGTCAGGGCTCTGGCTGGGCCACTCAAGGACATTCACAGAGTTGTGCCGAAGCCACTCCTTTGTTATCTTGGCTGTGTGCTTCGGGTCGTTGTCCTGTTGGAAGATGAACCGTCGCCCCAGTCTGAGGTCCAGAGCGCTTTGGAGCATGTTTTCATCCAGGATGTCTCTGTACATTGCTGCATTCATCTTTCCCTCAATCCTGACGAGTCTCCCAGTTCCTCCCGCTGAAAAACATCCCCACAGCAAGATGCTGCCACCACCACCACCATGCTTCACTGTAGGGATGGTATTGGCCAGGTGATGAGCATGGTCTGAGAGTCCTTCAGGCGGGCTGTCATGTGCTTTTTACTGAGGAGTGGCTTCCGTCTGGCCTCTCTACCAAACAGGCCTGATTTGTGGAGTACTGCATAGATGGTTGTCCTTCTGGAAGGTTCTCGTATCTTCATAGAACAACGCTGGAGCTCTGTCAGAGTGACCATCGGGTTCCTGATCACCTCCCTGACTAAGGCCCTTCTCCCCCAATCGCTCAGTCTGGCTGGGCGGCCAACTCTAGGAAGAGTCCTGGTGGTTCCAAACTTCCTCCTTTTCCAGATGATGGAGGCCACTGTGCTCATTGGGACTTTCAATGCTGCAGAAATCTTTCTGTACCCGTCGCCAGATCTGTGCCTCGATACAATTCTGTCTCGGCGGTCTACAGATAATTCCTTGGACTTCATGGCTTGGTTTATGCTCTGATATGCACTGTCAGCTGAGATACCTTATACAGACCGCTGTGTTCCTTTCTCAATCATGTCCTATCAACTGAATTTAGCACAGGTGGACTCCAATCAAGTTGTAGAAACATCTGAAGGATGATCAGTGGAAACAGGAGGCACCTGAGCTACATTCTGAGTGTCATGGCAAAGGCTGTGAATACTTATGTTCATGTTGTGTTTTCATTCTTTATTTTTAACAGATTTTCAAAAATTTGCAAAAAGCAGTTTTCACTTTGTCATTATGGGTTGTTGTGTGTAGAATGTTGAGGAAAATAATGAATTTAATACATTTTGGAATAAGGCTGTAACATAACAAAATGTGGGAAAAGTGAAGCACTGTGAATACTTTTCCGGATGGACTGTATCTCTAAATTGCATGTTGGGGATGTGTACTATCCATTTGATGTGAAATTATCATGTACTTATTGATTGTTTCCTTTTAAATCTAATCTGAAATTGACCAGAAGTTGGCTGGTGAGTGGCCTAAGACCTTAATAATGTTAAAGATGAAGTTTGCAAAGCTGCATTCCTGGTGTCGCTCCTTATGGTTAACGATGACTGACTCTTTGGCCAACGGCCGCAGGAGTTCTTGCCTGCGTTTCTAGCCGTCCGGCCGGTGCCCCAAGGGCCCGTCCATCGCTGCTTGCAGCTTTAATTATATTTAAAATACAGTTTACAAATAGTCAATATTTGTGTTTTTGAAATGTGGATTATATATCCGCTAATATTTGTAAATATCTGCGTAAAATATATGCTTTTTCTGCACATCCTCTCTGCTGCTCTGCATGTCTCAGCTGGGCTCGGGCACGGCCCCAAAGCGCAGGTCCAAGAAGCAGTTAGCCAATCACTGACAAAGATAAATGAGTGACATTATAATTTCAGCGTCCTAAAATGCAATGAGACTTGGGCTCGCCCTTCGGCGCCCTACGCTGCGCCCTCGTCAGGGCGAGTCGTGACGCTCCCATTTAGCGACATGACAATGGCGTGCAGTATCCCGCCAACAAGCTTGTGAGAGAGTGTGAATATATTTACATTGGAAATTTATAGTAATGATATGGTAGTTATAAAATATTCTGGATTTTGTTATATATATATAATATATATATTATGAATAATAAGATGTCCTTATTATGTTAAGCTATTAGAATAGATATTTAACTACAAAGTTAGAATGCATTTTTCATACCTTTTTTTTTTTTGCCGTGAATCATACTGGGATGTTTACTGGAACTGATTGGCCCTACCAAAGAAAAGATCCACCAGCCGCCACTGCCCTACGCATTATTTTGGATGGTTTTTATAGCATTTAGATCCACCAATTTTCCTGCAATAAAATGATCCTGTGTATTGCAACCTTGCAAGGTACCTATAGTCTGCTAGATGAATATGTCTACGATTTTTAAATGCACCTATGTTTCCACAAGGCCACATTAGTCGCAAATACCGAACATTAGTCAGATAAATTAAGCTGGAACATGGATTTGTTGACTTTGTCAATCAATAGTTGACATGACACTTACATGATTTTTTTGTTTGTTCTTATTTCCTTCAGCGGAAATTTCAGTCCAGCTCAGAAGTTGTTCTCTGAACTAATTCGCGAGGCTCACGTCTCGCTGCAGAGATGCAACCTGAACCAGCTGGGCATCGACAACAGATCTGAGCAAAGCAACAACAAAACCACAGCTTTGAAAAGCCACGGACCGTATGACCGCAAAGGGGACGGGGGGACAATTGTTACAAAGAGGAAAGTCCGAGAGGATAACAGCCCTTCGAATTCAGTGAACTCCAAAGACGCCACCAGGACCGACTGTTCTGGGCTCAGCAATGCCGGTCTGGCGGGTTCCTGCAACTCCTCTGCGGACTCTGACCCTCAACTTAAAGCCAAGGCTCCATCAGAGGCAAAGCTAAAGCAGCACAAACGACCTCTGCCTCTGCCGGCCCTCGCTCGGTTTCTAAGGCAGCACTCCTCAAAATCCAGATTGGCCAAGAGCAAGCCAGACTCTCCTCTACCGGCACCCCCGACCGAGTGCCGGTCTCTCACTGAATGTCCTCCTTCTGACCACGGGAGCAAAGCGAACAACCTCGCCGATGACGACGCAACACCTGCCCGCCCCCAGGCCTCTGGACACAGTGAGCCACGTGTTCATCTGGAGGAGGTTTTGAATGTTACCGGACTGGCAGCTGAAACCGGTCATTCATGTTCAAACGCTGTGTCCTCTACGGACCCAGAGGGACCCGATGATTTCCTCACTTCCGATTTGGTTGCCAAAAGCGGAAGCCCAGATGGTACACCGGCGTTACTCAACTCTTATCAGCTGTCCCTCATCTCAACTTCACCCCCCTCTTCTCTCGCTGCATCACCCGTTTCTTTACCCCCGCACAATGCGGAGTTGCCAGCTGAGAACTCCTCGCTGTGTCCGCTCGACTTGCCTAAGTCAGATCCTCCACTGCCAGATCCTGAATTGTCATTGTTTGGCTTCGAGCCTCCTTCCCCCACTATCTCTCCGGAGCCACTGCCTTCCCTGCCTGTCTCGTTTGCCCTAGAGCTTCACTCTGCTGTTTCTCAAGTGACACTGAAAGCGGCTTCTCCCGAAGTGCTCGGCGAAGACCCATCCGTGTTCAAATGGCACACGGTGTTGCCCCCGGCCGAGGCTTACGTAGACCCCTCATTCACCACCTTTCAGCCGGCGCCTCAAATTCTTACTCGAACGTCACCTTTGCTGCCTCTCCAGACTCCGTCCTACCCCGAACCGCAGACTCCTGACCACTCCACCTTCACCTCTGCGCCAGACCCAGCTCCGTCATTTGAGGACGACGAGCCGCTGCCCTTCCCCGCAGAACTTTCGCCGCTTGCGCTCCAGATGACGCTGTCTCCAACCTTTTCGTCCCTGGACGGAGACGGCCTATCCCCGACACCTTCGATTGCTGACCTTGTGCACTTTTTCTCCAATGATGACCTCGGGATGGGGGTGGAGTTTTCACACACGGATGTGGTGGCTGTTCCCTGTGCGCCTCTGGTAATAGAAGAAGCAAATCCACAGGAGCCTCCTCAGCAGGTGTCAATGATCCCAACTGACAAACCCTGCAGGAACAAGTGTCGGCGGCAAAAGCTTGTGAATGAGGAGGATGAGAAGATGGATGCCTCCACCTATGCTAAAATGCAGCCTAACCTGGAGGAAGTTGAGGAGCAGTTATTTATCTCCTTCACATCTAAGGTAAGACCAAACAATGCAATCCGTTTTCATGGGATGCAATAATGTGTAACAGGGACGAACTTCACCCCCCACTTAGGGTTGAATCACGCCCACTCATGTATGACAACCAGTTAACACCAGACGGACCTCCCTCCTTCGCTCAAATGTATCCTCTTCAAAAGCAGGAGACAACCTCTGGTTATTTGAAGTTCAGCTTCATGTGTTAAAGCTGCATTCTGTGTAGTGACCAGCAGGGGCGACTCATCTGGTCCCATAGACGTCTATGAGAAAATTACTTTATTCCCTCCAGTAAACATTGTAAACATGGGTTTATGGTCTCAGTCTCTAGTTTCAAGTCTTCTTCAATACAGAATGATGTTCATTTAATAAATGGTCCATTTGTATGTGTATATATGTATGTAAGTCAAATCAATGTCAAAATCTGAGACCGCAAATCCGGTGAATGTGCAAAACTTGAATCTCCTCGCTTGGGAGGGTGTTTTCTGCTCCCTCGCTGTGTTTCTTTTTGGCAGTACGGGGGCGGACCCAGTCACCAGGGTATCTCTACATCTAATCGGTTACAAACCCCGTCTTTGGATTGGCTGGAGTTATGCATTTCCAGAACTGTAGAAGCCCATTTCCGCACAAAAAAAGATTGAGATAAAACGTTGTCAAAACACACGTCGTCTTATCTCATTTTTGTCATACCATAATGTAGTGATACCATGGTGACTGGGTCCGCCCCCTTACTATCAAAAAGATCAGTGAGCCAGCAAACAAATATCTCAATATATCAAAAGACTGGGAAGTGGAACATTGAAGCATAGAATTTAAGATATGTAATTCCAATAATACAAAAAACAAACTCATGTTTCAGGAGGCCCTCAGACTTCACGTTGCAGACTTTTCCGATGGAACGGCCTCACAGCCTCAGACGACACCTGAAGGTCACCTGCAGCTAACGGCAGTCACACCTGAGAACGGTGACGCTACACAATTGACGATGCTATGTTTACCGTGAATATATTTAACATCTGGTATAACATGAACCAAAGGTCCCATGTTGGAATCATTGGTTTAAAGAAAAGTGTTTGTTTCATACGGATGTTTTTGATCCCCAACAGAGGGCCCGGAGGAGTCGATTGCTTCCTTTGAGAAGATCCTGCTGAAAGACTTGAAGCAGATGAGACACGGACAGGCGATCCATCCCGTGCTGCAGGAAGGTATCTTCAGAAGAACGATGTAAATCGAAAGCTTTCCCACTCGATGTGGATGTTATATTTCTGTTTTGAAGCGTTAACCGTTAAGTCGATTTAAGTTATTGGTGAATACTTTTGTTAATTTTTAGTGAACCTAGTCAAAGGCTTTTTTCCGATCAATCAATCACGTTGATTCATCAATGTATTTATAGGACAGCCTTGGAAGAAGTCATTTTAGCGTTGGGTGTAGATAATGCTAACAGTGGCCTTTTCTTTGTGGACCCAGTTGGTCTGAAGATGAACCTGCTGGATCCCACTTTGGCCATAGACCTTCAGTACCTCGGAGTCCGCCTGCCAATCCCCCCGACCGGAGTCCCTCTGGAGCCGCTGCCCCCCACTCAAGGTCACTACCGCCATACCAGATGGAGGTCCTGCCTTGTATAGGCGGCTTTTTCCGGGTCCCCATAATTCCCCCTGAGAGTTTGGCTGTGTTAATGTCCGACTATGCAGCGTAACGTCCTGATCCCTTTCTCCAGGTGCAGCATTTGTGTCCCGAACCGGGAAAACAACAGACTTTACTCAGATCAAAGGGTGGAGGGAGAAATTCCCACCGTCTGAGGCCACGTCCACAGCAGCACCTGTCAACGCCGAAGGTAAGCAAACAAAGAGGTGATTCATGGAGAAAAGGATCAGGGCGTGATTCCATGTGTCCTTCATCCGTTAGCTGGTTCAGACCCACCAAAGAACCTGTCGGCCTTCTGCAGCGACATGTTGGACGAGTACCTGGAGAACGAGGGGAAGCTCATCGACCAGCGGGCCTCCACCTTTACTCAGCCGCTGGCGGAGCCGGTGCTCTACCAGCTGCCCACCCAGAGTACCAGCTATGTCCGGACCCTGGACAGCGTCCTGAAGAAGCAGACTGCCGACTCCCCTACCTCAGACCTCATCTCTAGATTCGTCCCCCCCTCCAAGAGACCCAAACTTGTCCTCAGGAAGGCCTAGATGTTTAGGAAGAGGAGGAGTCTGAAGCTGACTAAACCCAGACCAGATCCTACCCAAGAGATTCCGGATGAATCAAACCCTAGTTCCTTAAGAATCCTCCCAATCCCAGATCCCCAGCACCCCCCCCCATTGGAGAACTCCAACTCTGTCACTAAACCTCAAAAATCAAAGCGGCACCAGCAGAAAGTCCCACCTCGACCACACAAAACCGCAACCTAAGCAGAGAAGGAAGCTCAAACCCAAGACCTTGTCCCAGACCCTCAGCCCTGCGAAGCCTGCGCCCCCCCCGACCCGCGTCTCACAGGACATGGCTCCCCTGGAATCGGACTCTGAACTGGGGACCCTCGATCACAGCGAGAAGGACAAAAGGCCTGTGATGACCCGGGCTCTACTGAGACAGAAGGACCTAGAGGATGGGGTGCTGTGGGAGGGCCGACCCCGGACCAGCATCACGGAGGACCGGGCCTCCGTTGCTCTGACGTCACTCTTCACTCTGACGGTAAGACACACGACATCTGCGATCTACCGGCCCGCTTTCGATCAAAGTGCGCATCTGGCCCGAAGCTGAAATGAGTTTGACACCCCTGCTCTAGTCCCTGTCTGACTTCTCCGGTTCCTCCTCAGGGCTTCGTCAGAGAGAACCCTACCGCCCCCATCCAGTGGGTCCGGAGACCAGCCCCTCACTGCCAGAATGAGTCCTGCCGGCTGGGCTGCATCTGCTCCAGTCTGTCCTACTGCTCCAGGGTCAGCCACTGCGGCCGGCCTGCCTGCATGTTCGGCTGCAGCTGCCTGAAACAGAAGGTGGTCCTCCTGAAGAACCTCGACGGCTCAGACTCCAGCCCTTCCAAGCTGGACCACCACAACAAGAAAAGGAGGAGGAGCAGGAGGAGGAGGATGAAGATGGCCTACGGTCTGTTCACCTCTAATAACTAATAGTTAGTAGGGCTGTCGATAGATTCAAAAATAGACTTCAAAGTAATGAGTAATCACTTTGGAAAGACACTGTTGTTTTAATTGTTATTTTAAACACAAAACTACACACATTTGATCATCTTGGAGGCACCTGATGGAACATGTTGAACTAGCGACTCTTCCTGTCGTCCTCGTGCACTTTGCTCTCAACTCTCATCAGTGCCAACATTGTCCCCACGTTCAGCAGGACGTTTTCAAACCAGGTCTTTTAGGGACACGGTGGTGGTCCTCTGCAGACTGTGTGCCGCGCTGGGTAACGTTACATGTTGAGATGGAAGTAGCATAGCAGCTAGCTTAGCATAGCAGTGCTTTAAGTGGTCTGTTTGACGCGTGGAGTAACTCCTCTGCTCGGTTCTCTGCTGAATGTCACGCGTCTGTTTGTTTTACTTGTGATGCAAAAAGTTCTCTCCATCGTGACGTCACTGACTGCAGCTAGCGTTCGCTTCGTTTCCGCGGTCACACACGTACGTTAACTACGTTAAAGTATTCTGTTGCATTAATGGCACAGATTAACGTGTTCATGTTGACAGCCCTAATAGTTACTGATAAAAACAACAATTTAGTCGCATTAAGGTCCCTGCTTCCTCCCTGTTTTGCACTTGTAGTCCTGAAGGAGGCGGACAGCGTTACCCATCCTGCCGAGCGGGTCCGGACTCTGTGGAAGAGGGGCGCTGGAGACTTTGATCCAGAACCGGTCCTGGTCCCACAACCATTAGCGCTGCCTGTCAAAACTGTGAGTGTTTATTATAGAAGAATATTCATCAGATATTTGAAAAACAGATCAAACATTCAATACCAAGATGTTGAATTGATGTGTGTGTGTGTGTGTGTGTGTGTGTGTGTGTGTGTGTGTGTGTGTGTGTGTGTGTGTGTGCGCGCCTCCAGGTGAGAGCAGAAGAAGAAAGCAGCTGTGCCAGAATAAGAGTTTATAAATTGAAGAAGAGGAGGAAACGGACGAGGAAGAGTCACATGGAGAGTTGTGATCACACAGCGGTACGTTTTATATATTTAAACCTAACCGGACAAATGAGCTCTGCGATTGAAGGATCAATTTACAGGAAACGAGAGGAATAAGAAATCAAGAGTTCTAGTGTGGAGCTGTTTGTTTGTTTATTGACTGAGGGAACTGACTTATTATTTTACACCACATGGTATTATATTTTTCCTCTAGGAGACGTCCAAAGAGTTGAAGCCTAAAGATGTTCGACTGAAGCCTTCGAGACAAAAGGACACAAAGACTAAACCAGGTGTGCTGATCTAAACCCACTGGTACTGATCCCTTCGGATCGGTAAATAAATATTCTGGATCCTTTTACACCAAAACGGATCTGTATCCACCAACATGGACCATTGAAGAACTAATCGTCTGTGAGCAGACATGATTTGATCTGACATCGATGGAGAGTCTTTAATGGATTAAAAAGTGATTCAGGCTTTTTGTGTTGTTTCCTCAGCATCTGATCCGGTTCAGCCCACCAGTTGTCCGCCTGAGCCGAAGCCGTCGAAGCGCTTGACCATCATGGCGGAGTGCAAGTGGGCGAGGGCCGGCGACCGTAACCTGGTGCTCAAGATGCTGTGTGAGGCGATGGCTGAGGACCATCTGGACCAGCCTCTCTGGATCAGAGATTACCTCGTTAATCCCATCAGCCACACCGTGGAGGACGGCGCCGCCAACCGCTGCATCCACTACAAGATGCACATCTCCAGACCCAATCCGGAGAAACCGCAGCACCTGGAGACACTTGAACGACGGAGGGAGTGTAAACAGCAGCAGGTCGGTCTGAAGATGAACTAATGATTAATGGTGTCAGGAGAGCAGAGATACCCCATGACTGTTCATCAATGGCCTCCCGTCATTTAGAGGCAGCTTTAAAATCCTCAGAATTGTTTCTAACTGGACCTCCAAACTCGCTGTTTTATTGTGAAGCCCCAAACAGGAAGCTCTAAGCTTTGTCCGTTACCGGAATGTGTCACTATATTTATTCCTGATTTATGAAAACAAATGTTTTTTCTTTGAAGAGCCTTAAATATTCACACGCCATTCAAATACTCCCATAATGCACTGTTTGTACTGCACAGTGTAAAGCGGTCAGCCAGGACGTGAGCGGGCTGCTTTACGGGCTTTTGGAAGTGTTTTGAACACAGCCTGTGTCTTTGAACAGGAGGCCCTCAAAAAGTTCGAGGAGGCGGAGCCTCTTGAAGAGTGGCAGCGGGAGGTGGAGGCGGAGCCTCTTGAAGAGTGGCAGCGGGAGGTGGAGCCTCTTGAAAGTGCAGCGGGAGGTGGAGGCGGAGCCTCTTGAAGAGTGGCAGCGGGAGGTGGAGGCGGAGCCTCCTGAAGAGTGGCAGCGGGAGGTGGAGGCGGAGCCTCCTGAAGAGTGGCAGCGGGAGGTGGAGGCGGAGCCTCCTGAAGAGTGGCAGCGGGAGGTGGGGGCGGAGCCTCTTGAAGAGTGGCAGCGGGAGGTGGAGGCGGAGCCTCTTGAAGAGTGGCCGCGGGAGGTGGAGGCGGAGCCTCTTGAAGAGTGGCCGCGGGAGGTGGAGGCGGAGCCTCTTGAAGAGTGGCAGCGGGAGGTGGAGGAAGGTGATATCAAGGAGGAACAAAAGGAGGTGGAGGAAGGTGATCAGGAGGAGGGATCAACAGATCTGAGCAGCAGGAAGGTGATCAAGATAATATCGAAGAGGAAGTCGATGGTCAGCATGGCGCTGCCGTTCCTGACGGGAGTCTCCCCCGCCGGTTTCCTCTCAGCCAATAGGAAACAGCTGGGAGAAACAGACCACGGGGTCCAGGTGAGGGTTCATTAAAATTCCCGACAGGTTTTGGATTTGAACCATTTTGGTGGTTCATCTTCAAGAGTATCTTCCATCTTCTGATGCAGCTGGTTGGCCCTCAGACTTCATATGGAGCTGCAGCCGACATCTTTGTTTTTCTACTTTTCACTTTCCACTCTTATCACGGCGGCACGTGGTGTGGTGGTTTTCACCGTCACCTCACAGCAAGAAGGTCCTGGTTCCACTCCGCCCAGTGGCCTTTCTGTGTGGAGTCTGCATGTTCGTGAGCATGAATGTGAGTGTGACTCTGTGATTGGCTGGCGACCAGTCCAGGACTCCAGCCCCCCCCCCCGACCCCGTGTGCAGGATGAGCGGTTTGCAGATGGATGGATGGAACTCTTATCATGACTTCAGATTTACACAAAAGCATTTAAATTTAAGAGTAGAAAATGAATCTGTGATCTGTGACGTGTCTCCTCGTTGTTTGGCAGGTGAATGGGAAGCTCTATCCTCTGGCTAAGATCCAGCTGGGGAAGATGGGAGCGCTCCATCCGGCCAACCGGCTGGCAGCGTATCTGACTGGCCGGGTGGGGCCCAACTGGAAGCACAGAGGCTCCTCGTCCTCCAAACCTCCCAAAAACCAGAGTGCAGGACCGACTTCCCTGCCAGCTCCCTTCGTGGTTCCCACCCCGTCACCCAGGTCTCAGCCATCAGTCACAATGCCGGCCCCCCCTTCAGGTAACCTTCATCTGCCCTTCCCTCGGCCCCAGAGCTCCATCTCCAGGGTATCTCCATAGTTTTCTTCATTCTCTTTACACACACAGATGAATGTTGATGATTCCACGTTTTCTCACTGAAAAGCTTTTACAAAACAACCTCAGCCTAATATATAAAGAGATTCCTCGTGTCTTAATGTTATAGCTCTGTGATAGAAGATCTATGTTGTGACTCCGATGGGTTGTGAACCTCATGTTGAGAACCATTCGGTCTGGTGTGTTTCAGACTCTCATGTGAGCAGCTCCGTGGCCTCACCTGTCAATCTGGCGCCCAATGGCGCCTTGTTGCTGATGCTTCAGGCCCCAGCACCTCCTGGGAAACTTCCCTCGCCGATTCAGGCTTCATGCAGCCCCCCCCCTCCCTCCTCCACCCGTCCAATGATGTTCCTGCGGCCAGTCCGGTCAAAGACCGGCGTGCAGTACTACCGCAGACAAGACGGGCGACTGGTCCAACTGGTTCCCATCAGCAAACTAAACTCAGTCAACAAGAACCGCACGTTTGTCCAGAGAAGTAAGTCAGCAGGATCATTGACCAGATGTGTTCAGGACCTTCTAGTCATTGGTGTTCAGGACCTTATAGTCGTTGGTGTTCAGCACCTTCTAGTCGTTGGTGTTCAGGACCTTCTAGTCGTTGGTGTTCAGCACCTTCTAGTCGTTGGTGTTCAGGACCTTCTAGTCGTTGGTGTTCAGGTCCTTCTAGTCGTTGGTGTTCAGCACCTTCTAGTCGTTGGTGTTCAGGACCTTCTAGTCGTTGGTGTTCAGGACCTTCTAGTCGTTGGTGTTCAGGTCCTTCTAGTCGTTGGTGTTCAGGACCTTCTAGTCGTTGGTGTTCAGGTCCTTCTAGTCGTTGGTGTTCAGGTCCTTCTAGTCGTTGGTGTTCAGGTCCTTCTAGTCGTTGGTGTTCAGGACCTTCTAGTCGTTGGTGTTCAGGACCTTCTAGTCGTTGGTGTTAGCAGTCCAGGGTAAACCCTGTCTATCGCCGATGTCAGCTGGGATAGACCCCCCCCTCCCCCCCCTCCCTGTGTTCCAGTCTGAAGGATAAGCGGCTTTGTGATGTGCAGGAGCTTCTATGCGTTTAAAGATCTCCTCTCTGACCCCCACCCCCTTCCACCTCCCCCAGTCTTCCCTCTGTATCCCTCCAGGCTCCTGTTGATAACCAAACCACTCCAAGGACCACAGTGACCCCCACCTCCCCCCTCGCCTCCTCTACCACCTTTCAAAGCCTCCCGTCCGACTCCAGCAAGGACCCGATCGTCCTGTCCTGTCCTAACGTTTCCTCCAGGGCAGCTCCACCGAGCCTCATCTCCCTCAAGCCCTCCCGTGGGGGGGCCGATCTCGGTGACAAAGCGCTGACTGTGTCTCCGGGTTCTGGTGGAAGGACACTCCAGACCCCTATAGAGACCCGACCTTCAAGCCATCCTCCTGAACCTGTCCCCCAACCGGGGGAGTCAGAGGGAGGGAGCAGCGAGATGGACAACTCGTCAAACTCTGAGGACGAGCTGGACAGCAAAGAGGGGAAGAGTCCCTCCGACGAGGTGGATGAAAGAGAGAAAGGGGTAATTCACAATGAGAAGATCTTTTAAAGTATCTACAGATGTTCTCTCTCTCGGAGTGATGTGCTGATGTTCTTTACAGATGTTCTTTCTTATGTTCTTGTGCAGCGTCACCTTCACAACGTGCTGGAGAAGCGTCGGAGGAGGAAGCTCTTCCAGCTGTTCAAAGGTCTGAGGAGAGAAGTCGGTCTGGTTGAAGAGAAGACGTCAAAGATCTTCACACTGAACACGGTCAGACTCTTACGTTCACGTTCCTTAGAGATGTGAGAGTTTCTGGTGTCCAGAATGTAAGTGGTTGTTTGGATTTCAGGCGGTGGAGGTGATCCAGCTGCTGAAGACGGACAATTCCGATCTGGAGAAGGAGAAGAAGAGGCTGATGAAGAGAAGGGACAAGTACCTCAGCTTCATCCTTGGAGGTACGAAACCCACTCAGGCAGGCAGGAGGTTCTCCACTCAGGGACCAATAAGGGATCAATGATGTCCTCCTTCCTCAGAGAGATCAGATGAGCTGTCAGAGGGAGGAGACACAGGGAGCAGCGACGCTGACCTGATGGAGGTGGATCTGCTTGACTCGTCTGATGAGGAATCAGACGGGTCGAGCATTGTTACCATGACGACAAAAGTACGAAATGTTTTGGTTGTAACTGTAACATATGACTGTTTATTGAACTGTTTTCAAGAAACAAAACAACAATATCAGTCATTAAGACAGACGTTGCCATGGAGACATAAGGGGTGACATTAATGACAATGAGTTTTGACATGAGGATGGTATCGTCTCGCCAGGCGGAGGGTGAGGACCGGCCCGTTGCCATAGAGACGGCAGAGGAGAGCTATCGTTCCAACATCAGCAACGTGGACTCTGAGTGAGATTATCAACTACCTCTATGATGTCGTCATCTCATCACCTGTCTTTGATGAACACTACTTCATACTGCTGGTTCTGTGTCTCCAGGAGCAGTTTGAGGCTCACGTCGTCCTTTAGACGTCTGTGTGAGGTCATGAAGACCACCTGCTGCTCAGAGGGACTTCTGCTGGACCAGGTACCAGATAGAAACACCCTCCTCCTCTTCATACTGACCATGGTTTCATGTATAAAAGCAACAAAAGGGGAAAACATCCATTGGAGGGGGGGGGGACTACTTTTTATCGACATGGTACCTGTGAGGAGTCTGAACACATCAGAACACACTGTATGTTCTTGTGTTTCAGGCGCGTCAGGAGATCCTGACCCTCCACAGTGAGTTGGCCAGACTGACGAGTATGAAGACGTGTCTGAGCCAGCAAAGAAACGCCTTCGTCAGAGACATCTCCCTCCGATCAGGTGAAGATGTCACAGGATGGCATGTTTGTTAAGTAGTATGGCCTCAGACGGGAGGAAGGAGCTGCAGATGGAAGAGTAGTGTGCTATTAAAACCTATTTTAAGGTTTAAGTGGGGTCGTCGTGGCGCAGGGGTTAGAGAAGGTGTGCTGGGAAGCACAAGGTTGGTGGTTTGATTCCAGGCTGCCCCTTGTTCCATGTCGAAGTGTCCCTGAGCAAGACACCTAACCCCTAATTGCTCCCCGGGCAAAAATGTGAAAAAAGCTGTGGGTTTAAAGTGTAATGTAAGTCGCTTTGGATAAAAACGTCTGCTAAATGACACGTAATGTAATGTAATATTTATATCTACTGCAGGAAAAAGTCCTCTGACGATCTGCAGGGAGGTGCAGAACCAGTCGACCTGCCAGAGGAAGATGGAGGGGGAAAGATCCCCAACAGCCAATCAGCCGCCAGCGGCAGGGGGCGGAGCCTCGGCTCCTCTGGCAGGGCGCTCAAGCAAAACCGATTACGTCATCTCGATCCCGACCTCCGACCCGCGGCAGCTGGCACCACAAGCTCCTCCCACCACTGAATGTGTTCAGGGGCCTCAGAGTGTCCTTCCGGTGTCCAAGTCCGTCCTGGCTCCTCCTGGCGTATCCCACAATGCATCAGTGGCGAGGGGCAGGCCAAAGACTTTCCCCAATATCCTGTCTCGGCGTAGGAACCCAGCTCCGTCATCGTCCTTGCCGGCTTTGTCACCACAAGGAATTCGGTCGCTGGTCTGTGCTGCGTTGCCGGGGCAACAGGTCCTGGCAGTGAGTCCTCTGCAGACGTCACCTTCACCAGGTACGAGCCGCTCACCGCCACGCCACGCTCTGCCTCACGATGCTTTTATTTTGAAGTAAGACATGCCTTCTTCCTGTCTGTAGGCATGCCCACCGTCACCCTTAACCTCTCCAATCTGACCAACCAGCAGATCCGCCTCACCTCAATGCCCCACCCCCCAATCGGTAAGATGTCAGCAGCTCCGCCCCCATAACTGTCATTAAACTCTGCTAAGGAACCAGCTGACTAACTCAATTAACCAACTTCTTGATTGACTCTTTAATGTAGTTAATCAATAACTAGCTCCCCATCCACTAAATGAACTTATTGAAGGTAAACATCTGCCATCAGCTGATGTTTTTTTATTGTTTACAGCTGCAAACATCAACAACGTGCTGCCGGGTTTCCAACCATCAACCAGAGTACAGAGGATACTCCCATTTCCACAAATAATACTACAACCACACCAAATACTACCATCTCAACAAACACTACTACCACATCAAATACTACAACCACCAAAACAACAACAAATACTACTACACTCGCAGCAGATGCCAGCACGATCCCCGCCTCCCCCGTCGCCTCCGCCAGCTCGTCCGTCCCTCCCGGTCTCTGCTGGATCGGACCAGGACCAGCCTGAGGCCTTCACGCAGGGGGGCCCGTCCTTATGTCCGTGCCCAGGTCCGAGGGCCGTTGGTCAGGCTCACGTGACAGTGGGGGGCGCTCTTGGTACGGAGCAGCGGACTGGGGAGGATGAAAGTCTGACCTCCCTCCTCGACGAGCTCTTCTTCCTCAATCAGCAGAACTCCTCCTCTGAGGAGGCGGCGGTGGCACCGACCACGCGGGATGAAACGCAGCTCGCACCCGCCACCAAGAATGCTGATGCCCTGGCTCCGCCCCCTCCGCTCCAGATGAAGGTGGGCGGTGCCAAGGTCGCCGGCAGCGACGTAGGAGTTGGAGGGAAAGGAGGGGGAGGCGGCTGGAGGAGAGAAGGGGGCGTGGCTTGGAGGCCGATGCCAAGGCTGGTTCCTCTGGGACTGAGAGGAAACCCCCCCCCCAGCTGACGTCACACAGATCCGCAGACATCACCAGACTCCCGCTGTGATGTCACAGCAGAGGCATGACCTCATGGGTCGTCTGCAGACTGATTGGCTGTTCAGTCTGAACCTTCGTTTCTGCTGCAGTTTGTTTACTTTGAATATCAGATTCACTGAGGAAACATGCAAGACCAAAGTCATGTTACATACACATAACCGCAATAATTTCACAATGTTATGTCTGTGTGTCATTGTAATTTCAAGGATTCGCACTAAACTGATTTTATTTAGAAACACTTTTATTCAGAGTCCATAATAAATCTGAACCGTCTGAAAGCTGCTGAATATTGTACAAATGTAAAGTATTACATTTAAAATTCCGTTGATATAGAAACTCATCTGAAGTTGCTGCTCCGCCACTTTTTTTTCCTGAATTTGCATTTTTGTATGTGTTAAGACTTTGACGTAAATAATTGCACATATCACAACTCTAATATTATGTAAATAAAGTTTATATTTAAACCTGTGTCCATTTGTCAATTAAATGTATTAATGTGTCTATCGTGTGTCGGACAAACATCCCGCGCTGAGCTGTAGTTCGCGTGTCTGCCGCTGGGCGGCGCTGCCGCTCGACGTTTTGTCCGTTGAAGCGTCAACAAGCTTCGGAACAAACACAGGATCTAGAGTTGAAATAAAATCACGGCGGTGTCGTTCTCGTACTGGAGCGAAAGTACCGCTGCATAATACTGCGATCGTGTAGTTAGTACTTTATATCATTTCATATAGTCTCTATGACGGAAAGTTGTTGTAAAACCAAAACTGAAGGTCTACTTTCCATAACCGCTCAGTCAGAGTCCCTTGCAGCGTTATTCTGAAAAGCCAGGCCGGAAGTGTCCGTGACGTTGCCGCACGCGGTCTTGACGCTCGGCTCAGTCCGGTCCGGCTCCTGTGAACAAGCCGCCTCCTCTTCATCGTGTCTCCGCAGCGGCGGAGGAATAAGATGCGGAGCGGAACCGGATTCCGTAGCCCGGATCAGCCCCGAACCAGAACCCTAGATAGACTCTCCCAATCCTCGGCTCGGCTCGGCCCGCTGACGGCATGACTGACGGGAGGAGCGCGCGACAGACAGGAGCTCCAGCCGCTGAGAGACGCAGCTAGCCGCGTCAGCTAGCTGCGTCAGCTAGCCGCGTCAGCTAGCCGCGTCAGCTAGCCGCGCGATGGCCGCGGAGGGAAGCGGCACGATCCGGAGCCGCATCAAGAACCTGCTGCGGTCTCCGTCCATCAAACTGAGGCGGCGGAGCGGCGCGGCGCGGCACAAAGAGGACCTGAGCGGCAAGGTGGACGCCGCGCGGCGCATGCGCACACTGTTGTCAATTTACGAAATTATTTTTTGATTCTTAACTTGCTGGATATGTTTTATCTCTTTGATTTGTGACATATCTTTCACTTTGGAAGGAAACGATTAGTCGATTGATCAATAAATCAATCGAAAATAGTGATTATTTAGATTATTTAACATAATTTCGCTCATTTTGAAACATTCAGACAAAAACGGTTCAGTTAGCTTTGCTCATAAATTAGAATAGGTAATAGATATTTTACTTTCATTTGTTAACTAATCCCCACAGCCCTCCACGTATTTAGGAGGGAATTACAAAATAGAAACTTGTGGGGTGTTTCTGAAGGTCCAGTCTGACCGTGATGTGGTTCTCCAGAACCAGTTCTCTCGTTAACTGATTGAAGCTCAGCCAGCTTCCCGTTCGCCCAGTTCGCCCAGTCCGCCCGTCTGTTTGTCCCTCTGCGAGTAGCCTCTAAAGCTCCCAGAATGCGCCGCTTCTAAGAAAACAAGACCTCCTCAACCTGAGGGTTGGGACCCCGTAAAGGGCCGCGTGTGTAAATGTGAGGCGCCACCCAGCGATTCACCACAGAAGAAGAAAGACGTGTGTAATTACGCAGAAATGTCTCTTTTTAAAAACGATTGATGCGCTTTAACTCATGTTACAGTTGATCTGTCATTAGTGACGGTAACTTCCTCGCCCTGAAGGATTGTGGGTCGGTTTTAGCCTGTAGACAACGGCGTGAATAAAGTCAGCTGATGATTCATCGAGTTGCACAATACCAAAACGCAGAGGCAGCACGCTGATTACGTGCTAACATGCTAACAGCTGTTATTGACGGACCACACAGCAATGTGATTGGTCCACTTACTGTTGTAGCTCTGCTTCCCTGTCTGATCAATGACCTTTCGTGACCTCTGCCCTCCAGGTGACCTTGGAGAAAGTTTTGGGAATCACGGCTCCGGGGAACCGAGCTCTAGCCTGCGACCCGCGGACCGGACTGTTGGCTTATCCTGCCGGGTGAGAACACCGTTCTGGAGCAATGGAAGCGTTCGGTTGAGCACGTTGACAGAATCACTGAAATGATGAAGTTTCATCGTTGTGCGTTAAAGTGGACGCACTTCTGTCAAAGTGTTGTCAGTAAAAGGACTTGAAGCGATAAGAGAAGCGTGAGCAACACACTTGTTGTGTATCTGCTGCTTCATGTTCAGAGGATTAAAGCCTCAGATATGTTCAGGATTCTAAAGACTAATGACATCATCAGATTATCAGATTAAAGGCGTCACACACACACACACACACACACACACACACACACACACACACACAGCGGCTCGTTAGGAGTCCTGCTCTTTTATCTTCCACGAGACTCCAGAAACCTTTCAACACGGAGGTGACAAAGGGTGGTCCTCACAAGGGCAGGAATACGAGCATGAGTGTGTGTCGCTGTTCTTCTCTGCTCTGATTGGCTCCCACCTCCTCAGACGATGATGTCACAGGGCGTCAAAACAAAACAATCAGCTGTGTCTTCTTCTTCCTTCTGCTGAGAGTCAAAGGAGAGACAGAGTTGGTGGACAAGTCTGTCTCTCCTTTGACTGAGAGAGAGAGACTGGTCCACACTGAGAGAGAGAGACTGGTCCACACTGAGAGAGACGGACTGGTCCACACTGAGAGAGACAGACTGGTCCACACTGAGGGAGACAGACTGGTCCACACTGAGAGAGAGAGACTGGTCCACACTGAGAGAGAGAGACTGGTCCACACAGAGAGAGAGAGACTGGTCCACACTGAGAGAGACAGACTGGTCCACACTGAGAGAGACAGACTGGTCCACACTGAGAGAGACAGACTGGTCCACACTGAGAGAGAGAGAGACAGACTGGTCCACACTGAGAGAGAGAGAGAGAGACTGGTCCACACTGAGAGAGACAGACTGGTCCACACTGAGAGAGAGAGAGACAGACTGGTCCACACTGAGAGAGAGAGAGAGAGACTGGTCCACACTGAGAGAGACAGACTGGTCCACACTGAGAGAGACAGACTGGTCCACACTGAGAGAGAGAGAGACTGGTACACACAGAGAGAGACAGACTGGTCCACACTGAGAGAGACAGACTGGTCCACACTGAGAGCTGTTTATGGAGGTTCAGGTTGGACAGACTGAGTCACCAAAAAGAGACTCATTAAAGCCGCTGACTGTTTACACAGCAGTGTTGTGTGTGTGTGTGTGTGTGTGTGTGTGTGTGTGTGTGTGTGTGTGTGTGTGTGTGTGTGTGTGAGAACATGAGCAGAAACACTCTTTAAAATAGTTTTAAATAAAATAAAACCAGGTTTGGTCATTTTCCTGTGAGTGGTGGTGTTGTTTTTGTCTTGTTGTCGTGTTGTTTTTGTCTTGTTGTCATGTTGTTTTTTCGTGTTGACGTGTTGTTTTGTCTTGTTGTCATGTTGTTTTTTCGTGTTGACGTGTTGTTTTGTCTTGTTGTCGTCTTGTTTTTGTCTTGTTGTCGTCTTGTTTTTGTCTTGTTGTCGTCTTGTTTTTTCGTGTCGTGTTGTTTTTGTAGTGTTGTCGTGTTGTTTTTTTGTGTTGTCGTGTTGTTTTTGTCGTGTTGTTTTTGTCTTGTTGTCGTGTCCTTGTTGTCTTTCAGACCTGTACAGTGTGAAATGCCTGTAAATGTTTACCAGCATTGTTGTGTGTCTGCAGGTGTGTCGTCGTCCTGCTGAATCCTCGGAAAAACAAACAGCTTCACATCTTCAACAGCTGCAGGTGAAGCTCCGTCACTTTTCTCGTCTTTTTACTTTATTTGTTTATTATATTTGCATTATTGTTGTTGTTGCTATAGTTCGACATAGGAACTCCATTTCCCATGATTCATAGCACCAATGATATGCATGGTTAACCTGTTCAGGAAAGCCATCACCACGTTGGCCTTTTCTCCAGACGGGAAGTACGTCGTCACCGGAGAAGTGAGTCACTTGATTGATTTATCGATCCACCAGAAGGACAACAGGACGAACCGTTTGTCTTCCTCTTCCTCAGAGCGGTCACATGCCGGCGGTTCGGGTCTGGGACGTCTCAGAGCGGCTTCAGGTCTCTGAGCTTCATCAGCATAAATACGGCGTCTCCTGCGTGTCCTTTTCCCCCAACGGCAAGTACATCGTCAGCGTGGGATACCAACACGACATGATGGTGAACGTGTGGAGCTGGAAGGTGAGACACACACAGGGGGGACACGCACAGGGGGGACACGCACAGGGGGGACACGCACAGGGGGGACACACAGGGGGGACACGCACAGGCGGGACACGCACAGGGGGGACACGCACAGGGGGGAACGCACAGGCGGACCGCACAGGGGGACACGCACAGGGGGGACACGCACAGGGGGGACACGCACAGGCGGGACACGCACAGGGGGGACACGCACAGGTGAGACACGCACAGGCGGGACACGCACAGGGGGTACACGCACAGGGGGGACACGCACAGGCGGGACAGTGCTGCAGGGGGACAGAAACATGAAGAAACTCTTTGAGTTATTGATGACTTCATCAACGAAGTGTGTTTTTATTCTTTTGACGGAGGAGGAAACGTCCTCAGTGACCAGCTGATACTGATCAGGTGGAGATCATAAGAATCTCCTGAAACTACAAGACATCCCAAACAGCCAGGATCCTGATGAGGCTGGAAACATACAAATAGACCCTATTATTATTATTATTATTATTATTATGTGGCAGAATTACCCCCTGAGGCCGTGAGGCTTCACGCAGCATTGAAGCCCTCAAACACTAAGGTACTGCTTTCTTCTTCTTCTGTTGACTTGTTCTATTTATCAGAAAAACGTGGTCGTCTCGGCCAACAAGGTGTCCAGCAAAGTGACGGCTGTCTCCTTCTCGGACGACAGCTCCTACTTCGTCACCGCCGGCAACCGCCACGTCAAGTTCTGGTACCTGGACCACGGCAAGACCTCCAAGGCCAACGCCACCGTCCCCCTGCTGGGGCGCTCAGGGCTGCTGGGGGAGCTCAGGAACAACTTCTTCAGCGATGTGGCGTGTGGGCGGGGCCGACAGGCCTCCTCCACCTTCTGCATCACCTCCTCTGGCCTGCTCTGCGAGTTCAACGACCGGCGCCTCCTCGACAAATGGGTGGAGCTGCGGGTGAGTTCAGCCTCTAGGCGTGATGTCACAGGCGTGATGTCACAGGCGTGATGTCACAGGCGTGATGACACAGGCGTGATGACACAGGCGTTTACAGTCTCTGTGTCTCTTTAACCTGACGTTCCTCTGCTTCTTTTCGTGCTTCCTGTGCAGAGAGTCGACTCTGCGTCCGTAAGTCGTCACCTCACCTGGACTCGGTTGGCTCAGCCTGTGACTCGTTGATTATGGACCAATTCCATATTTATCATCATCATCCGGCTGTGAGGTTTTACTCCAGAACCAACGACTCAAACTAACTAAAGTCGACATGAGTCCAGATTGATTGATTACTTTTTACGTGTGAGCTGAACCGTGTTATATGGAGCTGCTGGTACAGAACAGAAACTATAAAGCACGACCGCCTGAGCTAACACGCTAGCTAGCTGACAACATGCTGTCTTCCTGCTGACATAATGATGCCAATTTTGATTTATCCCTTCAATAAAACCCTTTTAGCAGTTTTGGTTCCCTCTAGCGTCAAACAACCCAATAGCTAAAAAGCTAATTAGCTCATTCGCCCTAAACGTCAGTATGTAGCTGGACCATTGAAGCTACAGAGTTAGCTTCTTAGCTGCTACGGCTAAAATAATATTGAAATGATAATAATAAGATGATAATCAGACGTGTGAATCATTCATCACTGTAGATTTCTAACTACAATGTTTGGGGAAACACTGATTTATTAATAAACTATTACGTTTTTATATCAGACTGAAATCATCTCCATCTTCAACTTCACTGGCTGAGCTGACTGATGAAGACACGCCCGCCTCCTTTCACCCCATTGGTCGATTTCACAGCACGCGCTCATTCATTCAGTCCACCTGATTGGCTGAGAAACCTTGTTCTCCTGCACACTGTGGTTCACAGAGGAGCCTGAAGGCAGCATCAGCTGCTACTGTGGTACTAATATGGTCGTACTGACCAGTAATAGTACCACTGTACTACAGTATCCCTGTATTACAGTGCAACAGTATTCCAGAATTGCAGTACTCCAGTTTTCAGTACTAGAGTATAAATACATAAAATAAACTCAGTAAACAGCCTCTTTGTCTCCTCCACTCACATTCTCTCTCTTCATTCACAACAACACGGTACAAAGTCAGTCTTCATCTTCGTGGTGTCCTGAGGACTCAGCGAGACACAGTGGACAACCTGACTCCCCTGTCTGTCTCCCTGTGTGTCTCCCCACAGGCGTCTCAGGCCACTTGTCTGTCCGTCACAGACGAGCTGATCTTCTGTGGTTGCTCTGACGGGACGGTTCGAGCCTTCAGCCCCGTCAACCTTCACTTCCTGTGCTCTCTGCCCCGCCCCCACTGCCTGGGGGCCGACGTGGCGAGCATGGTGGACGCCAGGTACCGCGCACGCACACACACACACTGAACCATGGACACGTAGACAGGTTACCGTGGAAACAGCCCCATCAGCCGTCCTTCTGCCCCCCCCCTCTACCCAGTCAGCTGTTCTCGGGCCGGCCGGAGGCCCGGTACCCGGACACGGTGGCGGTGACCTACGACCCCGCCAGCTGCTGGCTGTCGTGTGTTTACAACGACCACAGTGTCTACGTGTGGGACGTCCGTGACATCCGCGACCCCCGCAGGGCGGGAAAACTCTACTCCGCCCTCTACCACTCGTCCTGCGTGTGGAGCCTAGAGGTCAGTGGGTCCACACGTGGGCCAGCGAGAGGTCAGAGGTCAAGGAGCAGTCTGCAGGAATAACAAGTCATAGATGCATGAATATATTCAAACATGTTGTCATGTTTGTCATGGTGCTGTTCAGCTCCAATCTGCTGCACCACATCAGACGCTTTGTCCGGAAACCTGAGGGATGAAAGTCCTGTAGCCTCTGTGTCCTGTAGCCTCTGTGTCCTGTAGCCTCTGTGTCCTGTAGCCTCTGTGTCCTGTAGCCTCTGTGTCCTGTAGCCTCTGTGTCCTGTAGCCTGTGTGTCCTGTAGCCTCTGTGTCCTGTAGCCTCTGTGTCCTGTAGCCTCTGTGTCCTGTAGCCTCTGTGTCCTGTAGCCTCTGTGTCCTGTAGCCTCTGTGTCCTGTAGCCTCTGTGTCCTGTAGCCTCTGTGTCCTGTAGCCTGTGTGTCCTGTAGCCTCTGTGTCCTGTAGCCTCTGTGTCCTGTAGCCTCTGTGTCCTGTAGCCTCTGTGTCCTGTAGCCTCTGTGTCCTGTAGCCTCTGTGTTAAGTTGAAAACGAGTCCATTTATTTGCCAACTTTCTCCTGTCGCACATTTAAGAAACACCCACCACACGGCTGGAAACACCTGCCGAGCCCCCAAAGGTTCCGACCCGCCCATCAATCAGCTGACACACCTCGGCTCTTACACGTGACGTTCATGTGCCTTTTAGACAAAAGTCGTTCTGCTAGAATCTACGGTACAATAATGAGTTGAGTTATAAATGGAAGGAAGCACTAAGTTACTACTGAATATGTAAGTTAGCCTGACATGCTAATGTTAGCTGCTGTCGCTATAGTTGCTGCTACTGCTATGATGGTAGATCTGTGTCTTTATTATGCAAACAAAAAAACCCATTTTGAGAGGAAATTTCTTGCATTGCAAACAAAAATCTAGTTTGTAAGTAAAAATATATAAACTGAGAATAATTATTGGTTAGTTTTGCTTATAAAACCAGAATTTTTGGCTGCAAAACAAAAATTTGGGGTCTCAAAAAAAAGCTTTGGTCTGGAAAAAAGAACCTTTGTTCTAAAACTGAGGTCACTAACTGGCGGACCGCGGTCCGGATCCGGACCCAGAAGCGATACTCGATCGCGAGACAGGAGTGATACTACTCGACCAATGGAGTCGCTGCGTTACAGGCAGGACGATGACAGACGAGAGGTCGCGGCAAATGACAAATAAAAAGACGGTGGGAAGAAAAGAAAGAACATTTTAGAAAAAGACGAGTGAAAAATGAGGAAGAAACAGTGGAGCGTTCGATCCGTGAGGGACGGACTGGTTTCTGTTCATCTTCCCACTGCAGCACTAAAGCGTCTCGTGTGAAGCCACCGTGAGGCTCGATGAGCTCGTGAGGAGTCGTCACATTATGATCTTCTGGACATTTCCTCCACACATTTGATTTGAAGCCCCCTGGTCTTTCGCCCCTGGCATTGATTTAGTGAACAAACTGTAGCTTTCTAAAACGTTCCATTGTGCGTCCTGCAGGTGTACCCAGAGGAGGGGGGAGGGGAGGCACGTCTCCCCCCAGGATCGTACCTGTCCTGCTCCTCAGACAACACCATCCGCCTGTGGAACACCGAGGGACACAAGCTCGTCACCAGGAACATCCTGAGCCCGGTACGAGAAGACACACCTGCAGCTCCTGTTACACCTCATCTAACCCTGGGAACCTGACCTACACTGACCTTTGACCCCCCCAGGATCTACAGAAGGTGATTTACATGGACGACAACGTCTCCACCCTCCTGGACCCGGACAGCACCTCAGTGACGGGGGGAAACCTGGAGAAGGGGGGGTCATCGGGCTCAGACGGGCTGCAAACCGACCAGAGCAGAGCGGGCATTAGGACCCTGAGGGTCAGTCCCGATGGACAGCACCTGGCCTCTGGAGACCGCATGGGAGTCCTCAGGTGAGCTCTTTCCCTTCCTACCTTTCACAATAAAAGCCTGAGACATCAGAATGCTACATCACAGAACGTGTCAGACATCTTGCTTTTCTTCTTCTTCTACTGTAGGATCCATGACCTGGACGGAATGGTGGAGATCCTGAATGTTCAGGCTCACGACTCCGAGATCCTCTGCCTGGAGTTCTCCAAACCAGACACGGGTGGGAAAACACTACATACTACATACTACAAACCCTACATGTAAACTAGTCTGGTCAAAAATGGTCAAAAATGGCGTTCGTATGTTCGCTTTAAAAAATCACAGACATTTGAACATCTGGTTGCACATTAGACGCGTCAATAACGGGACAAATTAATACAACAAGACAGAACTACCTGTACAGGTAATTTATTTAAGTTTAAACCGATTTAACAACATATTACCTGCACAAAAATACGGCCACGTCCGCAGATCTCTTTTTTTGTCCAAGCAGTTTAAGGTCGTGATTCTTTTACACGCACAGCAGGAGTGACATCACCTTCTCCCCCCCCCCCAGGTCTCCAGCTGTTAGCCACAGCCAGTCGGGATCGCCTGATCCACGTGCTCGATGCCGGTAGAGACTACAGTCTGCTCCAGACGCTGGACGAACACTCGTCCTCCATCACTGCCGTCCGGTTTGCCGGTCAGACAATGTGACCTCTGACCTCTGACGTTGGTGCCGCTATGAATTATGTCATCGCTCTGACCTCTACCTGTTCTTCCTGTCTGTCAGCCAATGAGGGGAAGGTGAGGATGATCAGCTGTGGGGCCGATAAGAGCGTCTACTTCCGCACCGCTCAGCAGGTGAGAGTCTCAACGTGGGGGGAGTCAGCAAGGAGCCGGTAGGACAAAGGACAGGGACCCTGAAGCCTCGTTTATGCGTCTGCGTTTTCAGAGACGCTTGTGTGTCTTTTCACACCTTTCTCACGTCTCCGTTTTCACAGCACAATACGGCCGTTATTAAAAGGAAGAATGTTTACGAGAGAACGGATCAGATTGAAGAGCTTTTAAATATGAGCGCTTGTACAAGCCGTCATTGGCGGACTATGAGGACGCCGGATGGCCTCTGATTCATGGAGGGAGATCTCCACAAACGAGGGGAACAAAGTTGTGGAGGAAAATACGGGACAAATGTGTCCGTGATGAAAAGCAGCAGTGTGGATGCACGGGGCAATAAAGTCTATGATCAATAAATAAAGCAACCAGCGACTTCCACACACAAAGACGTGACTCTCTAGGTCGTCTTCAACAAAACACGTGACTCCACCTGTTGTTCTGGAGGTGAATCGCTCGGCCCTTAGACATGATTTTCTTCCCCCCGCCCCCCTCAGGTGGAGGAGGGGCTGGAGTTCACTCGCACTCATCACGTAGTGAGGAAGACGACTCTGTACGACATGGACGTGGAACCAACCAGGAAGTACGCAGCGGTGGGCTGTCAGGACCGCAGAATCCGGTAGAGAGAGACTCAGTTCAGCAAACATTCTTGTCTTTGTGTCCTTGAATTACATTGATGACCCCCCCCCCCCCCCCCAGGATCTTTAACATCAGTAATGGTAAACAGAAGAAGATGTATAAAGGCTCTCAGGGAGAAGACGGTACTCTCATCAAGGTGAGTAGTGGCGTTTCCGTAGTGACAGCAGGTGTTTGCGGCGCTAACTGCCCCTCGTCTGCTGCCTTCAGGTACAGATCGACCCGTCGGGTCTCTACATCGCCACTTCCTGTTCAGATAAGAACATCAGCATATTTGACTTCTACTCTGGAGAGTGCGTGGCCACCATGTTCGGACACTCGGGTGAGTTACCACCTGAGTACAGACTCTACGTACTGCTGGTTAGATGCATCGTGCTACATTGTTCATGAGACGCAGTACATGGAGGGCTTTAGGACCTGGTTCCACCATTTAAAAACACGCCCCCTGTGATCCATGGTGCTTGTGTAGTGTGTGTACTCACAGTGTGTGTACTCTCAGTGTGTGTACTCTCAGTGTGCGTACTCTCAGTGTGTGTACTCTCAGTGTGTGTACTGTCAGTGTGTGTACTCACAGTGTGCGTACTCTCAGTGTGTGTACTCTCAGTGTGTGTGTGTGTGTGTGTGTACTCTCAGTGTGTGTACTCTCAGTGTGCGTACTCTCAGTGTGCGTACTCTCAGTGTGTGTACTCTCAGTGTGTGTGTGTGTGTGTGTGTGTGTACTCTCAGTGTGCGTACTCTCAGTGTGCGTACTTTCAGTGTGTGTACTCTCAGTGTGCGTACTCTCAGTGTGCGTGTGTGTGTGTGTGTGTGTGTGTACTCTCAGTGTGTGTACTCTGAGTGTGTGTACTGTCAGTGTGCGTACTCTCAGTGTGCGTGTGTGTGTGTGTGTGTGTGTGTACTCTCAGTGTGTGTACTCTGAGTGTGTGTACTGTCAGTGTGCGTACTCTCAGTGTGCGTACTCTCAGTGTGCGTGTGTGTGTGTGTGTGTGTGTGTGTGTGTGTGCGCTCTCAGTGTGCGTACTGTCAGTGTGTGTCTCTCAGTGTGCGTACTGTCAGTGTGTGTACTCTCAGTGTGTGTACTCTCAGTGTGCGGACTGTCAGTGTGTGTCTCTCAGTGTGTGTACTCACAGTGTGTGTCTCTCTCAGAGATAGTCACAGGTCTGAGGTTCAGCAGTGACTGCAGACACCTGATCACAGTTTCTGGAGACAGGTGCGTCCTCACTGACCTCCAATCAGCTCTCATGGAACCATTTCACACAGTTTAGTCAAACCTGTGTGTGCGTGTGTGTGTGTGTGCGTGTGTGTAGCTGCATCTTCGTGTGGCGTCTCAGTCCAGAGTTGACCATCAGGATGAGGCAGCGGCTCGCTGACCTTCGACCTTCCAGCATCACTCAAACCTCCCAGAATGCACCTCAGCAAAAAGTGGTGAACCTCAAGTCAACATTTGGCTTTAGGTGTCTGTTGTTTGTTCTGTGACCATTTACCAGAACTAACTTGTTGAATTAACTTTGTGGGTGTTGTGTATGTGGTCTGTTGATGTGTGGTGTAGCCAGAAGCGTCGTCTCCTCGTGTCGTCATCATGTCGTCTGACAGTGACAAAGAGGAGGAAGAGGAAGAGGAGGAGGAGGAGTGCCGGAGTCCTTATATGGTCACAGCAGGATGCCTGCCGGAGGAGACAGGTTACCGTGGCGACGCAGCATGCTAAAGCGATGAAAGCGAGCTAACAATGGGGATGGTGTTATTAACTCTTAACGTGGAACCTCTTGTTCTCATAATAATAATGTTGATGAAATGAAACTACGGATCAGCAGCGGATCATAAATGACTTTCTTTCGCTTGTTCCACAGAAACGTCTGAGGAAAAGTTCGGACAGAAGGTGAGAAGACATTTAGTTTACAGAGTTTAATGTCCTCACAGGACCAGAAGACAAAAGTCTCATTGAATGTAGATGTTGAGATGATAAGTAGCCTAGCAGCTAGCTTAGCCTAGCAGCTAGCAACATGTTCCGGGCACTATCAGTCCTAAAGTGATTCGTTTCCTGTTTGAGACCCTTCTCTCCATCTAACTGACTGCAGTCAGGGGTCAGGGGTCAACGCACACCAGAAGGAAACAAAGCTGCGTTTAAAATGTTTCATCGCCTTAATCTCAGCCACAATAATCTCTCAGATTAACGCGCTAACTTTGGCAGCGCTAATATAAACAGTATAAACAATAATCTTCCTGGGACTCCTCAGGGTGCGGCGGGGAAGCGACTCCCCCGCCGCCGCTGGTCCAGGAGGACATGTAACGGCACACCGATGGTGAAGTCCATGTTGGACCTGAGGCTACTGGACTCGTACTGCGACCGACCGGTGGAGCAGCGGGTGGAGCGAGAGGTCAGGAAGCTCTCGGGGAGAAACTACGACCAACCAGACTCCATTAGGAAAATCCAGCGTTTAAAGCACCCCCTTTATCCCTCCTACCCAGGTGGAGACGACACGCCCCGTTGAGGTCAGCCCCCACCCCCGTCGCCCGAGTGGGATGGGCCAGTGTGTGGGGGAGGGGCTTCACAGGACCAATCAGGAGCTGGGCAGCACCGTCAGTCTGCAGGTCAACACTGCCTGGGTGAGCGTTCCAGCTGAATTCGCTCAGGTATCAGCTCACATCACCGCTGAGCACCTTGAAGTTATAAATATTCTCTGTGTGTCCAGGCAGAGGACGGGGAGACATGGACCAATCAGAGGCCAGACTTCATCCCGCTGTCCAATCAGAGCCCCGACGGGGAGGCTGTGGTTCTGTATCCCGACCAATGGGAGGACAGAGTGAGCCTGGCAGGAAGGTCTGTTGATTGTACTCTGACCCACAATCAGATATCCTTTCTTCAATTTACAACTTGCTGTAGATAAGAACCATTATAAGTCCAATGTAAGTGCTACAGTTAGTGTGTTAGTGGAGGTAGAGTCTGAAGAGGTGTGTCTTTAGTCTGAAGATGTGAAGGCTCTCTGTGGTCCTGATGTCTTCAGAGACCTCCTTCCACCATTTAGGAGCAGGACAGCAAAGAGTGGAGATCTAGTCGAGTGTTTTGCTCTCAGTGAGGAGGAACAAGCAGTTTATCACATGCAGAGCGGAGAGTGCGGGTCGGGATGTCGGGTTGGACCAGGTCCTGGATGTAAGCTGGACCCCATCCATTCACAGCCTGGTACGTGAGCACCATGTTTAGAACTGGATGAGCCACCGGTACCAGTGGAGAGAGCGGAGGAGTGGAGGAGTGAGGGAGAACTTAGGAAGGTTAAAGACCAGTGGAGCTGCTGCATTCTGGATGAGCTGCAGAGGTGGAATGGAGGTAGCAGGAGACCTGCAGGAGAGAGTTACAGTGGTCCAGGAGGGAGACGACAAGAGCCTGAATCAGTACCTTCTGAGTGAGAAGAGGACGTGTTCTCCTCATGTTGTAGAGCGAGTATCTACAGGGTGTTGTCAGTGATGTTGGAGTCAGGGAGAGTCGGCTGTCGACGTCACGCCGAGGTTCCTGCAGTCAAAGTGGACGTTAACACGGAGTCGCCAAAGTTAACAGTCAGGTCCTGTGAAGGAGAATCTTTTCCTGGAAAGAGAAGTAGTTCCATCTTGTCGGGGTTGATTTTCAGATGGTGGGCGGATCCACTGAGAGATGTCAGTCAGACAGGCAGAGATCCGAGTGAGGGAAGGAGAGAATTAGTTGGGTGTCATCAGCATCGCTGTGGTAGGAGAAGCCAAGTGAGCGAATGAGAGAGTTGGTGTAGAGAGAGAAGAGGAGGGGACCCAGGACGGAACCCTGAGGAACTCCAGTAGTAAGAGGACAAGGTTCAACACAGATCCTCTCCAGGTTACCCGATAGGTGCGTCCGTTGAAGATGTGATGGAATGGGGTCAAGAGGGCAGGTGGTCGGAGGGTCAGAGGTTACTAGGGTAAGAACTTGGTTAGGAGACAGGGGGGTGAAAGAGGAAAGTGAGGGCGATAGAGGTGAAGCCAGTGGGAAGCAAGAAATAGGAGGTGGGTTTGAGAAAGAGGAGCGTATGTCAGCTATTTTCTTGGTAAAGTAGTGACAGTCACCCAGAAGAAGGGGGGAGGAGGACTAGGGGGTTGGAGGAGGTTGGAGAATATCGAAAATAGTTTTTTTGGGTTAGAAAATGAAGATTGGATTCTGGATCGGTAGAAAGAGCTTTTGGCAGCAGAGACAGAAGCAGAAAAAGAGGAGAGAAGAGATTGAAACACAAGCAGGTCATCAGGTCGTTTATATTTACACCGTCTCCTTACAAAAGGATTTAAGGACAATTAATTGAATATGATAAACAGGGTCAGAGTTCAATGTCCCATTTTAGGAAGTAGTTTGTCCCAGGTGAATAAATTCTGCTTGTAGGATGTTGGAACGCCGCCCCTCTAAACGCTGCCCCTTCCTGTCAGTGAGTTCCAGGTGAAGGAGGCGTGTCCTACTGCTGCAGACAAACATCAGGACAAACCCAGTCCAGACAGCGGCTGCTCACTGGGATTCAGCTCCAGGCTGTCCAGTCCAGTGAGACCTGCAGGAGATGGTGAGACCGACACCGGGAGACAGACAGATAAGGAGAGACACAGCTGCAGGACATAGACAGATACAGAGAGACAAACCTGCAGGACATGGACAGATACAGAGAGACAAAGACAGATACAGAGAGACAAAACTGCAGGACATAGACAGATACGGAGAGACACACCTGCAGGACATAGACAGATACAGAGAGACAAACCTGCAGGACATGGACAGATACAGAGAGACAAAGACAGATACAGAGAGACAAACCTGCAGGACATAGACAGATACGGAGAGACACACCTGCAGGACATAGACAGATACAGAGAGACAAACCTGCAGGACATGGACAGATACAGAGAGACAAACCTGCAGGACATGGACAGATACAGAGAGACAAAGACAGATACAGAGAGACAAAACTGCAGGACATAGACAGATACGGAGAGACACACCTGCAGGACATAGACAGATACAGAGAGACAAACCTGCAGGACATGGACAGATACAGAGAGACAAAGACGGATACAGAGAGACAAACCTGCAGGACATAGACAGATACGGAGAGACACACCTGCAGGACATAGACAGATACAGAGAGACAAACCTGCAGGACATGGACAGATACAGAGAGACAAACCTGCAGGACATGGACAGATACTGAGAGACAAAGACAGATACAGAGAGACAAACCTGCAGGACATAGACGGATACGGAGAGACACACCTGCAGGACATAGACACATACAGAGAGACAAATCTGCAGGACATGGACAGATACAGAGAGACAAAGACAGATGCCGAGAGACAATCCTGCAGGACATAGACATATACCGAGAGACAAACCTGCAGGACATAGACAGATACAGAGAGACAAACCTGCAGGACATAGACAGATACAGAGAGACAAACCTGCAGGACATAGACAGATACAGAGAGACAAACCTGCAGGACATAGACAGATACAGAGAGACAAACCTGCAGGACATAGACAGATACAGAGAGACAAACCTGCAGGACATGGACAGATACAGAGAGACAAACCTGCAGGAAACGGTGAGACAGACAGATGAAGCGAGGCAGACAGACCTCTCTTGTCTGTCTCTCACCCCTAACCTGTCTCCGTCCTCGTAGACTCAGAGCCTCTCAGTGTGGATGGAAACTCCTCTGAGCTGGAGGAGGACGAGGACGGAGGAGGCGCAGCAGGAGGAGGACCAGATGTCATGACCTCTCAACTGGTTCCCCAGACTCCAGACCAGGAAGCCTTTCTGAAGGAACACTTTGTAACGCTGGCCAACCTCTCAAAACCAGGTCTGTAACACACAGCAACATCTGGACTCTGGAGAAGTTCAAGATTTGGTTTAACTGAACTTTGTCTCTGTATCCGACATTCTTGCCCTCTGCGATAATCTGGAGGATTAAAATATAAACTGTGTATTGACAGGAAGTCCAAGCAAAGCTTCTCACAGCTCCAGCGAGAGCATCAGCATCTCCTCCAGGTTCCTCTCCCAAAATCCAGCTGGAAGGTAAAACATCAGATCCACACTTTGTAATAACTCAGCATATCAGTAGTCAACTGAGACTAGAACCTCCAGGTACTGTTTCTCCTCCTCAGTCGGACTCTGTTTCCTCTCCCATCTCGGACCACCCGAGGAGGAGAGGAGGTGAAGGCCCGTCCTCTGGTCTCAGAGGTCCGCCCTCTGATGGATGAGAACCAGGACCGGAGGGTCTCGTGGAACCAGGACCAAACCTCCTCAGCTTACGACCAGGCACAGAACCAGCAGGGTGCAGGTCACCTCCAGGTGGCGGCACAGCCGACCCACCGCCCCAACCCACTAAAGAAGAAGGTCCAAACCGCGGTGGAGTCAAAGAGGAATCTGGGCCCGACGGCCCGAGCCGCCGCCTCACATCTGAGTTCCTCGTCCGGACTTCGGAAGGCTCAGTCAGTCCAAAACCTGCTGACCGACACAGGTGACACACAGAAGGTCTAGAACAGGGGTCAGTAACTGGCGGACCGCGGTCCGGATCCAGACCCAGAAGCTAAAACAGACGGCTGTGATTCAAAATGCATCTGTGTTAGTTTTTACAGTAGTGGGTTAGTTGTGTATTGATTACATGCAGATATTGATACCAGTCTATCATCTATTTAAATCACAATCAACAGTCACATTATTTCCTTTTAAAAGCTGCTCTAGAAGCACGGGTGAGTTGGATAATGACCCAAACCTCTCCGTCTCTCGCTCAGGTGATTCGTCCCTCTCGACCTCTTGTCCCCCCACAGAGGGCCGACCTCAGCTGCTCCCTCTCCTGCAGCGCCCCACTACCCTACCGGCCCCTCACACACCCAGCTCCCCCCTACAGGAGGCCGCAATCTTGCCCACAACTTTGTCTGCTAGCGGCATCCTGAGGAAGTCCTCCTCCTCCACGCTGGCGCCGTTGCGCTCCTACATGAGCCCAACGGCGAGCTCCATGGCCAAAATGTCTCGCTCCGTCTCAGTGGGCGACGAAATCAACATGTCAGACTTTGGCGAGGAGCCCCCAGTGATATCATCTTCATTGTCGACAGTGACCCCCTCCTCTCAGATCAAAGACACGCCCCCTCTTGCTGCTGTGGTGCCCTCCAACACTGCTCAGGCCACGCCCCCCCAGGCTGCCATTGTTCCCGTTGTCGTTGCTGCCTCCTCGTCTCTAAGTAACCATGGTAACCAGGCGGGCCCTTTCCCTCGTGGCCTCCAGGCCCGGATACCCGGCAACAGCAGACCGCTCCCTGACAAGCCCTCCCTGACCTCCTTCTCCTCTGTGTGGCTTCCTCCGGGCTCCGCCTCCCCACTGACTCCCCCCCGGCAGGGGGAGGAGCCTCAGACTCTTGCAGGCGGTGGGCGGCATCAGAGAGCTACCAGACTACGCAGGTTTGGACTTCCTTCATCCTGTCACCTCTTGGCTCCGCCCCCTCCTCTTCCTCCTGACATCAAAGCCTTAGAAACGGTTTGTTTCTAAGGCTTTGATGTTTCCCTAATGTAAGATTTTGAACCGTTGTGTGTTGTTGGTAGAGTGACCTAACCCCTCTCTCTGTGTGCGTGTGTGTGCGTGTGTGTGTGTGTGTGTGTGATCAGACCAGCCAATCAGTGTGGAGACCTGCAGAGCTCTGACCAATGAGCTGCAGAGTTGTTTCAAGAGAGCAACACACCTGTATAGGAAGGCAAGTCGTCACCTTTATACCTGAAGTTCATAAATTACAGACGTTTTACGTGAACTCATCCTTTAAAACGTCTGTCAGTCAGCGTGTAGCCCCGCCCTAAAGCGTCCCCTGCTTTATGGTCTGTCTGACTCCACACGGACCATAATTCACTAAATGAACATCATGCTGCATGAAGAAGACTAGAGACTGAGACCATAAACTCATGTTTACAGATGAAGCTTTGACTTCACTTTAAAGAATCAGAAGTTGTTTAACAGGAAGTGGAGGGTTGTGGTACATTTCCCGGATTCACTTTGACTTTTTAATATAAAAAGAACCCATCATTTGTCAGGTGAGATCTGACATCTTCTTCACCGGTCTCTCTCCTCCAGGTGAGTGGCTCCTCCCCCGACCAGCGTCAAATGGCAGGCATCCTATCCGAGGCCTTCCAGGCCATGAGGGCGGAGCTCAACTGTCTGCCGGTCGGCGCGTCGGCCGTGCTGGGAGCAGGGGGGGGGCTCGGGGAAGTGGGGGAGGGGAAGACGGCAGCTCTGCTGGAGGAATATTCTCTGCTGCTGCTGCAGGCGGTTCACCGCAGGATGGACAATATGGAGACGCGCCACTGATGCTCCTCATCTTCTCCTCCTCAGCTTCCTGTCCAATTATTCCTTCTCTTCTTTCTTACTACTGTCTTCTTATTTTCTCTTCTCCTCGGACCTCTACCTTCTTGTCTCCTCCTCGTCTCCACAGATGAAGATCTGAATCCACTTTTCTTCGCCTTCTTTATTTGTATGCAACAATCTCTCTCGTCTTAAAGGAACGACTTCCATCTTTTGGAACCTTTAAGGACAAAAGTTTCTCTTGAGTCGTGTTTTTTTAAGGATGTTTCAGCACCGAGTGTTTTATTTGATAAGATGATATGTTGGACCGCAGAGACAAAGAGAAGAAGACAAACTGTGTAACATTTTATTTGATGTAAATCTTTGTTCCTGAGTTCACTTGAAACTCAACAACATTTGTAGTTTGTGTTTATTCTACTGATCAGACTCTTTGTCTCCAGAGGTCACACCTTGATGTTTTTGTATGGCATCAAAGCAACACTTTAATATTTTAACACTAACAAACAGGTCAAAGTTAAGTTTCTGTTTTTATCAAAATGTAATAAAAGTTTGAGTTAATTTTCTTAAATCGTTATTATTCAGGCGTTAGTCCATCCCAGGGCCCTAAAATAAAAGTCCGGTCTGATACCTAAAGTGAGTGTGTTGCTGAGAGAAGCTCTCGCTGTTTCGGGGTCAGAGTGGGAACAGCAGGAAGCCGGAGAAGAGGCTGAAGTTCCGCGAGTCGTCGTAGAGCCGGTAGCTGGCCGGCAGGCTGAGGCGAACGCCGTCGCCTGCCTCGAGCTGGAGCGCCACGCCGCAGGACGTGGACGCGTAGCCACCATGGTCGTTCAGGTCCAGGCTGAAGACGATAGGCTGGTTGTTCCTGTACAGGTGGAGACCCATGTACCCCTTCAGGTAATCTGTGGCCGTAAAGCTGAAGAAGTAAAGTCCTCTGATCGGAGCGGTGAAGACACCTGAGAGACACAGAGCAGGTGACCGTCAACACGAGTCCTTCTCTAGGTTGTAACGGTCCTAAGGGGACGGGGTCTTAGCGGGACGGGGTTTACCTGCAGTCTGGTTGTAGGCTCGGCCGATGTTGGTGATGGTCTTGGAGAAGATCAGAGTCCTCTCCTCGTCAAATGGTCCGACTGATCCTAGGTCAGTTAGACCAGCTGAGAACGCCACCTTCAGCTCACCTCGAGAAGAAGTTTGATATTAATGTTCTAACGTAATAAAAACCGGTTTAATATTCTGATGGCAATATTTCTCAACCACTTATTGTTGCTTGAATCTTTATTCAACTTATTCTATTTCTTCCGTCGCACCTTTCAAGTCCTGCAAACTTTCAGCTATTAAACAACTGAGCCGCTTTTACTTTTCAGCTTTGTACCTTTCATACTATTTCTTAAATGGTTCCCAATGGAATTTTTTTTTCAAATCCTCTCAAAGTTCAACTTTCAAATCCTTCTTCCTCAATCTTTCAGCAACAACTACCATTTAAACAGTTTACAAATGCATAAGCTATTTATTTCAAATTCAACTTTTTTTCAATATCACTGATGATGAAAAACATACCGCAGACGCAGAAACATACATCTACTACAACATACCAATCAAGGCATTTGATTATGTTATGAATAGTGGAGCTTGAATTCCTACTATTGTTATTATTTTTCTATTTATTGAAAGTAATCCTGGCGAGTGGGTGATGTTACCTGCAGTGTGATTCTGCAGCTGCTCCCGTTGCGTCTCACTCGATCTCAGCCTGACCTCCAGAGCTGATGGACACTCACAATGGATTTATTCATATATTTAATGGGTCGGTATTCCAACTATTGAGTAGAGTCTATATCAACCGCATTACTACATCATTAATAGATACTTAAATAACTGCTGTAAATATGACTCTACCTGTTGTGTTGTTGAGGTTCTCTGTCAGTCTGGACTCCACCAAGGAAAGTTGAACAGACTGAACTGAGACACAAAATCAGAATCATCAAATGTCTAGGAAATTATAACAATAACGCATATTGTAATAAATTGAAAAAAATACGAAAACTCAATATTATTAGTCTCTCACTGAGCTCAGAGGAGAAGCAGGTTCCTTAAAGAATCCTCTAAAACCTAACGTTCCCACAAGAACCATAAGGCTTCCTTCGTGTTCATGACGGAGTTCCTCAGGGAACAATGTTGGATCCCTCATCATTAAACTCTTAACATCCTCTATAGGTAGTTTCTCTAAATGTTGTATGAATGTCATTGTGAATATATTTATACAACACATGAATATAAACCTTCAGAGTGTTACCCGTGTTTTCAATCTTCAGGTTCCCCAGATGTTCCTCACTGACTCTCAGTCTGACCTCCATCTCTGAGGAGAAAACAGTAGACATCTGATTAACACTTGCGGCATTAGTTTAATAAAGTGAATATAGATATACCTGTTGTGTTGTTGTGGTTCTCTGTCAGTCTGGACTCCACCAAGGAAAGTTGGACAGACTGAACTGAAAACACAAAAAATCAGAATAAACGACTTGTGACATTTTGACGACTTCTATGGGAAAACATACCGCAGAAGCAGAAACGTACATCCACTACAACATACCAATCAAGGCATTTGATTATGTTATGAATAGTGGAGCTTGAATTCCTTTATATTTAGAAATTATAAAAAAGTTCCTACAATAACCATCAGGAAGATGGAGTTCCTCAGGGAACCTCACTAGATCCTCCACAACTTTAGTTAGAAGAAGAATTACATCTGCGATCAGAGCTCAAATCAATCATGTTCCACCTTGTGTCACTTTATTAAGATAAGATGTACTAATATTCAGTTACTTTTTAACCTTCAGAGCGTTACCTGTATGCTCCCTCTTCAGGTTCTCCAGATCTTCCTCACTGACTCTCAGTCTGACCTCTAGAGCTGAACAGCCAAAGCAGCATGTTTGTTTTAATGGTTTATTTTTCTATTTATTAAAAGTAATCCTGGCGAGTGGGTGATGTTACCTGCAGTGTGATTCTGCAGCTGCTCCCGTTGCGTCTCACTCGATCTCAGCCTGACCTCCAGAGCTGATGGACACTCACAATGGATTTATTCATATATTTAATGGGTCGGTATTCCAACTATTGAGTAGAGTCTATATCAACCGCATTACTACATCATTAATAGATACTTAAATAACTGCTGGAAATATGACTCTACCTGTTGTGTTTTTGATGTTCTCTGTCAGTCTGGACTCCATCAAGGAAAGTTGAACGGACTGAACTAAAAGACATAATCAGAATCATCAAATGTCTAGGAAATTATAACAATAAGGTATATTGCAATAAATTGAAAAAAATACGAAAACTCAATATTATTAGTCTCTCACTGAGCTCAGAGGAGAAGCAGGTTCCTTAAAGAATCCTCTAAACCTAACGTTCCCACAAGAACCACAAGGCTTCCTCCGTGTTCATGACGGAGTTCCTCAGGGAACAATGTTGGATCCCTCATCATTAAACTCTTAACATCCTCTATAGGTAGTTTCTCTAAATGTTGTATGAATGTCATTGTGAATATATTTATACAACACATGAATATAAACCTTCAGAGTGTTACCTGTGTTTTCAGTCTTCAGGTTCCCCAGATGTTCCTCACTGACTCTCAGTCTGACCTCCAGCTCTGAGGAGAAAACAGTAGACATCTGATTAACACTTGCGGCATTAGTTTAATAAAGTGAATATAGATATACCTGTTGTGTTGTTGTGGTTCTCTGTCAGTCTGGACTCCACCAAGGAAAGTTGGACAGACTGAACTGAAAACACAAAAAATCAGAATAAACGACTTGTGACATTTTGACGACTTCTATGGGAAAACATACCGCAGAAGCAGAAACGTACATCCACTACAACATACCAATCAAGGCATTTGATTATGTTATGAATAGTGGAGCTTGAATTCCTTTATATTTAGAAATTATAAAAAGGTTCCTACAATAACCATCAGGAAGATGGAGTTCCTCAGGGAACCCCACTAGATCCTCAACAACTTTAGTTAGAAGAAGAATTACATCTGCGATCAGAGCTCAAATCAATCATATTCAACCTTGTGTCACTTTATTAAGATGAAATGTACTAATATTCAGTTACTTTTTAACCTTCAGAGCGTTACCTGTATGCTCCCTCTTCAGGTTCTCCAGATCTTCCTCACTGACTCTCAGTCTGACCTCTAGAGCTGAACAGCCAAAGCAGCATGATTGATTTAATGGTTTATTTTTCTATTTATTGAAAGTAATCCTGGCGAGTGGATGATGTTACCTGCAGTGTGATTCTGCAGCTGCTCCCGTTGCGTCTCACTCGATCTCAGCCTGACCTCCAGAGCTGATGGACACTCACAATGGATTTATTCATATATTTAATGGGTCGGTATTCCAACTATTGAGTAAAGTCTATATCAACCGCATTACTACATCATTAATAGATACTTAAATAACTGCTGTAAATATGACTCTACCTGTTGTGTTGTTGAGGTTCTCTGTCAGTCTGGACTCCATCAAGGAAAGTTGAACGGACTGAACTAAAAGACATAATCAGAATCATCAAATGTCTAGGAAATTATAACAATAAGGTATATTGCAATAAATTGAAAAAAATACGAAAACTCAATATTATTAGTCTCTCACTGAGCTCAGAGGAGAAGCAGGTTCCTTAAAGAATCCTCTAAACCTAACGTTCCCACAAGAACCATAAGGCTTCCTCCGTGTTCATGACGGAGTTCCTCAGGGAACAATGTTGGATCCCTCATCATTAAACTCTTAACATCCTCTATAGGTAGTTTCTCTAAATGTTGTATGAATGTCATTGTGAATATATTTATACAACACATGAATATAAACCTTCAGAGTGTTACCTGTGTTTTCAGTCTTCAGGTTCCCCAGATGTTCCTCACTGACTCTCAGTCTGACCTCCAGCTCTGAGGAGAAAACAGTAGACATCTGATTAACACTTGCGGCATTAGTTTAATAAAGTGAATATAGATATACCTGTTGTGTTGTTGTGGTTCTCTGTCAGTCTGGACTCCACCAAGGAAAGTTGGACAGACTGAACTGAAAACACAAAAAATCAGAATAAACGACTTGTGACATTTTGACGACTTCTATGGGAAAACATACCGCAGAAGCAGAAACGTACATCCACTACAACATACCAATCAAGGCATTTGATTATGTTATAAATAGTGGAGCTTGAATTCCTTTATATTTAGAAATTATAAAAATGTTCCTACAATAACCATCAGGAAGATGGAGTTCCTCAGGGAACCCCACTAGATCCTCCACAACTTTAGTTAGAAGAAGAATTACATCTGCGATCAGAGCTCAAATCAATCATGTTCAACCTTGTGTCACTTTATTAAGATGAAATGTACTAATATTCAGTTACTTTTTAACCTTCAGAGCGTTACCTGTATGCTCCCTCTTCAGGTTCTCCAGATCTTCCTCACTGACTCTCAGTCTGACCTCTAGAGCTGAACAGCCAAAGCAGCATGTTTGTTTTAATGGTTTATTTTTCTATTTATTAAAAGTAATCCTGGCGAGTGGATGATGTTACCTGCAGTGTGATTCTGCAGCTGCTCCCGTTGCGTCTCACTCGATCTCAGCCTGACCTCCAGAGCTGATGGACATTCACAATGGATTTATTCATATATTTAATGGGTCGGTATTCCAACTATTGAGTAGAGTCTATATCAACCGCATTACTACATCATTAATAGATACTTAAATAACTGCTGGAAATATGACTCTACCTGTTGTGTTTTTGATGTTCTCTGTCAGTCTGGACTCCATCAAGGAAAGTTGAACGGACTGAACTAAAAGACATAATCAGAATCATCAAATGTCTAGGAAATTATAACAATAAGGTATATTGCAATAAATTGAAAAAAATACGAAAACTCAATATTATTAGTCTCTCACTGAGCTCAGAGGAGAAGCAGGTTCCTTAAAGAATCCTCTAAACCTAACGTTCCCACAAGAACCACAAGGCTTCCTCCGTGTTCATGACGGAGTTCCTCAGGGAACAATGTTGGATCCCTCATCATTAAACTCTTAACATCCTCTATAGGTAGTTTCTCTAAATGTTGTATGAATGTCATTGTGAATATATTTATACAACACATGAATATAAACCTTCAGAGTGTTACCTGTGTTTTCAGTCTTCAGGTTCCCCAGATGTTCCTCACTGACTCTCAGTCTGACCTCCAGCTCTGAGGAGAAAACAGTAGACATCTGATTAACACTTGCGGCATTAGTTTAATAAAGTGAATATAGATATACCTGTTGTGTTGTTGTGGTTCTCTGTCAGTCTGGACTCCACCAAGGAAAGTTGGACAGACTGAACTGAAAACACAAAAAATCAGAATAAACGACTTGTGACATTTTGACGACTTCTATGGGAAAACATACCGCAGAAGCAGAAACGTACATCCACTACAACATACCAATCAAGGCATTTGATTATGTTATGAATAGTGGAGCTTGAATTCCTTTATATTTAGAAATTATAAAAAGGTTCCTACAATAACCATCAGGAAGATGGAGTTCCTCAGGGAACCCCACTAGATCCTCAACAACTTTAGTTAGAAGAAGAATTACATCTGCGATCAGAGCTCAAATCAATCATATTCAACCTTGTGTCACTTTATTAAGATGAAATGTACTAATATTCAGTTACTTTTTAACCTTCAGAGCGTTACCTGTATGCTCCCTCTTCAGGTTCTCCAGATCTTCCTCACTGACTCTCAGTCTGACCTCTAGAGCTGAACAGCCAAAGCAGCATGTTTGTTTTAATGGTTTATTTTTCTATTTATTAAAAGTAATCCTGGCGAGTGGGTGATGTTACCTGCAGTGTGATTCTGCAGCTGCTCCCGTTGCGTCTCACTCGATCTCAGCCTGACCTCCAGAGCTGATGGACATTCACAATGGATTTATTCATATATTTAATGGGTCGGTATTCCAACTATTGAGTAGAGTCTATATCAACCGCATTACTACATCATTAATAGATACTTAAATAACTGCTGGAAATTTGACTCTACCTGTTGTGTTTTTGATGTTCTCTGTCAGTCTGGACTCCATCAAGGAAAGTTGAACGGACTGAACTAAAAGACATAATCAGAATCATCAAATGTCTAGGAAATTATAACAATAAGGTATATTGCAATAAATTGAAAAAAATACGAAAACTCAATATTATTAGTCTCTCACTGAGCTCAGAGGAGAAGCAGGTTCCTTAAAGAATCCTCTAAAGCTAACGTTCCCACAAGAACCATAAGGCTTCCTTCGTGTTCATGACGGAGTTCCTCAGGGAACAATGTTGGATCCCTCATCATTAAACTCTTAACATCCTCCATAGGTAGTTTCTCTAAATGTTGTATGAATGTCATTGTGAATATATTTATACAACACATGAATATAAACCTTCAGAGTGTTACCTGTGTTTTCAGTCTTCAGGTTCCCCAGATGTTCCTCACTGACTCTCAGTCTGACCTCCAGCTCTGAGGAGAAAACAGTAGACATCTGATTAACACTTGCGGCATTAGTTTAATAAAGTGAATATAGATATACCTGTTGTGTTGTTGTGGTTCTCTGTCAGTCTGGACTCCACCAAGGAAAGTTGGACAGACTGAACTGAAAACACAAAAAATCAGAATAAACGACTTGTGACATTTTGACGACTTCTATGGGAAAACATACCGCAGAAGCAGAAACGTACATCCACTACAACATACCAATCAAGGCATTTGATTATGTTATAAATAGTGGAGCTTGAATTCCTTTATATTTAGAAATTATAAAAAGGTTCCTACAATAACCATCAGGAAGATGGAGTTCCTCAGGGAACCTCACTAGATCCTCCACAACTTTAGTTAGAAGAAGAATTACATCTACGATCAGAGCTCAAATCAATCATGTTCAACCTTGTGTCACTTTATTAAGATGAAATGTACTAATATTCAGTTACTTTTTAACCTTCAGAGCGTTACCTGTATGCTCCCTCTTCAGGTTCTCCAGATCTTCCTCACTGACTCTCAGTCTGACCTCCAGCTCTGAGGAGGGAACATTTCTGTTTAGAACAGAACTCCTTAGGGAACCAACATGGAGTTTGACTACACATCACTGATTTCTCTTTGCAAACACTGTTGTGTTGAATGTCGTTGAGATGAAAAGACAGAATACGTTCAAAATCTTCATCAGATTTAAACTATTCTCAGATTGACCCAGATTGATTATTATGTTCTGTTTGTATCTCAAACTTTTCAAGCTAAAATGTTTGTATCAAAGTCATACAGTTCTGTTGGATTCATACGATTTTACAGGTATACAAAATAAAGTAATCAATATTTTGATCATAAAGGTTCCCATCACTTGCTGCGGTCTTCTTCTTTATCACTCGGTCATATCAGTCTCAGTCTATGTGTGTTACATCTCTCTCACTCTCTCATGTTACATCGGAGACAGGCAGAGAGACAGGCAGAGAGACAGACACATCAGCGTCATTTGTCTGCAGCACGTTCTCAATCTGGAGACTAAACAAACAAAGAAGAACAAACGTCCTGTGACTGTAATAATTGATCAATGAGATCCGCGGTCACCTCGAGTATTTGTGTTCAGCTCCTCCAGATCAGACGATGCAGCCTGAGAAGAACTGTTAGAATTCTGGACTGCTGGAAAGTAAAAGCTTTAAGGTAACTTATTTAGACACATTAGATCTGCTCACCGCTACATACCCTGTTAATCAACTCATGTTTATATATTGATTAGTAATGATCCATCAGAGGGTACAGGAAATAGAGGGTTGAATCTGACCTGATGTCGGCCTCGTCAGCTCCTCCATCAGACGCTCAGTGTTACACAATCTGACTGCCAGAACTGTGGAAACAAACTAAAGATCAACGTATATGGTAGACCAGTATAGACTGGTCATGGCTGGTAAATGGTAGACCAGTATAGACTGGTCATGGCTGGTATATGGTAGGCCAGTATAGACTGGTCATGGCTGGTAAATGGTAGACCAGTATAGACTGGTCATGGCGGGTATATGGTAGACCAGTATAGACTGGTCATGGCGGGTATATGGTAGACCAGTATAGAGTGGTCATGGCGGGTATATGGTAGACCAGTATAGACTGGTCATGGCGGGTATATGGTAGACCAGTATAGAGTGGTCATGGCGGGTATATAGTAGACCAGTATAGACTGGTCATGGCTGGTAAATGGTAGACCAGTATAGAGTGGTCATGGCGGGTATATGGTAGACCAGTATAGAGTGGTCATGGCGGGTATATGGTAGACCAGTATAGACTTGTCATGGCTGGTATATGGTAGACCAGTATAGACCGGTCATGGCGGGTATATGGTAGACCAGTATAGACTGGTCATGGCTGGTATATGGTAGACCAGTATAGACTGGTCATGGCTGGTATATGGTAGACCAGTATAGAGTGGTTATGGCTGGTATATGGTAGACCAGTATAGACTGGTCATGGCTGGTATATGGTAGACCAGTATAGAGTGGTCTTGCTGGTATATGGTAGACCAGTATAGACTGGTCATGGCGGGTATATGGTAGACCAGTATAGAGTGGTCTTGCTGGTATATGGTAGACCAGTATAGACTGGTCATGGCTGGTATATGGTAGACCAGTATAGACTGGTCATGGCTGGTATATGGTAGACCAGTATAGAGTGGTTATGGCTGGTATATGGTAGACCAGTATAGACTGGTCATGGCTGGTATATGGTAGACCAGTATAGAGTGGTCTTGCTGGTATATGGTAGACCAGTATAGACTGGTCATGGCGGGTATATGGTAGACCAGTATAGAGTGGTCTTGCTGGTATATGGTAGACCAGTATAGACTGGTCATGGCTGGTATATGGTAGACCAGTATAGACCGGTCATGGCTGGTATATGGTAGACCAGTATAGACCGGTCATGGCGGGTATATGGTAGATTATACCATGTACATAGATGTTGTTAATAATCTTGACATTGACTCTATTGATGTCAATGATTTAGTTTCCTACTTGCTAACGACCACCATGTCAAATTCCTTGTATAACATATTTTGGCAATAAATGTTCCAAACACAACACGAGTCATCACGTTACATCCAATGTCACGGGGCTTTCTGCCTTCAGTCAAAGTCATCATGAATCTGACGTCCAAAGTTTACCAGGTCACAAAGAGACAAACTGTTGATACTCGTGAAGACGATGAAGATGACGACCTGTGCTTTTTCTCCTCAGCTGCTCCACAGTGGTCTCACTCGCCCTCAGTCTGGTCTGCAGGAAGGAAAGCTCCAACGCCAGAGCTGACAAGTTAAGTTATTACTAACCAACGTCATTAATTAACCAAAGTTATCAATTAAGTGATTAATTAACCAAAGTTATTAATAACCAATGTTATTCATTACCAAAGTTAGTAATAAACGACTTTATTTATAACAGGAATGAAGTTATTAATACCACCCAGCTGTTCATTGGGGACCACACCAGCAGCTTGGTGCTCTTGACCCGTTCTAGTGGTGAACTTGACACAGACGGGTGAATCTATGTGTCACATTAAGCAAATACATGACTTTTAGCTGCTGAATGACGTCACAAATGTAAAAAGAAATGTTTCTCCAAAAGACATTGAATAGTTTGAAAACAATTCAAAGTGTCCAAGTTGTAATATATTCTAGCTTGTTTAACCTGATGGCACATGGACGATAAAAAGTGCAACAACTCAGGAACCGCTTTGTCAATTTGGACGATTCTCTTTGTGGGGATAAAGGGGAACCTCGTGAGCGCTATGGTGTGTAAAGGCCAGTTCATACTGGTGAAGAAATATATCAATACTACACACAAAAAAAGTTCACATTTTGAGATTAAAAAATGTCGGCCTGGTTTGTCTGAGAGAAATGTTAAAGATATCTCCGGGTCAGCAGCACCCCCTTAGGCGTTTAGCATTTAGCATCGGAAATGTTTTTTTGTACAACCGAGTGCAAAATCTATGGATGAATTCGCATTGAATATTGTTTTACTCTCACTGCACTGGCTAGTTTGGAGTATTTTGTGGCTACGGGTCAAACGATGGATGCATGCAGCTCCGTGTTGCTGATGAGACGCTCTGTTGTGGATGCGGCGCTCTGACATCCTTCTGCTTGGTGGCTTTACTGCTGTAGGTTGGTTTGTCTGAGAGGAAACTACATCACTAGATTCACGGCGATCTGCTGATGCTGTTTGGTGTGTTTGTGTTGCCATGGCAGCATTTAGCATGGAAGGACTACATTTATTTTACTAACATTACACTGAATGAAGTTGTACTTTTCAAGTGGATCGTAGCTTATTGTAGCCAGAACACGTGAAGCAGTCATTTTTTCATGATGAATAGCCGAAATGTCTCTGGTTCTGACCCGGTTTTGTGTCACTTGTACGTCCATATGGGAGACTTTAGAAACTAACGTGTCTCACAATGCTCCATCCTGGGTCCTATGGACACGTCATTAATACATTTTTGAAGCAGTCTTCACATTCATGATCTTTTATCGGCTCACTTCGGTCAAAGAAAACAGATGGTTTCCATGAACAACAAAGTCTCGTACAAAAACTAATGAGGGTCATTTTTATAGAACTTTTAAACTCCTCCTTCACCAACCTCTGCTCTGCTCCTCCATCTTCCTCTTCAGATCGGAGTTCAGCTCCGTCAGAAGCTTCCTGTTGGCCTCCATAATTTCCCCGGTGCTCCTCAGCTCCTCGTTCTGCCGAACCGCTGTCTCCTCCAGTCCGTCCAGGCTGCGTTTCTGCAGCCAGGCCTCCACCTCCCGGTCCCTCAGCCGGCTCTCCATGCTCCTCAGGGCCTGACGCCGCTCCACCTCCACCGTCTTCACGCTGAGGACCAGCTCCTTCAGACCCCTCAGCTCGTCCCAGAGAACAGCGAGCTCTGGAGGGACGCCGGCCTCCGTCCTCAGGTCGTCCAATCTGGTTGTCACGTCGTCTTCCTCCATCTTCATAATGTCGTCCGTCGCCACATCGTCCTCCGTTTTCATGTCCTCCTCTGTTATAACATCTTCCAATCTAGTCTCCAACACGTGCTGTTGAGGGACAGAATCCACCAACTGTCCCCGACTGACGGCTGGAGACAAACAGAACAGCAGCAGAACCAGAACGGCAGAATTCATCCTGAAACCAAAACCTGCTGCTGAACAACAGTCCAACAGCTTACACACACACACACACACACACACCACGCACCCCCACATTAATCCTGGTGGAGAACATTCAGCATGGCATCAATGACTTTTCGTCACGTAGAATGATATAAAGTTCTGGAGCTCTCTATACAATCATGTGCTGAATGATTGAAGTAGATTTGGTTGTTTCATGGATTTGCGTTGGAGTGAGACATCGAACCCCCATGATAAATCTACACCGTCCCTAATGGTAGTTTGTCCCAAAGCTCCAGAGGTGAATTAGTTTCCGGAGCTCGACAGTCGACCTCTTGTATCGGATCTCCAGGAATTTACTTAAAAATCCAAAACATTGTAGAGAAAGACGACAGGTGTGAAAATAAAAAGATATGATGATGTGATGGGAGGTTTGAACTCGCCGACGTCCTCTGGTGGACAAACGTTGTCACAACAACGTGGATCCGGTCATAGAAACGTGAAACTTCTTCGGTTCAGCTCGGTTGTTTCTCTGCAGCGCCGCATACCAAACATAGCTAACATGCTAATCTGCAGCTCAAGGGATCTGTGCACTAAACGGTCACGTGCGTGCCGACGGTGTGTTAAAGATGTGAGTTACATGTGAATCCTTGTTTTCATGCTTCAGGTGAAATATCCAGATGTAGTTAAAGTAAAGTTACTCTTCTGTTTGACTCAATAATAGTTGATATTTACTCCCACCGGTTGTTGTAGTTCTCCTTTACCAGCATCCGAGTCTGTAAATGAAACGTCCACACCGGCCCACGTTATGTTTGAGGAGGTTCGGAGGCCTTTTTGTTGTATTGACGGAATCAGTTGAATGAGATGTGGGTGAAAAGGAATCCACGAACCACCAAACGCCCCACAGGGTGACGTCTAAAACTCCATTTAATTACTTTGCTTTCTTAATGGAAAACCTCAAGTCTTTAAAAAAAAGATTGACATGAAAAGTGTCAATGTCCAAGAAACAGGATTTTATTTTAAATTGTTTTAATACACAAACTTTAAAACACACTTTGTTCCTTTGAAAGAAGAACACACAAGTTCTCGTCTCTACACTTAAATATTTAAACTCCACTCATGCGTTTCACCCTCGGTTCTGACCCACCTGCTCCTGTAGAGGCCACGGGACACCTCACACAGGACATTATCGTCTGACTGGATATTGACATCCTCGTACAGCCGATGACCTCTGACCTTAGTCCAAAGTCTGAGACCTGCAGGAGGCCCGGCCTCCAGCGGCTCAGCGCTGGCCGGTGTAAGCTCTGAACCAGGAGGTGACGGAGGCGGCGGCAGACGAGATCATCCCTCCAGCGTTAGCAGAGGGCTGCGACACTTGCAATGCACTCTGGGAAAGATCCATGGACTGAAGGAGAAGAGACACGTTATGTAGTTTTACCAAGTGAAAGGACGGACCTGGTCTGAGCCACGGACAGATGGGTTCAGGTTCTACCTGCGATGGGATGTCACAGAACCGAGGACTCGGCACAGTCTCCCAGTCCGTCCCCAGGTCCGTCTCCTCGTCCGTCACTGCCTCGTCTCCGCTCTCCTCTGCTGGTCCGGCGGCCTCCGGCTCCACGAACTCCATTGACTCCTCCAGGTCGGCGCTCACCTCAAACGGACCCGTTCTAGACCAGAACCGGAACAGAGACCAGTCAGATAAGAGCGCGAGTCTGCATTCCTACAAACAGAACCTCAGCTGAAGACAAAGACACACCTGCCCAGGTTGGTGTTGTCGGGGGACACCAGAAACATGATGTTCCTCAGAGTGTGATGTGGGTGGAGCTTCTCGCTGTCTACGTGCTGAAGACACACAGGAGGAACCACTTTTTATTCATCATTTATGTGAGAGGGTCTCTGTGAGGCTTTAAGAGTCCCGTCGAGTCCCACCTGGGAGAAGCACAGGTGGAGGATGTTGGTGTTGAGTTTGCTCAGGGCTCTGGTGAAGCGGTACCGGCTGAGGTTCTCTCCACAGAACTCACTGAAGGAAAAAACAAACATGAGAAACTTGTGAAAAGTAGGTGACGCTCTGCTTTACAGACGTTGTGACGAGCCCCTGAACGCAGCAGCAGGCGTTTCCTGTCTCACCTGTTGCAGAGTTTCTTGGGCAGGTTGACGTCCAGGATGTGGGACAGGATGGTGACGAGCTGCGTGGCGTAGCAGAGAGCAGCGCTGATGGTGTGGGCCGGGTTGATGTGGTCCAGCTCTGAAGAGACAGGGGTCAAAGGTCAGACAGACAGTGGAGCAGCTTCTAAAAGAGAATGTTTTATTGAATTATTTAAATCAATAATATTAGCTGATTGGTTGGCTGGTTGATTCATTAACTGTTTGTAACCCCCCCCCTCACCTGGGCCCTGATTGGTTCTCTTCTCCTCCACCCAGCTGTAGTAGGCGGAGCAGTCCCCGTTGCTAGGCAAGGTGACGGGAGGTCCCGTGATGCTGATGCTGGTCTCTCCGTTCTGGTCGTCCCAGATCCAGCGGCCCGACAGGTAGGTGGTCCTCCGGGCCTCGGCCAGCTCGCTCACTGTGCTGGAGGTCAACGCAGGGTCGCACTCCGCCACCACGTCTGCGGGGTCTCTGAGGGACACACGCAGGGCCAGAGGACAGGTGTGTTTGCACCTTTCATCAAAGAGACAACCTCAACCTAAACGCTCCAGCTTTGCAGGCCCCTCTGGACCCCTCTGGACCCCGGTGGGTTCACCTGCTGCCCTGCTTGTCCTCCTGCGTGTGGAAGATGTGGGTGGTGAGCTCCAGGATGTGGTCTCGTCTCAGAGCCGCCAGTTGTCCGAGGCGTCCCTGCAGCTCCCGGCTGCGTCTCTCCAGCAGGTCCCCGAGGCGCCCGTTGTGGCGCTCGATCTTGTCCCGTTTCTCCTGGTGCCGTCCGGCCCGACGCTGCAGCCGCTGGCTCTCCTCCTGGCAGCGCAGCAGGAGCTCCTTATCTGCAGGAGGTCACGGAGAGGAGGAGCGTGAAGGAGAGGTCATGATGTGCAGTTACTTCTGCAATACTGATAATAAAAACAACAAAACACCTCTTCAAACTTTACAAACAAAAGGGGTTTTGGAAAGTGAAAAATAAAAAACTAAACCGGACAAAATGATGAAAAAACAACAACAAAATGACTCACCACCCTTTACCTCCGCGTTGCCCCCGGCGACCGCCTCCTTCAGCTGCTCGATCTTCATCTTACACGACATGATCTTCCATTTCTGAGATCAGTATAATATTAATAATAGTAACATATTATCTATATAGATACTGGTGCTGGGTAACAATTATATATATAACTAATGTTTAATTATGATTTCTTCCTAGATGTTGACGATAGGAATGTATACAAGTATAACAAACTTATAAATCACAAATGATCACAAATAATTTCAAAATGTGTGATTAATTAGTCAATTATGCACGCGTATACACACACACACACACAGACATTGAAGAATGTCTCCACCAGCTTTGCACATCTACAGATGGAGATGTTCCTCCGTTCTTCTGTGAGCTCAGTCAGACTGGATGGAGACGTCTGAACGGTCTCTTAAATCTCACCATGTATTCTGATGGGGTTGACTGGTCGTTTTAAACCATTAACACGTGAACATGTGAACATTCCATTGTAGCTCTGCTTGTATGTTGAGAGTCATTGTCCTGCAGGAAAATGAAGCTCTGCCCCCGTCTCAAGTCTTCTGCAGACCATCATGTTCTCTTCATGCATTGGTCTCCAGCGAGCTTTGCCTCATGGTGATTCGTTTCCTGTAGCTGCTGAAGAGAAGCAGCCCACAGCATGGTGCTACCACCACGTGGTGTGCTCAGGGTGGTGTTGGGTTTCGGTCTTCTCTGAGCAGATCACCTTTCCATGTAAACTTTCCTTGACTTCCAGATGATGGACTGTTTTATATTGGTCATTTACATAAAACCCCAATTAAAGAAATTTGAATCTGTAGTTCTACCATGACGAGACGTAGAAAGGTCCCAGTGGGGTGAATACTTATGCAAGACGCTGTGTATGTGTACATACAAGTCAAAATAAATTGTATTTTTACAAACTCACCATCTTATCTGCCTGCTGCTTTCTGTCCATGTCCTGGAGAACTCTGCGAAGACAGACGAGGTCAGCATCATCTCAACGTCTTCCAAGTTTATGTTGCCATGACCACCTTGTGACCACCAGATCCTTATTTCCTCCCTTCAGGAACTTGGTGCCTCAGGCTCTTCTCTCTCCCTTCTCTCGTCCTACCTCCACGGACGCACCTACCGGGTAACCTGGAGAGGATCTGTGTCGGAACCTTGTCCTCTTACTACTGGAGTTCCTCAGGGTTCCGTCCTGGGTCCCCTCCTCTTCTCGCTCTACACCAACTCTCTCGCCGCTGTAATTCGCTCGCATGGCTTCTCCTACCACAGCTATGCTGATGACACCCAACTAATTCTCTCAGCTAAATGACATGTAATGGAATGTAATGTATTAACAACGTCTACGTTGTAATATTAACGTTAGCATTTTAAGGAGTTTCCACTGATGTTTCTATGCATCAAACCATGTGTACTCATGTTGTGGTTTAAAGGACCCGTGGTATTTTACTATGGAGCCAAATCCAGGTCAAAAGTTTTGTTCATTTGAAAAACAAATGTGAACCTGAAAGTTCAAGTTTTGCTGTTGAACATTGAAAAATACAACAATGTATTCAAAATAAAAATAAGTGGACGAAAAATATTATATATAATAATATATATTTCAGGATGAATATAGTTTTGACTCAGCTCTATATTTTTTTTGAATAAAATATATTTTTTCAATCTTCACTTATATATATTTTTCGATATTCACTTCACTATATTTTTTGATTGCAGATTTTATATTTTCTGATTCAAAACTTATATTTTCACTTTCACTGTTTTTTTCAGATTCAGACTTTTGACCCTGAGGTCATGACCCCGTGGCCATGTAAGAGAGCCTCCCATGTCATAGTGACGAGAGAATGACAAGAAAGTTCCTTCGCTATCACTCGAGCAGGAGGTTTCTGACGTACGAGACCCCCCCCTCTCATCCATGCCCCTAGAACCTCCGGACTCGACTGCTGCACCAGTATCCTCTACGGCCCCCCAACAAAATCCTCAACAAACGGTTGGACTGCTCACGTCCACCCGCCGCTATGAGCACATCACCCGGTCCTACGGAACCTCCACTATCCAAATATGACCCTAAACAACCTGCCCCCCACCTCTCAGACCTCCACCCCCTCCACCCGTTTCACCTTTGTTGTAGCTGCTCCTTTTCCTCCTTCAGCTTCTTCAGTCGCTCCAACTTTTCAGTGTATCTGCACAACAAAATATTAAAATATGTAGATCAGATCAGCACAGAGAATGATGTCATAGTTCTTTATTTTGTTGCTGTGGCCCCCTGGTGGTCTCGCAGTGGTCTCCTGGTGGTCTCCTGGTGGTCTCTGAGGCCTTGTTTTGGAAACGGACCTCTGACATGAGGACAGTTATTTGGGGGACGTCTTACTGAGCAGAGACACGTAACCTGAACACAATCACTGCTCTTAGTTAGCTGCTAATGCTAACTAAACAAGGCTGCTCTATTGAGTTGGTGGGGCGACTAGATTACTAGATTACTAGATTATTAGATTTCAAACATGTAAAGAAATTTACTTGTAGAGTTATTTGAGATTCAATTGGATTCTTGAAACTAGATCTGATGTTAGAAGCAAACCCGTATATATAAAACTAAAATCTATTCAACCTGAAAATGATATCGGAACAACAAAGATACAAAATACAGGATTATTGTTTTCATTATGGTTATTCACTTTTCAATCGGATTATTTGTACAAACAGCTGATCGCTTGTTTATTCCTCCAAAACAACTTCAGCGATGTGAATCAGCAAAAGTTGAGGATTTGTTGGAATTAACTGAACCCAACGATGAAACGTCGGGTGGAAGCCGACGTGTGGTGTGTGACTGCGGGGGAGTTGGAGCTCCACACACCGGCCCTACCTCTCCGCGTTCCTCCCGTCCAGGGACACGAAGTCTCCGGCCTTGACGCAGCGGGCGCAGGTCAGCCTGCGGCGGGAGGTGCTGCACAGCGGGCACCGCTCCACCGCCACGTACAGACCCTCCGCGTCGTCCACCGACTCCACCATCAGGCAGCGCGGCGCGGAGGGACCCGCGTGCGGCTGCTGGGGCCGGAGGGGTGGCCTCCCGCCGCCGGAGGATGAGGCGGCGCGATCCGGGCCGAGCGGCTGGAGCCCCGCCGGGGACGCCATGGACGGGAAAGCTAGGGGCTAGCTGAGCTAACTGGCTAAGCTAAGCTAGGGTATTGAAGCTAGCGCGAGCTGTCCGCGCGTTCTACTCCTCCATGTCGGTCACGTGGCTTTAACGGTCAGAACAGACAGCGAGGGACAGATGTGTTTTTGTTTTGATGCGCGAGCGACGAGTCCGCCACTTCCGGTTTCCTCTGAAAACGTGACCGGTTTGTTTATCAAGTGACGTAATCGTTGTGGGCGGAGTCAGTGAAACGCTGCAACTTCAGTAACACCAGTGTCTCTCAAACTGAGGGGCGCGACCCTCTATTCCATTCAATTCATTTTATTTTGTACACATGACACATTGCACAGAGCATCTAGTGTGTCTGTGATACCGGAGGTGCGTCGCATCGCAATTATTTCATTTCAAGAACTTTATTGCGAACTTCCCATCTTACAAAAGTACAGATTAAACGGACTGCTGTTGCCTCTCTAAACAAAATACAGACTCAAGCTGAACATTGAACATGAATTGAGGCGCTGCATCAAGTCTACATTACATAACATGCCAGTTATCTGACGCTTTTATCCAAAGCGACTCCATAAGTGCATCAACCACAAGGACACAAACTCAGAAGAACAAGAAAGTGTGATTTCCTCAAACAAGCCGATGTACAACTTGCTGTAGATAAGAACCATTATAAGTCCAATGTAAGTGCTCCAGTTAGTTAGTGTGTTAGTGGAGGTAGAGTCTGAAGAGGTGTGTCTTTAGTCTGAAGATGTGAAGGCTCTCTGTGGTCCTGATGTCTTCAGAGACCTCCTTCCACCATTTAGGAGCAGGACAGCAAAGAGTGGAGATCTAGTCGAGTGTTTTGCTCTCAGTGAGGAGGAACAAGCACTTTATCACATGCAGAGCGGAGAGTGCGGGTCGGGATGTCGGGTTGGACCAGGTCCTGGATGTAAGCTGGACCCCATCCATTCACAGCCTGGTACGTGAGCACCATGTTTAGAACTGGATGAGCCACCGGTACCAGTGGAGAGAGCGGAGGAGTGGAGGAGTGAGGGAGAACTTAGGAAGGTTAAAGACCAGTGGAGCTGCTGCATTCTGGATGAGCTGCAGAGGCTGAATGGTGGTAGCAGGAGACCTGCAGGAGACAGTTACAGTAGTCCAGGAGGGAGACGATAAGAGCCTGAATCAGTACCTTCTGAGTGAGAAGAGGACGTGTTCTCCTGATGTTGTAGAGCGAGTATCTACAGGATGGTGTTGTCAGTGATGTTGGAGTCAGGGAGAGTCGGCTGTCGACGTCACGCCGAGGTTCCTGCAGTCAAAGTGGACGTTAAGACAGAGTCGCCAAAGTTAACAGTCAGGTCCTGTGAAGGAGAATCTTTCCCCAGAAAGAGAAGTAGTTCAGTTTGTCTGGGTTGATTTTCAGATGGTGGGCGGATCCACTGAGAGACGTCTGTCAGACTCTAACTGAGAACTTCTGATGGAAGGAACTGTCCAAGGAGCTCAGACAGAATCGTGGCACAGCACAGATCTGCCCAAGGTAACAAAAGAATTTCTGCAGCACTCAAGGTTCCTCAGAACAGTGGCCTCCATGACCCTTAAATGGAAGAAGAACTCTTCCTAGACCTGAGACGTCCAGTCAAACTGAGCAATCGTGGGAGAAGAGCCTTGGTGAGGTGGAGCGGTGAAGAAGAACCCAAAGATCACTGTGGCTGAGCTCCAGAGACGCAGTAGGGAGACGGGAGAAGGTTCCACAATGTCAACGAGTGGCTTCAGAACATCTCTGAGAGACCTGACAATGGCGGCTCACCAACGTTCACCATCCAACCTGACGGAGCAGCAGAGGAGGAAGGCTCATGGCTGCAGCAGCTCAAAGGAGCTTCTACTCAAGACTGAGCAAAGGCTCGGAATACTTATGACCAAGTGATGTTTCAGGTTCTCTTTTTTAATACATTTGTTTTTTTTCTGTGGAGTAAATTAATGAGAAATAAAATGAACTTTTGATGAAAAGAGTGAACATTTTAAAGGGGTCTGAATACTGTACCCACTGTATTTAGAATAAGTAAATAAAAAGTTCTGAGATAGCTACAATGGAAATAACATTTTAAAAAGAGTTAAGTTCTTCATTATTTGAAATCTAAATGATTTAAATCAGATATTTCTGACTTCATGCTGTATATTCATGGGTTTAATCAGCTTAAATTGGATTTAAAAATACATAATCAACATTTTTTAACACATTTATTTTCTTTCTGGAGAGCGCAACGTTCAACAGAAACTCACTAACAAACATAAAATAGATGATTTATTTACAGATAAACAGGAAGTGATGTCACTGTTTCCTGAAGCCTCTCAGGATCGGGTAAATGTTTTCAAACGCCTCGTAGATCTCCTCTCGCTCTTTGGCTCCTGGAATCAAACACACAGCTCTGCAGTTATCACACCTTCAACGAACCAGCGAGCCACACATCATTAACTTGAACACGCACATGTTGTCTTATGATTACATCCACTGATTGTTGTGACACAACACATTAGTTTCTATGGCAACAACAGGAGTCTGAGGTTTAAAGGTGATTAAAGTGAGCGCTCCTCTGAACCACGTTACAGTGCCGGTACCCTCTAAACCTTCCTGTCAGGGCCCCCCACTCTAAGACCTCCACACGTTACCAGTCAGAACCACTTTCCCCGACACGAAGATGAGCAGGACGATTCGGGGCTTCACCATTCGATAGATGAGGCCTGGAAACAGCTCCGGTTCATAGCTGCAGACACGAGAACCTTTTCATCAGTCACAATAACCTGATTGTTCAAGGAAACAGCTACAAAGATCTAGAAGCGGCTTCCAGGCTGACAAACACTACAAGTTGACGTCTTGTTACCTGAGCTGGTTTATTCTGGTTTGACAGAGCCGTTTCGCCCTGCGTACAGTATTTTTTTGGAATGTAGACTAAGTCCCTGTCCTGGTCTTTACCTGCTGAACTGCCGGTGGGTCAGAACCAGTCCCTCCAGCCTGATGGGGAAGCACACGTCACAGCTGGCTACCATGTTCTGGATCTTAAAGTCCATGAAGCGGGCGGGGAACCCGAGTTTCTGAACCACTCGAGCGTACTTCCTGGCCGCCAGTCGAGACTGATCCTCACTGCGTGGTCGACGGGCCGACCGGTGATCAGACAGACAGGTACAGACACACAGGTAAGCAGGTGATCAGGTGGGCAGACAGACAGGTACAGACACACAGGTAAGCAGGTGATCAGGTGGGCAGACAGACAGGTACAGACACACAGGTAAGCAGGTGATCAGGTGGGCAGACAGACCTCTTGGCTCCTGTACAGACCATCTTCCCGGAGCTGAAGATCAGTGTGGTGGTTCGTGGTTCTCTGATCCTCATTATGACAGCTGCAAAACGCTGGAACACAACAACAACAATCACTCCACGTTTACTGCGTGCTAAGCTACGGCTAACCATTACACCCCACAGTACCTTCGGGTTGTACTCTGCGTTTCTGGCCTGGAGGGCGATGAACTTAAGATCCAAAGGACAGCCGAGGTTCACTGTGGAGACGATGTTCCTGTGGGACACACAAGTACTATTACTACGGATGAAGTACTAATACTACAGATGAGGTGCTAGTACTTCAGATGAAGCAGTAGCTTACTGTAGCTGGGGGATGATTCCTGACTTCTCTGTCACAGGAGTCATAGGGGTCATGGGGGTCATTGGGGTCATGGGGTAGAAGGGGGAGACGCCGGTCCCCGGTCCGGACATGGACGGCCCCTGTTCGGACTCTGCTGTGGCATCTTGGGAGTTGTAGTCTCCACTGATGCCGCTGTCCTGAGACACGTCCAGAGGGACGATCTGACTGTCAGCTGGAACCAAAGCACAAAGGTGATCATGTGACCTCCAAGAGGCCACGCCCCTCATCCAGTCACGAGGACATGGACGTCTTCGGTTGACGTCGTACCTGTGTTGTCGTGGCGACTCTGCTCATCCCGTGAACTGAGTTCATCAGGTAGGAAGCTGAGGTCGAGCTCCTCAGCCACCTGCACGCCCCTTGAGGGGGCGGGACCCTTCCCCGGGGGGGGCGGGCTCTGAAGGTCCAGCTCCTCCCCCAGAAGAAAGTCAGATTCCTGCAATAAAAAGTCAAGTAAAACAATCATGCTTTTATTGAGAGGTTGTTTCATATTGTTTTGTATTATTTTGTTAGTTTTACCTTCTGACAGGTGAATCTTTCGTAAACAATTTTAAGAGACTGTCAGCTGACGGAAGTTTAGTCTTTATCACACGGTGTAAAAAGGAGCAGAGATGACACACACACGGAGTGTGGGGGGCTGGTCTCCCACGTCACAGATGCTCGTTTACACTTGATTCTTTACAATATATATAAGAAGTACATGTTTCTTTCATGTGTGGTGAGCTGCTTGCTTACATGCTTGAATGTTTCTATTCATTTCATGGTTCCACCTACAGCCTCATTGTCACTGTATCAAAGATATTAAATACTATATTAATCACTATCGATGTAGACACAAGAAGAGGTTCAACTTCATTTCTAGTGATGTTTGTGCATTTACCTGTACGAGGACCACACTGATTATCAGCCTCTTGATGTTTGAGACAAACGGTAGGTGTGTGTGTGGAATGTGTCCCTTTCCATTAAAACATGAACGGATTCATTATTGTTACATCACATTACAGGTCATTTAGCAGACGCTTTTATCCAAAGCGACTTACATTACACTTTTAAACCCAAGGCTTTTTCACATTTTTGCCCGGGGAGCAATTAGGGGTTAGGTGTCTTGCTCAGGGACACTTCGACGTGGAACATGGGGCAGCCTGGAATCGAACCAACAACCTTGTGCTTCCCAGCACACCTTCTCTAACCCCTGCGCCACGACGACCTGCCTGTTACTTTATCAAACCATCTCTGTACTTTTTACTTAATCCAGTAAAGTTCAGCTGCTCCTCTTCATCTTCATCAGAAACATTACAGACTGGACAGCAGTTCTGATCTCACTCATTCACATATTTGGGCTCATTCTTTAATGAGATTTATATATATGTATATGTATTTTTGTGACCAGGCGACTTCAGTGAGTCCCTGAGGGGTCAGGGGTCAGGAGGGATATTGGGATTGGGCCTAACTCTCAGCTCATCACATGTTCCCTGATGATCTAAGCAAAGCTTTCTCATATGAGACCACATCTACTTACATTTGCAATGGAGTCATCGAAGTAACGTTCCAGTGCCGACTCGTCCATGAGAAAAGCACCATCGGACTGTATTTTGGAGACAGGACCTGATCCGGAACCTTCTGGGTCCACACTGAGAGCTGCACAGGTGCCTCCAATCCTGAGCTCATCAACAGACTGAGAAGGTCCTCCAAGACACAGCGTGTGAACTGAACCAGACGACAACACGCAGGTACAACAGTGAACTACAAACCATTACATGATGAAAATAAATAAACACAAGAAATGACAACGGTTGTTATCTCCTTCATATCCCGTTGCTTAGTTCAGATCTAATTTTAAATTCTTAGTTTATTTCATCCTCCCACCTGCAGGGGGACCTGCTCACCTCAACCGCTCCGGGAACCCAGTCCTGCGCATGCGCAGCGGGTGTAAACAGAGCAGCATGGCGCCGTGGTCTCCCGACGGAGTTCATTGGTGATCGATGATCGTTCGATCAATATCAGACGGCGAGAACGGACTTGCGTTCCCGCGAGACCAGACCGGGGAGTCCGGGAGAACGGAGACCGGTCACAGCTGGAACAGCTGCCACAGAATAATTAGGCACAATGTCTCAAAGGATCAGATCACAGTTGTTATACAGTCAAACATCTTTCTAAGAAGATGAAGAGGAGCAGCTGTAGTTCTTTACTGGATCACACTGACAGGTGTTTCATTTGTATTCATATTAGATGGAAGAAACACATAAAACGTTACTGACGTGAACAATTAATTCAGGGCTGTTGTATTACATCACACTGCATAAGCTTTATACAGGTTTCATAAAGTAAGAGGAGGTTGGATACAGTAACAACAATGAAACAGTATTTTACTGGATAGTAACACACACACACACACACACACACACACACACACACACACACACACACCTACCGTTTGTCTTCTTGTTACTCAAACATTTAAGAGGCTGATAATCTGTGTGGTGGTAGTGATCAATGAGGCTACCTATATATATATATGTGTGTAATATATATATGAGCATAGAACATAGAGCATATATATATATATATATATATATATATATATATATATATTATATATGAGCAGCAGAGAACATAGCATATATTATATATAGCATATATATATATATATAGCATAAATATATAGTCGCAGCCGAAGTGACGTATGCGGTCGATGGATGCAGCCTAGCGACCTTGAGCCACAGCTAATAACCCAAATAACATGAAGGAGAAAGATCACATCGCGGATGTTTCCTCCCTGACAAACTTCCGGTTGTTTATGTGTGATGACGTAGAAACAAGATGGAGTCTTTGAAGAAGCGTGTGGCCGAGTTTTCACAAGAGGCTCATGGTGAGACTACAGATAATACTACAGCTAGCACTACTGCTAGTGCTACTGCTAGGTCTACAACTAGCACTACAGCTAGCACTACTGCTAGGTCTACAGCTAGCACTACTGCTAGTGCTACTGCTAGGTCTACAACTAGCACTACAGCTAGCACTACTGCTAGGTCTACAGCTAGCACTACTGCTAGTGCTACTGCTAGGTCTACAACTAGCACTACAGCTAGCACTACTGCTAGGTCTACAGTTAGCACTACTGCTAGCACTACTGCTAGGTCTACAACTAGCACTACAGCTAGCACTACTGCTAGGTCTACAACTAGCACTACTGCTAGCGCTACGGCTAGGTATACTGCTAGTGCTACTGCTAGCGCTACGGCTAGCACTACAGCTAGGTATACTGCTAGTGCTACTGCTAGCGCTACTGCTAGCACTACAGCTAGCTATACTACTAGTACTGCGAGTATTAATGCTAGTACTACATTAACCTATACTGGTGATAGTGTGCAACACAGATCTGAGTGAATTATAAATTATCATCAAGGTTTTATACTAATAATGCTATTATTTAATAAAAAATGAACAGAATTATAACCCTGATTTTATTTTATTTTTTCTTGTTTAAGTCAAATTCCTTGTAAGTCTGACATATTATGGCAATAAATGTTTCCTGATTCCTAATACCCACACTTCTACTACATCTACTACTAATTCTAATACTACCGCTACTACAGGTATTACTACGGACTGGCACGAGTAGTACCACTACAGTACTGCTACTACTCACACTGTTAATAAAAGTACAACATGCACAGATACTATGGATACTTCAGGTACTACTAATGGCTGCCAGTACTGGTGGGTAGTGACTAGTACAGGTACTATTTATACTGCAGATACTGCTCCTGACAGGTAGTACTAGCGAGTAGTAGTAACATTATCAGGGTGTCTATTTATTGATTACCTTTCAGATCTGTATCTGAACCAATCGGTGCCTTTCCTGGAGGGGTCACCTGATCCGCTGCAGTTCTACCGCGACTGGATTGGTCCAAACAAGCCCTGCATCATCCGCAACGCCTGCAGCCATTGGCCGGCTCTGACCAGGTGGACGCCGGAGTACCTGCGGTGAGGACGCCGCTCTTCTTCTTTGTGGTGTTGGAACGCGGCCTCACGTCGGCTTCCTGTTGTCCACAGGGAGAAGGTGGGGTCAAAGGTCATTACCGTGGCGGTGACGCCCGACGGCTATGCCGACGCGGTTAACGGGGACCGCTTCGTGACCCCCGAGGAGAGACGCATGAGCTTCTCCTCCGTGCTCGACGTCATTGAGGGGAAGGTGAGAGGCTCCGCCCCCTGGAAGTCATTGATCCACTGATCGTCAGATTATCAGTTATCATAGATGTCAGTCTGAATAATGACGTCTTCTGGTTGCAGGAGCACGTGGGCGTGTTCTACGTTCAGAAGCAGTCCTCCAATCTTCTGGATGAGCTCCCGGAGCTCACAGACGACCTCGAGTCGCACGTTCCCTGGATGAGCGACGCGCTGGGTGAGTTCACACCGCGTGTTACAGAAAGACAAACCGTTCAAAAACGTTTTATTAAGATTAAAGTGATGACCTCAACCGTATTTATATGTATTTAACATTAAAGCTTCAGTTTGTCCTTTTTATGGGATGTAGAATGTTCCGATGTCACACTGTAGCACGCGACTACAACCCCCCACCCCCCGTTTGGAGACGACCAAACAGGTTGTTCCTGTGATAGTTGACAACGGTTTCCATGGAGATAAGCCCCTCCCCATCTCCGACGTGACTGAAGCAAATGACCACAAAGGGTCTTTGTGTTTGTCTTCACAAACTCTTCACCTCCTCCTGAAACAGCAGAAGACTCTCCATCATCGTCCTCAGCAGTAGTCCAATCTGTTCCTAGGTCGTTCCTGCAGGAGGGAACGTGGACCTGGGGGTGGCCGAGGGTCAACGGGGTCATGAACTCGTTAGTCGGATGGAGCTGACAGTAGAATCCAAGATGGAACTACAGCAGCCATGTGCACGTTCTTCACTACTCCCTTTCCATTATGTTGATGTAATAATATTCAATGGCATCAGATCACGTTCAGTCTCTATTATTTTTTTTCCACCAGGAAAGTTACCAGACGCCGTAAACTTTTGGCTCGGAGAGGCGAGCGCTGTGACTTCCAGTAAGACCTGAACGCCACACCCGTTGTATAGTGTGTAACACGTGTTAGTACACACGTGTGTGTGTGTGTGTGTTTTTAGTGCACAAAGATCACTATGAGAATCTGTACTGCGTGATCTCTGGGGAGAAGAACTTCATCCTGCTGCCGCCCACTGACCGACCTTTCATTCCTTACGGTAACCATAGCGCCCACGCCTGCCATCCTTTAGAGCAGCCATGCAGTAACCATGACAACCCGTCCGTCAGGTGTGTACCAGCCGGCCGTTTACCGGCAGCGGGATGACGGTGAGTTTGAGGTCGTCAACCAAAGCGACTCGGAGAAGGTGCGTTCAGGCGACTGCCAGTTAATCTCAGCGCTCTATTCTATTTAATACCCTGCTGAACTAACCCCTCCACCCCGCCCAGGTACCGTGGATCCCTCTGGACCCTCTGGATCCAGATTTGGACCGGTACCCCGAGTACCGGAGAGCTCGGCCACTCCGCTGCAGCGTGAAGGCCGGAGAGATGTTGTACCTCCCGTCGCTGTGGTTCCACCACGTGCAGCAGTCACATGGCTGCATAGCAGGTACAAACACTGGGGAGCCTGAACGCACCACACATACAAACACTGGGGAGCCTGAACACACCACAGGTATAATAACAATATAGAGGCAAATAAAGGAACCAGTTGCTCAGTTTAAAGACAACAATCAGTACTGACGTTGTTTCCTCTGCTGCAGTTAACTTCTGGTACGACATGGAGTACGACATCAAGTACAACTACTTCCAGCTGCTGGAGGCGCTGTCTGAGGTCACACGGCCGCCGTGACCTCACAGCATGACATCATCGTGCGTGTGGACATGACAGAAATAAAGGTTCCTCCAGCGTGTGAAACGAGTCGAGTCTCTTTGAACCTGAACAAGATGAGAAAGCTCTTTATTAAACAGGAAGTGCAGCCTGAAAACCACCAACTCTAAAAACAAAACCTTTTTATATATATATATAATCTGTAATATTGCAGCGTCTCCGGACACAAGGCCACGTTTTCCTTTTTCCCTTCAAACAATAAGATGATTATCGATCAGCTGATTGAAGCTCATGTTTCCTTTAGACTTTATGATTTATGTACAAGTGTAAACACAAACAAGGTGCAGATTAAATCCCTCTGAGGCTCCGCCTCCTCAAAGGCAGCAGTTGATCTGTTAAGAACAGCTGATTGATCATTCTGTAGTGACCTGACTCTTCATCGTGATGAAGATGAAGAGAGGGGTCTGAACAGTCAGCATCAACGATCATAATCAATCCATTACAGTTTAGTTCAAATCAAGATATGAAATATAGGTTTACATCATCTGAGCAGCAGTGAGGAGGATGACAGAGAGGAAGAAAGTGAAGAAGAGGAGCTGGGGGAGGTCCTGTCTGAGACTCCTCCTCCTGCTCCGATCGTGTGACGGAGCCATGAGGAGACGGAGGAGCTGCAGGTAAGGACTTTTTTAATGTTGCATGATGGGAACTGTAGTTCTCACACACACAGTCAGTGGTTGCTCGTCCTGTAAATCGGCACGTTCATGCTGTGGAACGCCGGCACCCAGCGGTTGTCATGGAGACCAACGTTACAGCCGGGCGCGTCCCTGTGCGCGCCGTGGCAACACATCCAGTAGCCGGGCCCGTAGGGCAGCGCCTGGCAGAACGGCTTGTGGTGCCAGCGGCACGGCGACACGTCGCCACGCCCGTACCGCCTCTTGCACTGCTTGCAGGGGTCGTCGCGGTACCGGGGGTCAGACACCCACAGCGAGTCGGCGGGTCGCACGCCATAGTTGTTGATGACAAAGCAGAAGTACCGGCAGCTGCACTTCAGCGCGGCGAGGCTCCGCGTGGGCAGCAGCCGCAGCACAGCCAGCAGGAGGTGGGGCGGCAGCGCGGCGAGGAACGGCCGCGGCTCCAGCAGCTGTTGCAGGCGGCGCCGTGTTGTCAGGAAGTCCTGTGACGCACGCCGATTCGGAGGCACATTAGCGGCGTCCTCCTCGTCCAGGGGCTGATCCGCCCTCCTCCTCTTCTCAGATTGGCCGCTGGAGTCCAAACCGGGAGGATGTGGGTGGTGCTCCGTGCTGTAGGTAATTCCGTAATGAGGGGGGCGGGGCTGTGGGGTGGTAGGTGGAGACAGAAACAACAAGCCTGGCAGAGGCTCTGCCTCCTTGAGCAGAGGGGGCGGGGCTCCTCTCGGCGTCTGCACCCCCTGGGCCTTAACCGAGGGGGGCGTGGACGGAGCTGGTTCTGGGTAGCCGGTTGGCACTCTGCCCAAACTCTGAGCCACTGGCGATGACGTCATTGATGAAGGCTGGCAGGGGGCGGGGCTCTGATCTCCAGCGGCGGGCAGCGCACGTCCCACCGCCCTCAGGCTGTTGCTCCTCGACAGATCTCCCTCCGACCGTCTCTTCAGAGACTCGGACTCAAGCTTGGCCACCATGTCAGACACCCTGACGCTCTCTGGCTCCTCCTCCCTGACCTCCGGGGGCGGAGCTCTGGACAGTGTGAGGGTGGTGGAGCTCCTCTGCAGGGTTAGCAGTGGTTTGGAGTCTAGCTGCTTCTCACTGGCTCTCTGCTCCAGGAACGCCACCATCTCCACCACCGAGACCTTCTGCTCCTCCGTCAGCGCCTCGCTGCCGGATTGCCATGGAGACGGATGCAGTGCATCCTGGACCCGGTTCCTCTGGAGCTTCTGGTTGCTCCCTGACCTGCGGCGCCTCTTGAAGCCGCAGTTCTCCTCCCAGCTTCCCTTCACCTTCCCGGCCCGTAAGAGTCCCGTCACGGGGCCGGGCGAGTCACGCGAGTCCGAGGCATAGATGGCGATCTTCTCTCGCACGTGACCGGGCCTGATGACAGTCCAGATGTCCGGCGGTGCGTCGGCGTCCTCCTCGGTGACCACCACTTTGTTCTTGCCGATGAATCCGAGCGGGAGCCGGCTGCTGCTGATGTTGCCATGGCTACCGCTGCATGTCCTCACAAACAGGCTGCACAGAGACGCCTGAACGCCGGACGCGCCAAGACGCAACTCTGAGCGGGCGAGCTTAGGGTGAGACTTCAGGTGCATGATGGTCCTGAGAGAGACAGACAGACGGGTCAATCAGAATTTTCAGGTTATTTTGACTAAATGAAAACTGGTCTTATTTTTATTTTCTGTAGCAAGCAAACAAGGACTTAATATTTAAGCTGAACAGTTTCTTCTGTTCATAGAGACGAGTAAGTGTCATTGCGAACCCCGTCGCCGGCGACAGGAAGCCTGAGACGCCGCCATTCTGCCGTTTGTGTCTACAACATCTAGAACACTCGTCATGAACCCAAATCATTAAGCTACACCTGCCGGAGAGCTTCAAGTCTGGACTACAAAGACAAACATATGCATTTGAACACGCTCCAAACACAACTCCAACAAGTATTACAGGTATAAAATATCGTATGCAAACAAACTACATCGTGCACATATTGATCAGCGCTAGAAGCGAACAACAGAACATATAAGATAAAGGGACATTTCTCTCAGACAAACCTCCCACAGCTGCAGGGACACCACTAAAGCTGCTGTTCTGCTTTACTAAAGTAAAAGCAGATACGTGACACCTCTGGTGGGCAGTAACAAAGTACAAATACTTCGTTACCTTAAGCAGAAATTTTGGGTATCTATACTTTAGGAGAGTATTTATTTTTCAGACTCCTCCTTACTTCTTCTCCTTACAGTCTGTACTTTCTACTCCTGACATGCTGATTCCACGTAACGTTGGATGAGAATCCTCATGACCGCGGGTTCGCCGTAAATGGTTTTTCTTACTTTATTGAGAGTCTGGCACCACACGGAGACTTGCAAGTAGCGCAGCGTCTTAAATAAAGTGATGTGTGTCTTAATGCGGCTTTAGAAATGAACACATAGGGACTGAAACGGGTCATTTGGTTATCAATGTTTTGATTGATAACCTGCAGTCTTTATAATCTGCAGTCTGCCGAATCACCGGGAACAACGTGTCCGTCCTCCGACCCGTGTCATTAAGTCGTCACTGTGAAGTGCGTTCTGCTTTTATCCGTTGTTGTACATCACGCGGGTGGACACATTGTCCCTCTGCTGTTGTCACGTGATCTGAAGGCTCCTTCGATCACATTGTAACGGACTGACATGTTCTGTGTTCAGGTTACACGTTAAGAGTTTGTCCTTAATGGACATTTTCTCTCCCTTACATTACTTTTATACATAAGTAAGCTTGAGTTGATACTTCTACAGAAGTCGTTTTAAAGCCGAGTATCTAGACTTCTACTTGAGTAATGAATGTGAAAGAATAACCTGAACTCCCTGTCACACTGGGTTTACCTCCAGGCCGCGTGCTGATTGGCTGACGGTGGGGGGAGGGGGCGTGGTCCTGTTTTGAGTGACAGCTCCTCTGATCCTTCAGCTTCACATTCTCTCAGATGTTCAACGTCTCTTCCTCCTCCTCAGGATACACACACACTGTCTCTCTGGAACACACACACACACACACACACACACACACACACACACACACACACCATCAGATCAGACTGTATGATGTATACTACACACACATTATACACAGACAGACACACATATATATATATATATATATATATATATATACACACATACTAACATATACATATTATACACACACATGTAGGGCTGTCACATATCAAATTGTTGTTGTGCGATTATTGCACCAACATTTATATGGTAAATATATTACATATCATGACAGACCTATTCATCACACATAGATATTATACACACACACATTACATGGATACACCATACTACACACATATACATATTATACACAAACACATATGCATACATATTATATATATATACATACATACATACACACACACACACACACACACACACACACACACACACACAATACAAACACTATCTAGCATGCTAGTACCAACCGCCGTCTAAAGCCACGATTCACCGGGCTAACTGATTAGCCTTTGAGGCTAACTCCCGCGGAGATGCGGTGAAGGACACGTCACAGTCAGGGTATTTAGAGTAAATGTGAGCGTGTTGTGTTGGCTTGTTTACATGTTAGCTCGTGCTTTCACACGGCGCTAGCTTAGCTCCAGAAGCTAACAGACTGACGGGGAAAAGGCCGAGGGTCAAACTAACCATGAGGAGCCTCTCACTGAAACCCAACAGAACTCCGGTTTCCTCGGCTCGTCCCATTAATTCTGGACCCTCCCGTCCGTCGGTGCCTCCAGTCCGCTGCTGGTGAAACGATGCGTTTAACCGCAAAATCGGTTTTAAGCGGAGCTCTGTTCTGCTCCTCTGAGCTAACAACTAGCTAACGTTACTTACCCACCGACGTCCAGCGGCGGTCGCTGCGTCATGACGTAGAAGCCCACCAAAGATCTTCTATGTTTGACAGGATGCCTTTCCCCCCTTCTTTGGTATAACACAATATCTGAAAAATACTTTTGTTATCATTTGACCAAGTTAATCAATTTCAGTTTCATATTTGCAAATACTTTTTGTTATGTTTCGCAGAAATAAATGGAGCTATTTAAACATATTGAGTGATGTATTACTTCAACGTCTTCAAAATCTGAATCCCCTAAAGCTTAAACGATTGGGAGAGCAGCTGGCTGTCAGTGTGTTGGCTGACAATACACTTATGATTTTAGTTTTGGCTCTGATTGATATAACTGGGTTGAAACTGACCCAAACAAAATAAAGGTCATAATTTCAACCAGAGCATTTTATAATTTAGTGAAAAACATTGTTTTATTTTGTTGAAATAGGGATTCCTGACAAAGTCAAAAAAGCCTTGATGCAATAAACAAATGCATGTGGTTCTTTTATGCATCTAAAAACCTAAAAGGCGTCAGTGGCGACCCTAACACAAGAGCAAGGTCACATCCGCTCTGGTGAAACCAAAGAGCTCGTGGTGGACTTCTGCCGGGAAAACACCAGTGAACATCCAGGGAACAGACATTGAGTGGTAAAATCATATAAGTTCTGGGACTTTTTGAGTCAGCCATGTGCGTCCTGTTGACCAGTGGGCCACTTATGACAAACATGTGATATTTACTTGCGGGCCGGACACCTAAAACAAAGTTAGACTGACGGAAGAGATGAAGTGAGTAAAGAAGACGGTGAGCAGTGGTATTAATGTCAGTCAGTGGTCACAGGTCTCAACCACTAGAGTGAATTTAACTGCTGTGACGCTCAGAATATGGTCATACAGGGGAGGGTTACAGGTGGGTACCCCTGTGGATCGTTCGCCCTAGTGCACAGCATTGGTTGAAAAGTACTCGACAGGTGAACAGTCAGTGTGTGATTTGATAAACTGTTCCCCTCACACCTGTTTTCAGCTGCGCTTCAACCACGACTCTCAAGTCAGCAGTGATTGACAGGTGATGACAGGGGGGCGTGCCGGGTTATGTCAGGGAACCTGGTGGGGGGAGACTCAATTCTATTATTCAATAGCATACTGAATAAAAAATTCAGTTCATGAACTTGCACTTGTTGAATATTTATTAAATAACTATTTCTAAAAGGATTTTTGAATGGATGGTCATTTTAAAATAATTTTAAAAAATCTCACATACCAATGGAGCACCTTCACGTACCCCACCAGGGGTACACGAACCCCCATTTGAGAACCACTGTTCTAGATCAGCACAGCTGACAGAAAGAGACTGAATAAACTGATTAAGATGGCCGGCAGTATGCTGGGGGGTCCGCCGGACACGTTGCTGGTGATTGTATAATCCTTTATGGACTTAATAAGGTTAACAGCAGTAGAAGTAATAGTGGTAATAGTATAGTAGTAGTATATAATAGAGGTACCGCAGGTCCTTCCTCCAGACACTGGGTTAGTTAGTTAGCAGTAGTCGAACCAATAGTAGGAATGATGAGACATAACTCAATTTTAAGATTAAATTTTGATTTATTTGAGGCAAAAAAAACTCAGTAAAAGTGAATCCAATGACAACTTTCTGGGAATGTTGATGTAACATGAATCACCGATTTATTAAAGATACATTTTGTTGTAGCTGACAATCTAATGACGATCTCGGGTAGACTTTTGGTTCATCACCAGTAGATCTTGGAAAGATCTCAAGCAGATCTCTGTTGGATCTGTAGATCAACCATAGATCTTGAGTGGGTCATCCATAGATCTCCAGCAGATTGACCCTAGATCTCTAGTGGATCTTAAATTGGTCTGCAGTGGCTCTCCAGTTGATCTGCAATATACCTTTAATAAATCTCGAGTGGATCTTTGGTAGATCGGATGAAGTGCCTCAGGCCACAGTCTCCATGCGGACGTCACTCAGGGTGAGGTCGTTGTAGATGCTGAGGCGGTTGATGGAATTCAGGTTGCCGACCCGGTGCTTGTACGACAACACGTGGGAATTGTTGACGGCAACCTTAAACTCTGTGTTGGTGCACATGATCTTCATCTGCAACGACAAGCCACCAACTGATCATCATCAACCTGCTTTCTCACGGACTGGCACTTTTAACACACATTATGCTTCATTCAAGTATTCTCCGGCACTTCAACTACATAGTTAGAAGACAAACAAAAGCTAAGAAGGACTCAGTATTGATTAGTATTTTTGACTTAAATGAGCTTTCTGACCTCAAATGGCTGTCCTGCGGTGAAGGGAAAGCTCCCTGAAAGGTCTCTCTCTTCTTTCCCCCATTTCGTGCTAATGCAGCTGTTCCTCACGATCGTCTTCTTGCCTCCTTCATTGAAGCGAGGGTTGAAGTGGAACGCCAGGTCTTGTGCTGATGACAGATCCACTGTGACCCTGAAACAGAACCAGCTCACTTAACGGAAAATCCGGAGGTGACCGGTCATCCGTCCATGGTTAATAATATAATGTTCATACGGACTTGTCAGCTTTGGGGTTGATGGTTCCAACGATGGTGATGAGGAGTTTGTCATAAACTCCGTTACGCAGAGTGTCGTTGTACGGAACCGACTGTCAATGGGAAACAGCTGTTAGCACCACCCATCAACCATCAACTATTGCCCACGATCAACCATCATCATCTGTCAACCATCCGTACATCAACCATTAACCACCAACCGTTATCCATCCATCAACCACCATCAACCATCCATCCATCAATAATAAAGTATCAACCATCCATCCATTAACCATCATCGACTATCCATTCATTGACAATCCATTTTCATTTCAAATTCCTTGTATGTCCAACATACTTTGACAATACATGTTTCTGAT